TAATTTTTTTTCCCTATTTCTACCTTAACATGATCACCAAGGCGGCCCATCCCGCCCATGGACTTCTTTGCTTAGTGGAGCGACTCGGGAATAGTTGTCCGATGACGTTGTGCGAGTGATGAATAACACTGTCCGGTCGACTGTAGGGCTTGGAACAACAAATTTCATTCACGTGCCCTCAAAATAGCAGACAAGGTCGTCTTTATTGATTGAGCCTAAAAAACTTTGTGTGATTGCTATTTCTCGTTATAACTATTGTGAGTGAACAAAGATAGCAGGGGCAACGCCATTCTGTGATGTTAAGTCTCTAGAGAAAGCAAGTAGTTGGCAGCTAAAGTGTCTGTTAAAAGAAAAAAAAAATAATCAAAGTGTCCTACCCTATAGACAACATTCTCCTATAATTAGTGCCGTTGTATTTTTAGCTGACGTCTGCAGCCATGACAAGACCTGTAGCATTTCTCGGGGAAACAACACGGTCGCCCAGCCACTATCAAAATGTCCACTCACTATAATACCTTCGAATTGTTTCAAAGCGCTAGGCAAGATATTAGTTCAACAAACCTACAGCTAACCTTTCTCTCTAAGCATTCTTGATATTTGAGCTGTTTTTTCTGCTTTAGATATCGTCCGTTTCCTCTATCAAATGCCCTCTAACCCTAAGCTACCATCCTATTCTTTGCCTAAGCACATATGTCCTCCTCCTCCCGTCGCTCCAGGTGCTGAGGCTGAGTCCTAGGCCACTGTTAACATCAGGGCCCAGACCTTAATTAAGTGTAGTGTCTTCCGCCATCTAGCCCCCAGTATATAAGCATAGCAATGAAGCAAACAGCGCCTGTATGCCTAGACGACTTCACGGTGCCTTAGCCCTGGATTTGCCTTCGCATTACTACAGCCGCCAGGCGTGTCTAATGCCACCACTTAGACTCTTCCTAAAGAATCCTCTTCGGTCCCAAGCCTCGGCGAAGCCCTGCAAAATGTCTGTAGTCCGCTAAATATCCTCCTACACAAACATTTAGCCCCCTATTGTTAAGAAATTACATTCATAAAAAGTTGTAATAGTTAGTTTCCTGACTCACTGACTATTTTCCTGCTTAGTGTCCTTCACGGTGAGTGTTTGTGTCACACCAAAAAACGCGCGTAGCCACGCCACATTAGTTGGTGTACTTAATGTCCCCTATATACTGCGACAGTTTTACCCCCAGTTAGTCATTACTAGTCATTGCTAGTCGTCCAAGGTTCTTTCATTTCCCACGTCTCTACACGCCGCAATGTACTCGTCGAGCTTCTTTCAGAGCGGGTTCTTTGGTGTACTGCGCAACCAATCCTGACAGCCCAGCTGAAGACGTTGGTGATACTCTCCCCCAGTCTTCAAGTCTGGAGGCAGATTTGGAGCGCCTAAGATCCTGGTGACTTGGTGAAACAGATCCTTGAAAGATTTGACCCCAGCCCTTCCAGTCCAGCCGTCCTGAATGACGTCCCCAATAACCTCGGCGACTTCTGCGATAGTCCATCGACTAGCCTTCAACGTATCTTGTATCTGAATAGCTTCTGAACACGACTAATCACCTGCAAAAGGATCCACACCCGAAAGAATAAAATGCAAACACGTTACTAAATCGAAGTAATCGATTATCACATTGGTTGATTATTCAGATCGTGAATCTGATCCGAAGTCGAAGACCTTTAACGTATTGACGCTGTCAACGCCTAGATTATGTACTGCGAGATCTCCATTGACAAAGCTAAGCTTCTCGAGCTAGCTGGTTGCATCAAGTAAATCTAGAGCCCATCAGCGTCAATCTTCACGGCTCGCAGCCGACCACACCTTTTCCAAAGGATCAAGTCTTTCAATGAACAAGTAATTAGTGCTGCCCGGTCCAAGTTTTTGGGCAAAGTTACGGTGTGGTTGGACTTGCAATGCATCGTAGACAGTCATCTCTTTTTCCATAGCAGCAAAGCTTCTGGTCGAGAGGTTGAGACATGTCCGTGTCTGAAGAAAACTCAAACCAGAATGACACTTTAGGAACAATGTTCCTGTCAAGGGCATAGGCCATACCTTGCGATGGTCTAGTGCTAAGACACTCTCTAGGTGCGCCCCGAAAAGGCAATATAATCGACATACTGTTCGGGATGGATAGGTGGCAATTGGCAGAAGTGCATAGTTCGACAAGAAACGTATCGGCGACGACGTGTTGTAGAGGCCGTGATTTATCTCTTAATTCTTTGCCTTGCCCGCTGCGATATAGTAGTCACAGTATTTGTTTACTCTGCTCTCTGAAATCGAATGACTATACAGCGTGTTCTTGCAGTTTGGGCTGTTGGGGGCGCTCGCGCAAGGATAGACCTTGTCTACGCCCTTAGACCGCTGGATCTAACAGTGGCACATACTAACTCACTCTCCTCTCATTCTCACCACGCATCTAGCTTCGCTATGAACCTCGGCAGGTGTTAGATTACCCCATAAGCAGCAATGTAATCTCATCCCTCGACCAAATCACTCAACGCCACCTTGACTAATTTTACTTGTCTGCTCCCTCCGTGTCCTCCTGTCGCCTTTCTTCTCCTACACCTGCTTCTGGTAGAACACCTGGCTGCGTTGCTGCTTGTTTGGCCCCTCATTCTTGAACACCAAAACATTTGCTTGCTCCTCTCTCTACCGCCGCGGGACTTCCAGCAGCCCAGCTCTCAGACTGGCTGGCCTTTCTTGCGCCTTGATAAGCGGCAAAAGTGCATCATCGAACAATTTAAAAGTTGGGATGCTATTGTCACATGATGTGCTGTACATCTTCAACGTAGTGTCGGGGTCATCATGGGACGCCTTCAACCATGCTGAGCAGCAAGTTGAAGGCTGGCGTGGTGTCCTTAGTAACACTTCTTGACAGCAGCTATGTGCTTGCACGCGGACATGTTGTAGTCGGAGGTGGTGATCACCGAGCTGTTGCCCCTCATCGTCTCATTCATGTACTCGCTTGTCAAGGGCCTCGAGGCTGTCGGTGTAGAGTTGCTTGGCGTCTTTGCTGAGACCTACAGAGGTGGTCTTGGGAGTCACGGTATTTGCTGTCTCAGTCTGCGACTTGGTCGCTTCGCGGAACGAGTGGTGTCTTTTTTTTTTTGTGGTGTCGGAGCCATCACTTTTGCGTTTTGTGTCGCGCTTGCGCTTTGCCGAGCCGGAGGGTGTAACAAGGGCTAGTCTTATAGATCAAGGCTTAGAGCAAAGAACTTCTATTCACTAATAATATCGTATAGTCTCAACGGTCCTTAGTTCTTCAATGTGATGGACCCGACCAACGAGGGTTATATATACAAGAAGGTCCCTGCGTGTGTAACCCGACTTGACATCAAGGGTGATGCCGCGTGCCTTTATGCCGGAGCCTATAAATAGCCTATCAGGGCATCGTGAAGCTGCGAATTTTGTGCATTGCAATTAGTCATGTGGTTGAAGCTTGACCGCTATTTCCGTGCAACAGAGGGCTTGAGTTGGCTAGTGAGGCTACTGAATGGGGCCATTGTCGTAGAGTTTACGCAGCAAGTAAGAAGAAAGTAGAGGGAGTGTAAGTTAATTGATTTGGCAAAAGGGTAAGAATGTCAGACAAAAGTAGGAATGTTTCGCTAACATGCGCGTCAAGGAGCACGGATCGGTAGATCGTACGGAGCAGCTCAGACCACCTTGCCAGAGGAGTAGTTAGCTCAACTGCCCTATCGGGATAGGTAGGCGTGGCACTGGTAAGGCGAACCGGAGTCTACCGAGCGCTTCCAGTGCTTGAAAATCCGTACCAGCCCACAAATCGGGCACGGAGTCGCGGAAAATCGGATCGACGGCACATCCCCTCTATCCAAACTGCGACGAAGTCCTCTCTATCCCTTTGAGCATTATTAGTTTCTAGATATACGCATCAAGCAATCCCATGTCTAGTCTTAACTAGTAAGAACCTTAGCCAGCCTTGCTTAGTCTGTAAAATAAAGTATCATCAAGCAGCTAGATACAGCCGCTAATGTAGCGGAGTAGCATCAAGAAAGTAGCAGTACTAGACGAAGACACTACAGAGGCGGCATGTGAGATTTCTGAAAAAGCGGAACTAAATCAATGTGGAACGTTTCGTCTGATTCTCACTCTATAATTCGCTATGCAGTCTAAAATGTCATGATTCATTATATTTAGTAAAGGAATCTGTCTGTTTGGTAGTTTATATACTTGCTTGTATTAGAGCTAAAAAATCGTGGTTTATTAGTTGAGTAAACACAATTGGGACGCGCCTCGCAAACGTTGATCACGCTCACACATTATATATCTAGGCTAATAGGCATGGGGCATTGTCTAATCAGTTCGTGGAGAAACCTTTCACGTTCGGCAGTATCAAAAAGCTGTATGCCTGCAAAACGTACTGCACCATCACACGGGTGATCCTTGCACCACAGTTATTGTATGGCTGCGTCACATTCTGGGGAACGCGAGCAAATTTGACTTCACAGGTAGCACAGTGTTTGGATAGCTTCTCACAAAGATAGAGTTTCCGCGATTAGCTGGACGTAGAACAAGGTGTCATCGACTTGAGGCTGAACTAGGCCCGAGCTTCAAAGATTCCAGACTTCTTTTTCTCCTACTTTCATATGTTAGTCTTTAAGAGTTGTGTACAGCTCTAGAGCCTAGTGTGCAGTCACATCACGCGCAAGGTTGTATCTCATGTGGGTAGTGCTGTTCCTCATGAGACTAATACGCGTGGCTCTTGAGTCTTGTCACAGCTCTCACAGTGATTAAATGAGTCGATTTCATCGTCTACATGGCCGAGCTTCCCGATGGAGCTCATTCTGTTGCAACTGTGTGATCTTTGATCTCTCTTCTAGACATGCGTAACACTTCTTGCTTTTTGCTTGCCGCGCCTGGACCGTATGCAGTTTTTCGGACGTTATCTACAGCGGTGTACCTTGCCAGAATATTATAAACACAACCGTAAAGGCCTGGAGCATCTTAGCCAGCTGCTGAAGACCTTTCGCAAGATAATATGGCTGCTCCTACAACTCGGCAGGTCACTTACGAGTCTACCACAACGACTAATGACTCGCCAGAAAAGCGAACGTGCTCACACTCAAAATGGAGTTTTGGGGTTCTCAATGATAAGAAAACTATAGAAGTTCCAGGTAGGTTGTTTACTCAGTATGGACGGCAGAGACGCCTGAACAAGCATACAGATCAAAAAGTCTCCGTGCTGACCGCAGATGCTCAGGTTCCGTGTTGCTGCTCGCTGCGGACCGCAACGAGCCTCTAGGTCTACAAACCCTCCACGCGCGCACATCGCACTCATCTATTCCAACTGGATTTCCCGTTGATTCTGATAGACTCTCAATCAACCAGCGGACATTGCCAGAGAAGAAAAGGACTCAGGATGGCACTATAATCCTTGATCCCCAGCCAGATGAGTCTGCAAATGATCCCCTTAACTGGCCTGGATGGAGGCGAGACTCCGCTTTGTTGTCGCTCGGCTTCTACTGCATGATTGGAGGTGGAATAGGATCGTTCATGGCTGCCGGATTCACTAATATTGCTCACGACTATCACGTTAGTGTGGAAACTGTCCCATTAGTTGTCGGTCTCTACATGGCAGGTCTCGGCGTCGGAGGGGTACTTATATCCCCAACAGCGATTCTTTTCGGCAAAAGGCCTATTTATCTTGCAAGTGCTGTAATTTTCATAGGCACTTGCATTTGGTCAGGGCTTTCCCCGTCTTTCCCGTCACTTGTGGTTGCTCGTATCGTTCAGGGCATGTCCTTAAGCCCCATTGAGTGCCTACCATCAGCTACAATTGCCGAAATTTTCTTCCTTCACGAGCGAGCTTACCGTATCGGAATATACACCTTATTGCTTCTTGGGGGAAAAAACCTAATCCCTCTCGTAAGCGCTGCTATAATTGAAAGATTTGGATGGCGTTGGATATTCTTGTCAGTGCAAATCAATGATTTTTTTGCCTTGGGGTCCGCCAACAACTCTTCAACTGGAAGCTGACCAAGAATAGTATTGTGACTTTTATTGCGTGCTTCAGCTTCCTCCTCCTGATCTTGTTTGTCCCTGAGACCTTTTGGGATCGGACCCCAACAAGAAGCCTGGCCAGGCGACCAAGCTTTCTCCGACGTTTCTCATCTCGAAGAGCCATCTCCCCTCTGCAGCCTCCAATATCAATTCCAACACCATCACAGGCTGCAGGCCAAGATCATGCACCGATCAATTTGGAGAGCCGGCAAGAAAATGATGACGACAACAAACAGTCAGAGATGACGCCGGCCATTACGTCCAACGAAACACCGCCAGTTGAGATCGCGGGGAAAGCTTGTAGCGGCCAATTCAATAACACAGATCAGCAGAGCAAAGTGAAGGAAGTCGACTACGTCAAAACTCTCAATACAGAGCTGGAAGGGCAACGAGGTGGTCAGACCTCAACCAGTGTCACCCCGTCCATCAAGGCATACACACATGAGCTTCGCCAGAGGCCCGCCCAGTCTTTCTCGAAACAACTCAGACCATATCACGGCCGCTTAAATAATGACAAGTGGCTCAAAGTTATGGTGCGCCCCTTTGTCCTCTTCGCGTACCCATCCGTGCTGTGGTCGGCAGCAGTGTATTCATGCTCTATCGGCTGGCTTATGGTTGTATCCGAGATTATGGCCATCATCTACCGTGACCCAACGTCGTATAACTTTACCTCCCTGCAGACAGGCCTCGTCTATATTGCTCCGTTTGTGGGTGGCATTCTCGGCACTGCTGTAGCTGGCCGGGTTAGCGATATAGTTGTCCGAGCCATGTCCTCGCGTAATGGCGGGCTGTACGAACCCGAGTTCCGCCTCGTCATGGCAATACCTATCACACTAGCTACGTGCATTGGCCTGATGGGCTTTGGGTGGTCAGCTGAGGAAAAAGATCATTGGATGGTTCCGACTATCTTCTTTGGAGTCCTCTCGTTTGGCTGCTCTCTAGGCTCAACAACATCAATTACCTTTTGTGTGGACAGTTATCGACAATATGCTGGCGAGGCACTAGTGACGCTAAACTTTGCTAAGAATATCTTTCATGGATTAGTATTTAGCTTGTTTGTTTCTCACTGGTTAGTCGCTGATGGTCCAAAAGAGGTATTTATGTGGCTGGGAATAATGCAACTCGTCTTGCAGATTACCACGATACCTATGTTTATATTTGGCAAGCGGGCCAGGCTTTGGACAGTGAGGAGAAATTTCATGGAAAAGTTTTAGAGGTGACCGAAGGGGAGCTCCATCCAGGCTGGCGGCTGCGAAATGCAATGTCTTGACTTCCACAATGTAAGCTAGTAACATATTTAAGCTAATACTACGTTACCTATTAAACTACAAACTGTTTGCTGCTCAACTGCTCAACTAGCTTAAGTCAAAAACTAGGAGAGAAGCACTAGTTAGTTATATTCTGTACGAGTATTTCCCTAGCTCTACGCTGCTAGCTTGAAGTTTTGCTAGCAGTTAAGCAATTACAAATTTCCACCCCTAAATGTTATAAGCAGAGCATTTAGATAAACTAGTAACTAATTGATATAATATATAGAGTGCAGGCTAAGAAATGCATGCATAATCCTAAAACAACCTAGGAGTCGAACACTCGTTAGTAGTTTTTTTTTCAATTATTCACTCTCCGATACCAATTCTCCTTGGGGTCGTTCAAGCATTCCCCCACCGTTGCAGGCTTGAATCCATTCCTAAAGAGCGACTTGAGCATGTACTCGGTCATATTATACACCGATTGATACACAATGTCATGCTCAATGTCCAGCCATTTCGTCTCCCCAGGGTCTTTTCCTTCGACGCTCTCGTCCCATATATTTTTGGAATCTTGAATTTCATCTGGAGAGTCGTGCAAGTAGCCCTCGGTGTCAAGATTGAAGTACGTGACATGATATCCCAGTTCGCCCAGCCTTTGGTCGACCTTGTCATTACTTGCAGAGTAGGGTGGACGAAAATAAGTAGGGAAGTATCCAAAGATATCAGCAAGCGCTATTTCGTTGTAGATTATTTGGTTATCAAGCTGCGCATCGCTGATCTCAGGGAGATGCTGATGGGACCAAGAGTGGCTGCCGATTTGGTGTCCTTCATCGATCATCCTCATAAGGAGGTTGCGCCAGCGTAACGCAGGATCATTAATGGCACCTTTGCCGAGATTTCGGCCGGTAACAAAAAATGTAGCCTTGGCCTCGTATTTCTTTGAAATTTGTGTGCATTGGCATTTGCAGGTAGTGCGGCATGGACTGAGATGTAGAAGCGTACCTTAAGCAAATCTAGGAGATCAGCAGTGTACTGATATGGACCATCATCGTACGACAACGCAATCACGCCGTATCTTTCGCAGTGGTAGATCGCTTGCCCAAACGGAACTGAGCCATACTTTGGCCGCCCGAAATCCTTTGTGTCGGGACCGTCCGGGCGAATGTTGCCATCGCAACTGTCGGAGAAGTAGACCTGGCAGGCAGGAGATGAGCAGTACTCATAGCCCTTGCCGCACCATCTGACGCTCGGCATGGATAAAATTGTTATTCCTCATGCAAGAAATTTCCAAGACCTGATTGAGCTGGTACTAACCCTTCTTGGGAACAACAGTAGCCCTCAGGACAGGGCCTTTCCCCATGACCTAGGCCGCATCGACTGTCTTGTCTAGACGACAAATCACCAGCTTTTACAGGTTTGTCACTTGTTTGGTTTCCGTCATTGACTTGATGTCGGAAGGATCCGAATTTGAGAGCGATAGCGCCTTGTACCGCTAATAATGTATGTATCGAGGCCCTCATTCCGTACCCAAGACTTGGTAAATGTCAAAGTACTCTAGTGGAGGTACGGAACTGCTCTTTTCTTTTCAGCTGTTTCTGTCGTTGGATGGTCGGAACGGTACCTGGAGAGCTTCGCAACAAGGAGTAAATCGCTAATTCTGTGTATCCCGGGAGTAGCAATGTGCACGTCCTAGCTAAAAACTAAGGCTTCAAAACTCTCCGAACGAGCAGCGCATTTATTTCGATTGAAGCTGTCGGCGTCAATTTATGCCCTTGGCGGCACTGGTGTGTAGCACGATGCCTAACCCCGATAACTTACATTGTCAGCAACTTGAAGCCACAAGGCACGAACATTAGCATAATGTCATCTTTGCGTAATCAGACATGCCACTATCTATAATTAGCTCTACAGCTAGTTGATTAGAGATTGCATTCGGTGTGTAATACAACATAATAGTAGCTCGTGTAATCCCGGTTAGTTTGTAACACATAAAAAAGCTCCAATACAATGAGACATGTCTTTTGCATTAGTTAGTCATGAAGGGCCAGACGTTGCCTTGATAGCGAAAATAGAATGTTCTGCATAACAGTAAAGTCTTTGAAAGCTAAGTAGCACAAAGCCACCTGCGTCCACTTTCTGCATCTTAGGTAGCGGTTCTCCTTGATGTCACCAGTGGGGCTGGGAAGTCGCTGTCGCATAAGATATAAGGAAGCAAAATAGTGTGGTGTGGCCACGCCCTTTTTTTCGTGTGACAGTCGCTGGGCTCAGCGGACAGCAAGTATTGGATGATGTACTGACATGTAGCAATACGAGAAATATGTGCAAGGGGCGAGCCCAAGTTTTAGACTTCAAAAACATGCGAGCAAACACGCTGGCTAAACTTGTTTAAATACACTCTATACGCTGCCCGCCTTGCTCTGGTTGGACGGATGTGAGTAATTCGGCATAAATTGGGTCAGGTTTCTGCTATTCACAGACCTCTTTTTCTTTAATTGCTGCAACGTTCCACCTAATAAATAATTATCTCTAACGTTTATTGCGTTATATAGTTGTCAGAGCGCCGAATACAAGACCAGACCAGACCTGTTTAGGGCTGTCTATATTGACCCGCGCCGGCATGCCGCCCCTCCCCCCCGGGCCCCCGGAGTTGGGTGAAAGACGACACTTGTCATACTTATATTCTATCTTTTACTCGAGCGTGAAAAAAACAGTTACGGACAACAGCTAACGTCAGCTCTATTGTTCCACGGAATTATCGGTCGGAAGGGCTTAACCACATGACTAGCTGCAATGCACAAAGGTTGCAGCTATCACGATGCCCTCATAGGTCACTATTGGGCTCGGACAGAAAGGCACAAAGGCACAAAGGCACGAGGCATTACCCCCTTAGCTGCCTATTTAGGTTACACACGCAGGCAAACCCTTGTATATATAGCCCTCGTGGGTTAGGTCTGTTAGATAGAGGAACTAAGGACCTTTAAGACTACATAATTCCTTTAACCTCTATAATTAGAGATAAGGCTCGAAATAAAAGATGAAAAAGTAGAAATAAATTAGCCGGAGAAAGCCGAGCAGCCGTTAATATTTTATAGTAGGAAGTATTACTTGCTCTTTGCTGGCTTCTGAGTAGAGCTTCGTGGGCCTCTAATCAAGGCCGTTTCTGATCCAGCTGTCTAGGATGCTGAAATACTTTTGATTTTTTAATCTTACGGCTATTGAAGCTTTGTGCGCGACATTGGGTGGCTGCGCTTGCCTTACATATCCGTGTAACTATGGGGTGCCGCATGCCATCTTGGTTTATTTTGATCCAAATGATCAAGTCTCGCGTTGCTATTCAAAGCCAGACATCGTACACCAGTATTTTGTCCAGCTGTCGCTGTATTGTGTACCCATTAATATAGGCTACCTATTAAATGGGCTTTCCATTTCTCATTGACTCGCTCTTTAGGTGAGCCCAAGGGCCTACTTGCGCGCCTCAAACGGGGTCTCATATGGTACCTCAGCCTGGGGCGTAATGCGAGCCAAGTGACGTCGCTGACCGTCCTCCCAGTCTACAAGAGCGGTGTGCTGAGTGACTCTGTTGTCCCAAATAACAACGGTGCCCTCTTCCCACTTTACTCGGGCTTGGAAGTCCGCACCATGTGCCAGGTGGTCGTATAGGAATTTGAGGATGGCATCTGATTCTTCCCTTTTTAGGCCTAGGATTTCCCGGGTGACTAATAACCGTCAGATGGTGTCTTTGAATGGGAAGCACTCGGCTTGGTGACCCGGACTTACACTGAGGGTTGATATAGAGCGCCTTTTCACCCGTGGCAGGGTGGGTTCGCACAATGGGGTGGTCGTTAACGACGGGCTCTCGTCGCTTGATGCTGTTCCTCGAAGCAGCAGCATTTACCTGCTCTATGCCTGAGTGGGTTGCTCGCAGGCCGTGCAGGCGCTCCTGGAAGAGGGGACTGAGACGGTTGTAACCCTGGACGGCATCGACAAATAGTGTATCGCCGCCAGTCTCGGGCTTGTTGAGGATGTAGAGGAAAGTGGTGCCTGGCGGCTGCTTTTCGTACGAGACGTCAGAGTGCCATGCCACGGAGCTGGTTCGGGACTCAAAGAGCTGAGCGGCTCCCTTGTCACCTTCGCCACGGTGTACAAGGTGAATCTCAGGGTATCCCTCTGGGGCGCCAGAGGTGGGATGGATGTGGTGGCGGCCAAAATACTCGCCGTACTCAAGGGCGTCTGGGATGGGCAGGTCCGCAAAGTTTTGATTTCTAAAGGCAACAACCTTGCGCTTGGCAACAAAATGAGCCAGCTCGTCTTTTCCGGCGTTGCTCAGAGAAGATAGTTGGATACCATAGACTTCTGAGCCAATTGTTGGTGTGAGTTGTGTGACCTTGGACCCCTCCGGAAGGAGGTTGGGATATGACGTATCGGCGTCGTTGCCATGCTCGTAGTGCTCGAATGGCTCCAGGGGGCCCCATTTCTGCTCCCGGTTCCAAGTGGGGAGGTAATGAGGGTACTGTCAAGTGATACCGTTAGTATATCGTGGAGGGAAAAGGCTGGCTGCTTCATATGCCGTAGCTAAGAGAGGCTTCCATACCTTGGCTCCATTACCGCCCTTCTTCCCGGTCTCGACATCGCGATCCACCCCATAGACGTCGATCTCTTTGTACTGTCCCAAATTCACCTTGTACGTTGAGCGAGATTCAGCCTCCTGGGCAGCTGTGGTAGAGATTGCTGCAGGTGCCATGTTGGCGGTTTCACAATGCAACTTCTTGCTTCTTTCAAGTCCGTTGTCCAAGTCCACACACGGCATGGAAGGCGAGGCTCAGGTTCATTATATACTTGACTGCCCTAGGTTGGAAGAACAATGTCCCATCACGAATGCCTAACAAACTTATATGTTAGTCATCACCTACAATTGTTAGTGGACACGGAGCAGTTTAATCAGCGTTGACGCGATGATGGTGCCGATCACGTCACTCCACCCGCAATGCCAAACGCCCCTTGACACGCAGGCTTGCAATCACGCAATTTCGACCAGGCAACACCTAATTCGTTCCTATTCGTCAAGTACTCCGTACTCCATAAGCCCGTCTCATACGTCAGCGTGTCTCAATCATGTCATGCCGAGTCACGCTGTCCTAACCACGACTAGGAATGTTGCTCGACATGGTATCGGGAGAGGGCGGCGCATCATTGGAATTTCCGGCGCAAGCGCTGAGCTCGTTATTTATAAGAAACTGCCTGTCCCCACGTAGTTCAAAGGCACGTCAGCTCAGGCACCAACGCATTGAGCCCCAAGCGTGCGCGGCACGTATCATATGAATGGCTCCAGCCGAGGCGGATCCTTGGGTGATGCGACGCTCTGGGTAGCAATACGACCAATAGATCTTGCTCTCCTACTAGCACGGCCAGAAGCGCAAACACCGAGTATAGAGGGGCAGTTCAGAAGAAAGCCTCGGAAGTTTCCGAACCTAGCGTGAGGCACTGTCAAACCGTCGTGCCAATAGCAAGCCATTTAGGAGCTTCGCACCCATGTCCTGACAAGTCACAGCCTGACAACTGATCACGCGATAGACTCCTCCTAGCTAAATCTTTAGAGCTTAAATTGTAGACAATGGTGTCACAGAAATCAAGTGTACAGGGCACTTGTGGAAGCGGCATCTAACTACGCCCCACGAGATTACACATAATGGGTTCTTCTGTATTTACAATCAGGCCATTTAATGCTGCAAGCATAAGCATTTCTTCTCTAAAGAGCAGTAACAGTGCTCCTCTAGTATAAAAGCAACAGAGTATCTTCTCATGCCAGACGGTATTATTGACAAAGACTACGTCACTCATACAAAATGCACTCCCTCGTTTATCTCACTGCTGCCCTGCCTCTCGCGCTAAGCGCTCCCCAAGCGTCGACCGATGTCCCTGTGGAGCTGATTTGCGATCCTGGGTACAAATTTTTGCTTAAGCTGGGTGACAGAGTATCCCAATATCCCATAGGATTGAAGTTCAAACCCCGGGAGGGCCTCGTGTCAAGTCATTTTTTCACTGAGGAATTCCCCACGGCCGGCTCCGAAATAGTTGCGGTTTTGCCTCGTGAGAATCCTGAGGGCGAATTGACAATTTATCTACAATATTTTCCTCACCATAATATACCGTTTATTGGTGGGACGATAGAGATAAAGCTGGATGGTACGTTTGTCTAGTGTTTCTTTACTAAGCGGCGAAGCCCTTTTTGTTCTCTCTCTTTTTTAAAGAGTGGCACTAACTATTTACGCTTAGAACTAGTGCTCGAAAAGGATTGCCCGTATGAGGGGCGAAAGCTTGTGAAGAAACTCTTAGAAAACCAAACTCTTAAGCCGGGAAACCACTTAGGCGGCGAACCCAACAACTATGTTTTGCTCAAATATTCAGTAGGAAACATAGACGCAGATGATTGGGAGGAGCTATTTGTGTGACAAGCGTTGAATTATAGTCAAGCCGCAAGTCACTACAATTGTTAGAGCCTTATCGCCTACTACAGACTTTAACGTCGCAATATGTTAGAAAATAGTGCTTCAACAACACTTTACATAGCTAGAGTTCACTTCATTGACTGTAATGTCGACTCTTTTCAAATATAAAAGGTCTGAAATATCTCAATGGATATTCTTGTTGTGCATAACATAAGGTCTCGTAACAGTTTTGTGTAAAGTTTTATGTGATATGTCCTCCTGTGCCTCTGCTGCCTCGGAAAACACATCAATATACAATAGCAGTGGAGTCAAGTTTTTAGACTTTCCAAGGCTTTGATTCTGGGGCAAAGTCCAATTCGGAAGAGGAGTAGACTGCCGTCGCTCACGACCATCCTCTATGAGTACACTGTGACTCGTGAGTGGTATTGGGAAGCTGACGCGTACTTGCTGTCCAGCGGACAGGATGCATCCCACTCGACTGTCGCCGCACCATGGAATTCGTCCCATGATGGCCTGTTCTCCGTGGTTGAAATATAGGGAACAGCAGCAGGCATTTAACTGATTTCGCCAAGATCAGCGGCAACAAGCCAGGATCAGGCCGCAAATGAAACACAAAGTGCCTGGTGCAGGCGAGCGGTGTTCCCGTTGTATCATCGAGAAGCCTGTAATCTCACTATAACGAATTGTAGTTTCTAGCCTTGTCTGGTCCGCCAGGCTTCCTATTGGCCCTAATCTTTACGAGAGGTGCCTAATATGTGTTGCGGCATTAATAGCCTGGACTAGAGATCGTCTGCGACCCACACATACGGAGCAGTCATCACAAGATAGGAAGGTCATCATACCTGCTCGTAAATTAGTTTGCAAGTCTTTTTTTGAGCTAGGCAGTAGCTTCATGTTGAGAGTCTGTCTCTAGTCGCGTCGTGTAGTGGACAACTACCAACAGGTCCCTTGAGTTACTGCATAATGCTACGCTTCTGTACGAAGTGAGGGGGCACTAGTTATCTGAAACGCGACTAGACTGGTTGTATCCCAGAGGCGTCAAGCTGTTGGCCTTGCTCATGCTTTCATCTGGCTTCTGGAACAATATGGGTCGAAGTCTTCTCCCTGGCAGCACAGCCAGATAATGACAACAATGATATAAGAGACGGGCTGGCCAACCTGACTTGGAAATTTGCAGTTTACGTTTAGGAAGAATCCTTGATCGATCCTGTTCCAAATTATAGTCGGTTCTCCGCAGTAATTCTGAAATGAAGCATTCCTTGTTTGCCGTTGCCACACTCGTCCCCCAGTTTGGCTTTGCCCTAGTTGGGAACAAATGGTCTTTCTCTGGCAGTCCCCGAGACGGTTTGAAAGACATTACCTTTCCTTTTAACATGCACGGTGCCGCACACGAAAGTGGATTTTACGTCGCCCAGCAGTTCTCTTTCCTGAATATCAGTGGCGGCGGCTATTGCGGCATTCAGAACCGACCCAACCAGGGCGGGAAAAGCATTGTACACGCTGTATTTTCGATGTTTCATCAAGGTACTACTACCAACGATGCCAACTGCCACATCGGAGCCGATGGTGGCGTTGGTGTGAGCTGCGCCGTCGAGGTTGTCGGCAACTACAACACCACCTACAACTTGGTCGTTAAGAATGTCAAAGGCACCACTTGGACCGGGACTATTGTCGACACGGACTCTGGAAACCAGACACGCGTCGGGACCTACACCTTACCGAGCGGCGCGGGCGGTATCAAGTCCTCCCAGTCTGGTTTCGTGGAATACTTCCCATGGAACGGCGGCGGCGCCCCCAATTGTGCAGAATTGCCCAAGTTCAAGGCAGACATGTATCAACCCCAGTCCAAGACGTGCGGCGCTGGAACAGGTTCCATGAAAAACATACACCAATACGGGAAATGTAAGGGAAAGGTCAATTTTTCTTCGAAGGGTGTCCCTAGTGGTTTTGAGATTGAGGTTGGGTTTTAATGCTTGGACCGCAGAGACGAAGCCGGTCGTGACGAAGCATTTGTCCGTGTTGACATGGGGGAAGAGGAGTAGCATCCAGTTTCATTGTTAATACTCTGACGGAATGTAACGCCTCGTCACAAGTATCTTTATTTATTGGCCATTTCATTTCCGAGGACTGAAGCTACTTTGCCGCCCCAGGCATACGCAGCAACAATTTGAGCTCTAGCAGCCGCAGGTACAGGAAGCAGCTCCAGACCAGGTAGCCTTTACGACACTCCGGCAAAATCTCACGCAAGTCGCTTTGAAGAATTCCCCAAGAGCGGCCGTCATGGTGGGCTGCATTGACATCGCGACATCGTTGGCAATGTCGGATCAAAGAATTTGCCAATGCGTACAGCGGCGTAGATGCTGATCTGGCAAAAAGCATATTGTACATTGTCGGCTGAAACTACGCAGTCATCACACGCGACATAGAATTCCGCATGCCATAGCCCATCTACCCTGTGCATGGTGACCGCCAAGACGAACCCGTTCGTCTCGGCTCGTAGATTCTTATCACGTGCGCCAAGCTATCCACAGCCCGCGAGCAAATCCGAATGACGATCGGCTGTCTCAACTCTCTGGGTGAGGTGTGGGCATGACCTTGTGCGACCGTAGTTTGTGAGCTACCGACGGCCTCAGGTTGGAGAGGCAAGAGCCTTTTGTGTATTCGCCATTTCACGTCGCATTTTGCAGACTCTCGTCTATGGCACTCACAAGTCTGTGTACAAAGACGAGTCTCGTGCTTAGATCCATGTAAAAACTGCGCCTATTCAGCAATGGCATGTATACGAAGCACTCAGGCCGGTTTGCCCAGCTCAACGTTTACATGGCCGCCATTTTCCCATCCCTGACAACCACCTTCTGGGTTTCCGTTCAAAACACCGTAATTGGCCCCGGGCTGGCTGCCTGGTCCGCACTTGTCCAATATATAGGAGCCCGCCTCCCAGCAAGTGTTGCCGGCCTTGCAGAGAAACACACATTTGTCCATGCCGGTTGTGCACCCTCCCTTGGTGCGAGCAACCATGTGAGATCCCGACATGTTGATCAGACGAGATATGTCAACCGTTGCGTGCTCTCCGCTCGTAAACTCGCCCCAAGTATTGTCGATTTGACCGTTTGCAGAAAGCCGAGTTTTGCGGTTGACGAGAGCGGACCAGCCGCCAGATACGCCATTACCCATGGACACACTGACGCTGTCGCCGTGTTTTGGCAGCGAGAATGAGACTTTAGGCCGCCGTGCGTTCATGAAGCTGGCCTGATAATCGCCTTTGGGGAAATCCCACACAATGACTATGACGGGTTCGCTGCCTGCGTTGGTGAAGATGAGCTTGCTGGGCCCCTGATCGCCTATCCAGATATTTATATTGGGCGCGGGAGACTTGGCGTTCACCCCTTGGCCGGCCATTCCAATGCTTGACATGTATTCGCAGTCATCTTGAGTGAGGCCGTCTGCGGGCTTCCCACAATCGAAGCCACGTCTTTCCAATGCCGATTTGCTACTCGCCCTTGTCAGCCGGCGCCGTCCAGCAGAGCGCGATACAAGGGGCCAAAAAAGGCTTACAAACCGGTCGCGACCGAGTTGACGACGGAAGGAAATGCCGCAATGGCAGCAATGAAAGTGACGGGTATCATGGTACAAAATAGATGATAGAGATCGTCGCGGCAAAATAAGAGAATGACATGTACAGGGACTTGCGAAGATGATTACATGGGAGCCGAAGGAGAGTAGAAGCTACCAGGTCTCTCAAAGTTCGGACAATTACTGCGGGAACAGGACGAATATATGGAATCTCGAGACCCGACATCAACCATTTCGGCTTTGTTATTTTACACAATGCCCTAGGTCTCCTCATAATCTGTGCTAGGCGAGGTCTTGAGTCCCTTTGTTGCCAGTCCCTCTGAACAGCGACTCAACACCATGACAGAACAAGTTGCTACAACCGTCCGCGTCTCGTTGAGGTCCTCTTTTTGCGTTAGCTTGGCATGGCAATCCTACGGCTCCTTGTCCGCTGCGGAACCGAACCAATTTCTTTGTTCCTATCTTCACGGTGGTGCGTTTGTTCCACATTGTCCCAACTCATTGAAGTCTGTTGTCTTGGCGGCTTTGTCTTGACACATTGTTCTTCTTTTGTCCTGGGCGCTCACAGAAACGGACTCTTCCTGATGTGGTCTCTGCTGTCAGAGGGCCATGACCAGGGAGGGTCATTTCAACCAGAGATGTATCAAAGAAGCCAGAACTCTTTTGTCATACAGCACAGGTAACCTTGGCGGGTATTCACTTCTGACCAGGTTGAAAAGAAGTTCCTCATCTCGTCATCAGACAGGACGCTGACGATAACGTCGCACAGAATATGGCATCGGAAACATCAAGTCTGCTGTTGTGGGAAAAAATATTCTCTTGGCACTTAGGGGAAAACCAAACTCGCCCTTGGGATTGGCCTTGTGATGGGCATTATGTCAAATGCTACAGCTTTTACAAGCTCAGGCAATCGTGGCAGACCAAGTTTAGCCTGGCCAGGTAATGGAGGATAACAACAACAAAAAAAGTATGAATAGCATTGCCACATACGTGTCTTATTCTATTCGGCGACTCCTCATCCATTCCGAATGCCCTCGTGCTGATCTTGAACGAGCAGCCTTCAGGAAGCTGTACAATGAAGTCACCACGGGCATCCCGAACTTTTGTCTCTACTCTTGTCGTCTCGGATCCAAGATATGATGTCCGCAACCTGGGCGGGTTTCTGTACCATGTTCTCCAGAGATTGGGAGATTGGGTCGCAACAAGGCTCTCCATCGGTGTGCCAGAGCCCTCGCGCGAGCAATGGCGAGTGCTCGACGCGGAAAGGTTACTTACTGTGCAAGCTCTTGCCGACTACGGCGGCGGCATGAAAGCGTTTCGAGCAACCCTCACGGAGCCCGAGGCGGCCAAGGCAGCTGAGACGCTCGTCGCTACGTACCAGCTGTGTCTGCATGTGCCAGGCGTGTCTCCTCGGCGCGGATGGTCATGACGGGATTCACTAGAATGGACTGGCCATGCTGGTGGAGCGAGCTTCGCCGCAAGAATGGCAAGATCCCTTTCACGGCGAGGCCTTGACATCCGCAGCGTTCAGCGTTGTGTGTTTCTTGGAGGGCCTTTTCTTTTTCACCACGTCTTGATTGACGGGTGCTTCAGGTCCTGGCAAGCATCTCCGAACCCACACTCAAGCTGTCGCCAGCTATAATTGACACGTCGAGAGGCGTCTGCGGCCCAGACCCGGGTCCCCTCTTCGTCGACGGCGTCTAGGCAACAAGCCTGCGACTCGAGAACCTGTGTCTTTTCCTCGTCGCCGCGCAAGAGCCTCAATAGCACATCCGGGATATGCGATCTGCGTACAAAACCTTAATGGTGGAGTCGCGGCGGGTTGTCAACTTCTATCAGTGACTTTATCGACGCCGTGGGCAAACGAGACGCCCAACTCGAGTCCTTGGGCGCTGAGGTACAGCTTTTTCGAGCGTACTTTGCCTGCGAGGGCGTCAACACGCTGACATTCGTGTTTGTGCTTGCTTGAAACTAGCTGAACCACAACTTGTCCCTGATCGAGAACGAGGACTTTTTGTCCGTTCAGTGTGTGGAGGCCGCAAAACAGTCATTCAAATTCAAGCCGGTAGGGCCGTCGTTAACACCGCTCGCATTGGGAGCCGCATGGGCGTCTACAGCGGATATGGTGAAGGTAATCGAAGCGGCCAAGCTGCTTGACGAGCTCAAGGACGATTTGTTAGGTTCCAAGTTTATGAGATTAGCCGTACAGCTGGAGGCCAGGTTCAGGCATGTTGGTCGGAAACTAGGAAATGAACCGCACCCTGAGCCTGGTCTGAGCAGGATCCAGGCAAGATCGAGCCTGGAATTTTCATCGCCAGCGGAGAGTGAGGTACCAAGGGGAGGGCACAGCTGCCGCAGGATGCTGCGTTATGTAAACAAATCTTGCGCATAGATGCCGCTCTTATGGATGAAGAGAGAGAAAAATGTCTCGGGCTAGTACGTGTTTCCAAACGGCGTACTCCCCCAGTCCGACTCGAAGCGTTCCCAGCCACCATGTTCCAGCTCACTGGCCATGTACATGGTATAGACAACCATGTCATAGTAGCCGTCAGCGGGTGTCTTGCCGCCACACACATTTCCGCCCATGGCAACGTTCAGCAAAACTGTCATTTCCCTCATAGGCCGCGTCCCCTCTGGTATTGGCGCCTTCATGACGGGCCTGCCATCTATGTACCATACCATCCTCCCCTGGCCTGGCTGGCCACCGGGCTGCTGCCAGGCAAAGTCATAGCGTACAGGTCGAGCGTGCATATCGGGCATCTTCGTCCCCAGGACGCGATGCTTTTCAGGCTCGTGGTGGTGTCCCCAGTGGAGGCAGGACCTATTCTCGCAGTCGCCGTTCCACGTCTCCGCAATGTCAATTTCGCCGTCGACGGGCCAGCTGAACGGCTCCTGGGGCAGAAGCCAGAATGCGGGCCAGATGCCGTCTGCACAGGGGGACGCGATGACGGCAGTGAGTACACCTTGGTCTCGCTCCAGAGTACGTCTGCTCACCAGACGGGCCGAGGTGTACTTGTGCTCGGGGTTGGGCGAGGAGTTGTTTGCTAGGGCGCGGATGATCAGCCGGCCATCTGGGGTGCTACGTGGCAAGGTTAGTCGTATCAATCGTTGACGAGTACAAGCTTCATGGGGAAACAAGTCGGATGCAATATCAGATCGTACTGGAAGGAATTCTCGGGAGCAGCGGTGTAATGCTCCAGCTCCTGGTTTCCCCAACCGTCGGGCCCATTGCCCAGCTTTGCGTCCCATTCCACATTGACTGGCGTATCTGGGTAGAATCTCGGAGCCCAGTAGGTGTGGAAGCTCGGGCTGGGGCGTGGCGGTGGCCTGGATGCCATCGGCAGTGGAGGTGGTTGCTGACGTTGACTCTGATCCTTGGGATTGATGATGCTCTCGATGTCGGCCTTGAGACCCTGGAGCTTATCCTTCCAAGGCATTCTGTGGTAGGACACGATGTTGTCTACTGATTGCATCCGAGTTGGGCGTAGCCAGATTGACCCAGATGATGCGCAATGTTTCGAATGATGGATGGGGGACGATTTCATTGAACGTACGTCGGCTCGAAGCTGCCACGCCGATTCGACCCAGACGTCACCTGACCAGACCACAACGACGCGGATTGACTGGCTGTGTACTCGGAACGGGAAACGTCACTGCTCAAAGCGACAAACAGCGTCGTAAAACAACGGAATGCGGCCATCACGCCAGGGATTCCAGCCCGACGTCATGACGGGCTGTCAACAACCCTGGAATCATGGCTCGACAACCTTGACCCAGGATCTGCGATGGGCCTACAGTCGCAGGTCCTCGCAATATTGTCCTCGACGTCCCTAGGATGTGTGCACCATCGCACGAGACATCGTCGTTTTTGCAGGTTGAAGAAAATGAAAACTGACCGAGTTGGACAGGCGTTCGTGTCGGCCAAGACGACACATGATGCGGCCGAGTTCGTGCAACTGGTGTCACTGGCACCAAGAACGGTACGTTCATACACTTCTACGTGGTGAGTGGTATTGGTGAATGCAGTTCGAACAATGTGACACTGCCACGCTGAGCTGTGGCCTGAACGCCAGCACGCGGGCTAGCCCACGAGGACAAGGAATACGCTGTTAGCCTGGATTGTACAGAATAATGATGACAGTACGGATGACTGACAGATTGACGTAGAACACATACGGTCGAGGGCCAGCAAGTTGGTGGCCAGACATGCTCCTCGGGACCCGGAGGGTGGGCAAGGTTGCCCCAGGAAGTGAGCATATTTCGTTTCTGCACTTGTCTTGTTCTTGTAGTTGGCTACGATAGTACCTGTTGTGTGATCTGTCATGACAATCCAGCAGTGTATAGCCCGTGGCGCCAGCACCGCGTTCTTGGTCGGATTTTCCGGCCCCGTCTCAGCATCACCTTCACCTTCTTGCTGCATACCATGACGGTACCAGGTTATTGATCTCATCGCGTGAAGGCATCACGAGGTCTTAACGGCTGTGACGGTCCAAGCTGAGGATATTGACAGCTAGCTAGGCGACTACTACGAGCACTCAAACACTAAAGAAGGAAAAGATGACTGAACAAGAAAAGGCGAGGTTCGGGAGCTCTTGCCTCAGCTCGACGTATGTTGAATCTCGCTTGTCGGCAGGTCCCGGCCCGCATGCGGAAGGCAAGAGTGCAAGCCGAGGTAGGTACACTAGGCTCAGCCCGTTACACCAGCATGCCGCGTCAGCTGTCAGTTGTTCCGTGATTTGAAGTAATTTTTCGATTATCGGGTGTGTCTATATTGTGTGTTGGCCAGATATATGTTGTGTCGTCATGTCAAGTTTACTACCGTCTCACGTGCATACCGCCTGCACAGAAAGTGTCAAGACTTGCAGAAGAACATGTGTCTCGACTCGAGACCCCGAGGCAGTTGCCCCTCGCTCTGGCCAATTACGCGAGACCTTGGGTGCCGCCGATGGACGTTTTGACCTTGTTGACTCGAGCGTTTACGAGACACCCTCGCATTAGATGCGTGTCAATAAATATTGATGACTCCAGTATTCTGTAGAAAGTCGAATTCAGCCAGCCACTAGCTTAATCATCACACATAGTCTCCAATGTCGTTTGACTCGCGAGCGTTTGGGAGAAACTCGTTCGCACTAGAGATGCGTCATCTATGAGTCGGAAGTGAATCAAGCCCAGCTTGTGGCTATCCCGCTTCGCTGATCCTGCATCCTCTAAAGCTCTTGGCTCGAACATGATTGGCAGCAGTATGGTTTCACAACATGAATACACTTACAGCCTCCGGTAAACATTGATATCGCAATTCGTTTATAGTTCTCCTTCCGTTGTAAACGCTAAATTTGGGGAAACCATACAATCACATTCACAATGCGACAGCCACCTTGCTCTGGGGTCAGCGAATTCCTGAAAGACATATATAAGCTGTAGTTTGCCAGTTCAGTCGATCATCCTTAACTCATCCTAAAGCATATCCGATCAATCTTAATTAAGTGCTACCTCCTTCCAAGCTTCCACCGAGCGACCAGCGGCCCTATCAATATGCCGACGCCTAGCAATGATAAGACCCTCGCTGGGCTCTTTCACTACTTTCAATCTCGCCCAGGCTCGTACACGACCGAGCAGATTCAAGAAATTTATAACTATGTTAAGAAGCAGGAACATGGTAATGAGATTATTGATCTCGTTCTGAAAATGTCCAAACATTTCAACCATAGTCAATGTATGCATAAGCTAAATGCATTTGATAATACCTCTTTTCATTAATGCCTATTGGCTATAGTAAGATGCTGACAGGGTACAGTTTCTACTGCTAGATTGGCCACAATTACGGCAAGTGGAGTTGGGGCTTTTCAACACAAAACGCCCGCGCAGAGCTCCAGTATCAACTTGATCTTCTATAGTAGAATTTGGGTTGATATTCACGACCTCTCTAATGTGAAACGAGCAGTCACTGATCTAGGTGGTCTTTGCTTCAGTCTGCCTGGTGGTGCTACATGGTACGCTCCCTGTTACGGTACTATCTAAGCGGAATCCTAATCACAGGCTCTATGAAGGGGAGATTTATACTATAACAACGCCGACGATCTCAGTGGCAGCGGCGTTACTACCCAGTTAGGTGGTGGTGTTGTAAGCTAGTCATAAAGACTTCTCCGTCCTATACTCACATGGGCACGGAAGTGTGGCTAACATATGTAAAGGGCTACTGGGAGCTTACCTACTGGCGAGACGGAAATTGCTTTGCGACCTATCAGGCGGGAGGAATCCCAGGCGGTGTTTGCGCAATGGGAGGCACTACCACTTTTGAGACATAAACAAAGTCTCTGTCAGACGAGCAGATGGGCTTGAGTCGCCGTGCATGGAACTACCCACACATCAATGGAACATGGCAGGTATTGCCTGCAGTTTAGTCTTCTTCTGATTGTCACTCTTTACACACCTAGGTCCCTAGCTTTATGCAATATTTACATTCATTTATTTACATGCGAGCGGCTAGAGGTAACTGATGTCCTTCTCATTCCACACCATCTTGGACGCATAGCCCAGCGTGCTATTACAGGGCTCTCGCAAGTTTCCGCTTGTAGTGTCGAGGCAAAATCTAGGCGGCGAATTCTCCATGTCTCTTTTGTTTGTGCGGCTGCCGAAGCGACTGAGGGGGGCGCTTCCGAGTGCCATGACCCAAAGCGAAGCAATGAAAAGACTCAACGGATTCGGGACCAAGCCGCTGCCAAGGAAAGCGGTTGAGGAGCTGCTGAAGAAGGGTGGGAGAGCATACCTTCTCAGTCTTGCACCTAGTCATAATCCTGCCAAGGTCGGCTTACGAGGAGTGGCGACTAGACGCATCGAACAAATTAACATTACTGTGTTTTTATGCAACGCCGTGCAATACGGCTGAAATGGATTCGCGGTCAAGCCCCATGCCGCGTCCCGACAATCTTTCTCAAATCATTGAACCAGACATATCGGCTGATAATCATGTACAAGTGTCTGTCCCACGTATACTGGCTGCCATGACTCGCAAAAGCCTGTCTGGTCATGGCGTAACGGTGCCACGTGCTGGACACCAGCGCGCGCGTATTGTACGCAGGCTCCGCTGACCTTGACGGGAAGAAGATGGCGGCCAGGATTCTCCACAGGAATGAGAGTGCAGTCAGCGGCAAGTCCAACAAGAAGGTGTACTTTCGAGGGAGCGCCACGGATACAACCATGTACGATGCTGGTGCCTTTTCATTCTCTGCCACGTATTGACTGGGTCGAGGTTAGCTGAGCATCGTCCGAGAGTTGCCCGTGGGCAAACTTACTTGACCGCAGAGCTGACAGCCCGGTGGTTGATGTGGCCCGACACACCACCTTCATCAAAGGTGATGATCTATTCCGGAGTGTTAGCTAGCCGGCAGCATGGCCACTTTTCTCACAAGCATGGGACTGCGTACGGCATCTATGTCCCATTTCTCAATGTACTCTTTCAAGATGGGTTTGATCTTGGCCTCTTCCCACCATACGGTGGGATTGTCCTGCAAGTCAGGATTATCTAGAGCAACACACCGAGACGTGTCGATACCAAGTGCTTCACATGAACCTAGAAGCTCCTTCTTTCTGGTCTCGCCAAGCCCGTAGTTGTTCCCTATCACGCCATGTATTAGCCAGGTACTGATGGGCCAAGGCCGACAACGAGTCTGAAGTGTTTCCAGTCGGGCGGTATCATGACGCCCAAGGAAATGCCAACATCAAAGTCGGCAGAGGCGGACTGCGCCGTGTCGTACCTGTGGACATGACGACCAAGCCGCCTTTGATGCTCTTGTTCCTATCCAAAACGCCCAATATACTCGGTGAAAAGAATAAGCACTCATCGTCTGGATGAGCCGTCACAATAAGCAAGTTCTTTGCGTTCAGGAGTTCCGATGGCAGCAGACGAGCATCGCTGCCCAACATGTACGCCAAAAGCCATTGCAACGAGAGCGGGAGCAGACACAGAATCAACGCAAATCGAATAAACCACCGGCGACGGACGCGAGTAGCTACGAGCCGGTGGCACGCCCTCGATACGGCCGGCACTGCGTTGGAGAGTCTGCGCACCATGAATGCCGACGACGTTTGAGGTGAATGTCGGACTCTTGTGTGACGGAGTCGCGTACTGGGGGTGTGATGCAGGGATCAGTCACCTCGGAATGACGCGTCGATGAGCGAGGCGCACATGCAGCTCTCTGTGTGTATCGAGACGACGCAAAAGAGGCCGCTGCTGGGTCACGGGTGCTGGGGGTGAATGTCGTCGTGATTGTCAAGGACTCAAGGCAAGCTTGCGTTGCCCGCTGGGCCGTAAATTGAAAGAACGCTGCGCCACCGATTCCTTGTCTATGCTTATGGCGCAGCGCGGGGTGTGGCGCAGCCGTCCTACACACTGTGTGGAGTGCGGAGAAAGGGCGGATTAATTCAATCCCGTGAAAGCGTGAAAAGTGCAAATGAGATCAGTTCATGTGAAGTAGTTTTAGGGTCCAAATGAAACCTCTCCTTTTCTCGGTTTGTTTGTTTGTCCCTTGGAAATGCTTCAAGCACCACGTGAGCCGGTGGCGAAATGATGGGCCGCGACAAAATCTATCCATCGAGCTTGCGGTGCTGCCCTTGTTGCCGAGTTACTTCAGCAACCCCAAGCAATCGAGACAAGGCTGATGAAGCTAAAACTTGGTGAGAGAACCGGCTCCGTCCACCCTCAGCCACCGCAGATATAAGTTATTGAGTTCGAAGCTTTCCACGGCGTCGGCAGAGGCCGCCGCAGCCGCAGCCGCGCCACCGACCTCAGCTGTGGGCGCTGTTGGGAGAACTTGGAAGAACGGCAGGAGCAGCGATAAGCGACTCTGGAGGGGGTGGTTGTAACTTGTAACTAACTTGTAAGCTCGTCAAATTTGGCGTCGTAATCGGTAAAGCCACCGTGACGTCGGAAAGCCTTGTCTAAAAGCTCCCTCATTTCGGCCCGCTTGGAGCCCCGGCTCCGGCTCCGGCTCTGCAGCGATAATACAGCACTAGTACTCCGTATAGTCAGTCATGAGGACGGGGATTCTCAGGCCGTTCCTGGTCTTTGGATTTAGCTCGGACTGGCTCTAGTGCTTTCGAGACGCCGCTAACGGGGCTCGGCGGGCTCGATGCCAGGTGCCCCTTGTCCTTATCAACCCGCGGGGCCAGGCACCCGCTCTTTGAGGAAGGCATTCTCGAGAGCGAACAATAGATAGCAATTTAAATACGTTTTCGACGTCAAAGATCAGACATGCGTCTCTTTGTTCTTGCTTTGTTGTCGTGGCTGCGGCAAGCACCGCAAAGGGAGTGAACCGCCAAACTCCATCAACTCAGTTCCGTGACGGTCTCTTTCTTTCCTCAGCACTGCCGGTGGAAGCCAAAGCCACACACCAAATGCAGTTGTGTACGGAGTATGGAAAAATGTGTCGCTGACTGACCGGGCGGCTCTCGGCAGACTGGGACCTTCGTTCTTGGCGAGCCTTGGGGGGTGATGCAAGGGGCACTCTCACCCAAGGGATGAGGTAGGCACCAGTACCAGACCAGACTGTGCGAGCGGATGCAAACTTGGGATGGAGTGTGACGCGGCCCAACACGGGAACGTGCCCAGGGAAAAGCAGGGCTGGCCCATGGGCCATGGGTCGTTAACTTCTACATCATCAGAGAGGATGTAGCAGCAAGTAGTTACGCAGTCACGTCTTTTCACGAAGGGGCTTCCCATTTCTGACAGGTGTGTGTGCTGGTGGTGGTGGGTTGGCCCCCAAGCAATCGTCGCGTGGCCAAGAGCGTCAGTTGACGGGACTCGGCGCCCGGCACGACGAGACCGACGTGGCATGTCATGACGCATCATGACGACGGGGCCTAAAAGCTTATTCTGAAGCCACCAGACAGGCACGTTGAGTAAACTGCTGCGGCTCGAGGTATTTACATGGCTCTCAACGAGCGGTCGGTTGGTGCCGCCGCGACAATGGCTACTCGAGTAGGCAGGCCGTGTTCGAGTTGTAACAAAAGGCGTCAGGCTTCTGGCCAGACCGCGCTCTCTGCCGACCGTCAGGACGCAGGAGTCAAGCACAGGCCAAGCCTGGCGTACGCAAGTACTCGGGCGGTTGTCCACCGTCCACCGTCCACCGTCCACCGGCGGGCTGTGACGCCAATCACAAACGCCGATGCTGGTTCTCCGTTCAGGTGGTGTGCGACCCACTTCCTGTTCCAGTCAAGCCCCCATGCAACTGGTACTCGCCGGGTCCACTGGCGTCAGCAACGCCATTGGTGGCACCGCCCACCAGGCGCTACCCGAGCCCCACAGGTCCTCTGACCCGTCAACTGGTCTCTGGTCTCTCCCCACACGTCCAAACTGCCAGGCTCAAACCGTCCAAACCGTCCGCCGCCCGCCCAGTGACCGTGACCACTGACAACATGCTCCGTCAGTACTGGCTGGCTGGCTGGCTGCCGTCGACATCAATGGACCAGGTCATCTCTCCAGACCCTCGCATCCGCCCCTCCCTTCCCCTTCTCCATCCCCGGTCGAACCCCCCCCCCCCCTGCTCCCACCCATCTTCCATCTTCACTCAATCTTTGCCCGTCTGTCCGCCCATTCATTTTGCTTGCCTGTGCTGGTGCTGTCTCTCCCGCCTGCTCTTTCTGCCCTCGTCCTGAATCTCAACTTTGTCCTCATACCAGCCAGCTCCTTTTGTCTGCCGTGAGTCTCCCTTCTCGTTTCCCCTCCACAACTTTCCTCTTCATGTACTGCGTCTTCCGCCTTGGCCACCTGCCACCCGTTTCTGAACGCTTCTCAACCATCAGCTCCCGTCCACCCTTGCCAGAAGCAGGAAAAAGCAGCAAAGGAAATACGGAGTGAAGAACAGAGAAAAGGAGGGAAAGAGGAAATCAAGGGCGCCGCGTCATACCATACCTACCTCTGCTTATCGTCGACAAGCACTGCCCTTCCTTTGCATTTCGGACCTCCTCATTCGACCTCACCATGTCTGCGCCCCCTCGATCCTGAACTTGCTTTTTCCTCCTCAATCACTCATTGATGCTGCAAGATCGTGGCCTCTGTTTCCGCCGCTCGCATGCTGCCGCCCCAATCCACACGCCTCTGCTCTCCGTCGCCGACGGTGCAATAACGTTGCCTCCATTGTCGTCCATCTCGTTCCAATCGCCGCTTCGCCGAATTCCGCCACCCATCAGAGCTTACCGTCTTTCCTCAAAGGACTGGCACACTCTGGTTACAGTGTCTTGACACGTGCTCGCATTGTCGTCCCACGGCTCGCTAACCTACCCTCGACTGGTCAGGCACTTTGGCAGCGACGCGACGGGCGACACGCAAACTTGTCAAGCACAACCAGAGAGTTCTCCTTCTTTCCTTGTTGCTTTCTCTCTCTCTGAATCCGCAGGAAACCACACAATGCACAAGTCATCTCATGCGCGGAACCAGTCTGGAGGAAAATCCCGGCCCATCCTCCTGGCTGCTGTGGTATTGTTAGTCGTGACCTTGTGGTTCGGCCGCCACCTCCTGTACACGAGTTGGACACTAGCCGCCCTTCGCGTGTTCTGGCACGACAACGCATCTGATTTCATTCTTTCCGAGTCCCACGACAATTTCGACGTGTCTTTTGCCAGCTACGACATACACCAAGTCAGTGCCGAGCCTTACGAGGACCTTGTGCCGCCCATCTTGCACCACATCGCATTGGGAGACAATGAAGGCCGGTGGAAGGCCCGGTGGGGGGAGGCTGTGCAAAGTTGCCTGGATATGCATCCCGACTGGGAGTCGCACATCTGGACCGACGACAACGCTAGCCAGTTTGTCGCCGACAAGTTCCCCGAGCTGAAGGCGCTCTGGGATAATTATCACTATCCCGTCGAGAGAATCGACGCCCTCCGCTACATGCTACTGTACGCGTATGGAGGTGTCATCCTGGACATGGATCTTAAATGCAAGCGAGCTCTGGGTCCGCTTAGACGCTTCTCCTTCGTCGCCCCCGAGGCTCACCCGACTGGCTTCTCCATCGGGTTCATGATGGCCAGCAAGGGTAATGCCTTTGTCGGCGACATTGTGCGTAACCTGACGGTTTACAACAAGGAATGGCTGGGGCTTCCATACGCCACCGTCATGTTTAGCACTGGCTGCCATTTCGCATCCGTCATTCACGTGTACGAATCCAACCGGACCGACCTCAAGGTCCTCCCGGGGCCTCTGCACAGCTTGAACGGGCGGGTATCGACGCCCATCTTCGACCACTTGGGCAGCTCATCATGGCACTCGTACGACGCGAAACTAATCGTCACAATTGGAAGCCGGATCAACCTGATTTTCTTCTTCTTTGTGGGAGTCGCGCTGGCGCTGTTTTTGAGAAGAAAGTCTCTGCTACGTCGATTTTAGATGGCCGCCCATGGTCCTCACCGAGTCGGATCCATTCCTCGATGTCATGGCTCGATTCGCGTCTGCTTTCCGCACGCTAGAGTGGGGGCGCGCGAGCGAGAGAGAGAGAGACAGAGAGACAGAGAGACCGGTGAGCCGAGTCGTCCAGACAAGCATGTATATACCTGGTTTTGGTTGATTGCTCAGCGAGAGTTGCATAGAATTTACCGGACACATGGATGTCCTGATTATTAACAGCGTATTTTTCAGGTCAAGCGGGCTTCAAGCATGCGGGTGTGACGAAAACACTTTCGTGGGTAATGCAGCAGGGATGGAGATGGAATTGTCGGAATAAAATGATCAAGTCAGTCGCTGGAGATGGTGGCAGCTCAGTTCAGTCAGTCAGTCCACATATGTTGTATATATGCTCCTCCGTATGTACTTGAGTATGTATGTATGTACTTGTGCATCTCGTTCGTGGACGCTTGAGATAGGGAGCGACTTGGAAAGCACGACTCTGTCCGCTCAACGCCCAGTGATGCTGCCCAAAGCCGCCAGTTCTGTGCTTCTAAAAACGAATACGCTGTACACAATAGCCATCATTATATGCAAAGTGCTATTTAGATCAATGCCCTTCATCCCCCCCCTTTTCACTACTTCCACGACGGCATCTTGCTCCAGTCTTTGCACATGCCGAAAAAGGTGCGACAAAACTTGCCGTATTCGACACGAGCATCAAACTTGTGCCACGATCCCATGGCGTGGTGGGCAAGGCGGGCGTCGGGGTCGGTATATGGCTTGGAGCCCATGTTGCCGAAACTGCCACGTCCAGGGCTGTTGCAACCACGGATCAGCATCAGACGAGACACGCACGCACTTGTCTGACAAGACGAAAAGAAGAGAAAGGAAAGCAGAAGAAAAAGAAAAGATAAAAAAAAAAAGAAAACAATAATGATAAGAAGAATAACAGGAAACCCCAAACGGTACATACCTGAAGCCAGTAATGGGCAAAACAAGAACATCCGACGCCAACTTGGACCGCCCCCCGTCTTTGAGACCCGTCATTGCGTTCCACCGCAGTCCGACTTGCTTCTTGAGCCAAACAATGGTGGCTTCCGTCACGGCGGCCGGGCCGGTGCGCGTCAGGGGATCGTGTACCTCGGGTTTCTCGCCGTTGCCTGTCTGTTGCAACGCAGCTTGCTTCTCCCGGGCCAGCTTCTCCTTCAAGCCGTCAAGGAATCGGTGCAGAATGGGATGCTGACGGGCAGATGCCATGGCCCAATTCGTCAGCTGCACAGGATGTGTGTATCCCATGCGCCAGAACTGATTGGTATTCGGGTCCGTATCCGCCTCGAGCCCCCAGAGAAGGTTGACGGGCCTGGTGTTGGCAAGCTCGACATCGGCATCATCCCCCGTGGGCAATACATGGCCGTATGTCTTGCCGGTTTCGTCGTCGGTCCACGGCGTGATGTCCTTCTTCTGGATCCAGTCGGCGGGGTGTTTGAGGGGCACGGTGTCGACATCGCCGTACTAGAATGACAAGCTGTCAGCAAAGCTTGATGTCTTGGCCTGCCCTGCCCGAATCAAGGCGGCAGAGAGCAAGAGCAGCATACAATACCACCAAACCACTTGCACACCAATACCCTGAAAATGTCCACCATTTCCACTCTCGAAAACATGGTTTCAAAGTCGTGCACAAAATCAGGCTCATAGCTCTTCACCAAGGCGGCGACGCCGTCGTCGGCCCAGAAAAAATACGCCATCTCGCGAAAGGTATCATTTGCGGAAACAGAGTACTCGAGCCATCGTTCAATGTATCCTAGAAGATGGCTGTTCAATCTGCTCAAGTCGACGTCGTTCCATTTTTGATGGACGACAAGGGGGATATTCGAGTAGGGCACTTGTCGCTGAGGACTGAGCTTGGCGGCTTCGGAAGCGAACTTGGCGGCGTCGAGGATATTTGCTGGCTCGGGGTGGTTCCCCTGCCATGACGGGGGGACGAACCAGGCTGTGCCAGAGTCAGCGCCACAGTTTCGTCAATGGAGGCGCTTGGTGCTGCCCAACGAGCGCTGCGAGGCATCAATTGGGGGAGGGGGGGACGGTCATACCTCCACCGGCAGTGCGGTTGAACTGCTGAATGTGCTCCCAGGCCAGGGGAAATCTCTGACGAATGCTCGCTTGATTCAGGAACCGCGGGCCGCGCGTCCTGGAAAGAACAGAAAAAGCAATGGCGCAGAAGACGACGGCGGAGAGCAGCAGCACGCGCGGGCGTAGGCGCAGAAAACGAGGCGAAATGAGCATCGCTGGCGTTCCCAGTGCGAACCTCAGGGAGACGTTTTGCGTACCCAGGTAGCCGAGTAGCAACTGCCGATGGAGTATCGTGAGCCACCAAAGAACGTGGTCGAACGCAGTCGAGTAGGGAGGATTGGATCATGGATGGATTGATGTTCTTTTCCGTTCTATAGGGACATGCTGGACATGGCGGAAGGAATCTGGGCGATGGGGGACGCCGTGAGGAGAGCGGGAGAGAAGACGCCGGTTGCCCAGGTACGGAGTAGCGAGCGGAGGAGATGCAGAAACAGGAACAGACGAGGGGGATGACGATGAGGAATTACTACGCAAGGGGCGCAGAGATGTGCCAAGGGATGGGCGCCTGTGGTCGTGTGGACGAGAGCGGTAGGTTCTTTGTTCTTGCAGGACTCGGCCAAGGACAGATGATTTTGTAGCCTCGACGAGAACAAGTCATTGGGTGCTGCTACTGTGGCTAGTGCTGGTGTCGCCCCCTGGGGGTGGAGCTCTCCACAGGGGCCGAGCGCTGTACGTGGTTCAACGGGTCGACGGGTCAACCAATCATTGACTGGCCTGGTCAGCTAGTCCAACTACAGGCCGGCCTGGCGTGTGACTAAGCAGATCAAAACCAAAAGGATGGCAACTTGTTTGCGCTACTAAATAGTTACTACCTACTTGGTCTAGCTTGATGGCTAGCTGCTCATACTCGACCGTATATTTTTATACATATTCACAATATATTTACGTTGAAAAAGAAAAAAACGAATCAGTAACCCGTCGGCCGGGCTCAAGTCTACTTGCTTGCTGGCTCAGGTACAAGGGTGAGCCTGTTGCAGCAACTTGGAACTCGGGGCTGACGACTGTTTCGTACAATGTCCATGTATACGTGCTGGTTATATGGATGGCCAACAGTCCGTCAGCTTCTGGTCGGACCCGGCGTCACGATGGTATAGTTGCACGTGGGACAGTACGTCTTGTCGTTGGGCGTGGCAGGGTACCGGTCCCGTCCGTAGGTGGCATTCAGACTGACGCTGCCGACGACGCCGCCCGTCTCGGTGCGGATCCAGGTTTCGGCCTCCCACCGCCGCCGCCGCAGCACGTCGGCCGACAGGCGAAGCTGCCTCGCGCCCCGGATCCAGTTGCCGTAGCCGCCGTAGCCCGAGTGCTGCCCGAAGCAGAGGTTGACGCCGGTGCCGGCGACGCTCATGCCGGGGACCAGGCCGTCCCATCTGGAGCACCACGTCGCGCCGTGGTCGTGGCCCGAGAAGACGCCGATGAGGCCCGGCGTGGCGGCGACGGCCTGCATAAACGGCACGTCCTGGCCGCCATACGAGCAGTCCTTGCGGTTGGAGCCGTCGCCGCACCAGCCCTGGGCTTGCCGCGCCAGCGGGACGTCGTCGTTGACGCCGGGCTGGCGGTGCGCGTCGACGTGCTCCGTCTGCAGCGCCAGCGACGCGTTGGTCGGGATGTGCACAAAGGCCAGCGACGGCATCACCCTGTTGAAGCGCCGCCGCAGCCGCGCCCCCGTCGCCTCGAACCACCGCACCACGCTGGCGTCGACCCAGTCCGGCTGTCCGACGTGGCTCCCGTCGGCGTTGCGCTCGCCAAAGTAGAAGCCGCCGCGGGAGTCGAAGAACCAGAGCAGCAGCTCGGGCGCGCACTCCTCGTCCTCCTCGTCCTCCTCGTCCCCCTCGTCCCCCTCGTCCCCGCCGCCGTCGCAGTCGGCCCCGTACACGGCCAGGTAGTAGTTTGTCACGCCGGCGTTGCGCCCGGCCACCATGCTCCTCGTCAGCGAGTTGGGCCACCTGTTCTCGCGCGCCAGCAGGCCCGCGCCCGAGATGTTGAAGTTGTGGTCGTGGTTGCCGTACGTCGACGCCCAGGGCAGACCGCGCGACACGAGCGGCCCGGCGATCCGGTCCATGTAGGCCGTGCTGTTCTCGCGGTACGTGTTTTCCCCCGTGATGAGGTCGCCGTTGAGCACCATCAGGTCGGGCTTCTCGCTGTCCAGGACGGCGTCCATGACCTTGAGGGAGTTGATGTCCTGCTGCGGGCCCCATTGATCCCATGCGTCTGTGAGGCACGTCAGCCGTGGTTTTCTTGCGAGGATGGAAGGAGTGTGAGCGTGAGAGAAGAGCGAGGCGCCCAGTTTACTTTCTCCAAAGTGCAAGTCTTCAAATATGGATATCTGAAACGTTCCATCGCGGTTAAACGACAGCCGCCGGTTGAAGTTGCTGCTGCTGCTGCTGCTGCTGTTGCCTTTGCCCGGGCGATACGTCTTGGGAACCCGGCCATCTCGTCGCACCGGGGATGCGAATGAGACGCCACCAAGTCCGGGCAGCATCAACAGCAGCGCGGCGGGCAACATGGCGAAGAGGGCTTGGTTGCTGCTTCTGCCCCTTCTTCTTCTTCTTCTTCTTCTTCTCTTCACGTCGAGGCCGCAGAGGGAGGCCGCGGAGGGAGCCAAGGGAGTCAGTCACCGAAAACAAATACGTGAGCTTTGTCTCGTCTCACAAGCCCATTCTGAACATACATTGCTGTCCATGGCAGCATTCCAAGCTGTCTCGGCAGCCGTCTCCAAACTATTTATGCCTCCCACGCGCGCCATCCGTGCGGTTGCTGCGCCCGGGATATTGTGCGAAGAAATTCGAGACCACAGGTGTGGTGCGATGCCTGGTGTCGCGTGTGTTGCTCGTGGTCACGCTCGTGGACAGACGACATCTGACCTGGAAGCGTACCGCTCGCTGCTCTCGAGGAACTCGGGACTCAGGAACCAGTGGCGATCGCGGGCTCTGCAACGTGTGCGTTGTGGCCGCATTGCACTCGCGGCTACTGGACCGCGCCAGAGGCAGAAATGTCGCTGTCCCTGCAGCAGCCTTGCTTCTCGAGCACATGGCTGGCAACGGCGCCCGAGAGTGGACGGCGTCGTCTGTACCGGCATTTGCTGTCTGGATCGGTTGCCTCTGTACCATGGTCAGCTGGCGGATTGATTTTTCCCATGTTTGGTCTTGTGCATGGGCCTCGAGCCTCCCGTGTTGCATCGCAGGCGGGCCGCCTGTGTCCTTGGCCCACGGGACTCGGTTGCAGACTCGAGAGCGAGCGGAAGAACGACGGGGAGACCGTGTCTGGCGCCATCTTCATACTCCAGTGCGTCGTGTCTCGCGCCATGGTCCGCATTCAAAATCTACGTACGTGGCAGCTCTGACGCTGTATATGCTCAGTCACTGACGGCATCGTGGAATCCATAACAAAATCGTCATTAAACTTGTCCCACTAATCTGTGGCTATGGCAAATCTCGCTGCAGCTGAATCTCAATTTGTGCCATCAACAGAAACTTTTCCTTCATATTTACTCTACAGGCGAGCTCCCTTCTTGAGGTCGAATCTGTCCAGGTTCATCACCTTATCCCAAGCAGCGACAAAGTCCTTGACAAACTTCTGACCACCATCGGAGCTGCCGTAGACCTCGGCAACCGCGCGCAGCTCAGGATGGGCGCCAAAGATGAGATCGTTGCGGGAGGCGATCCACTTCTTGGCACCAGTCTTGCGGTCGACGCCTTCAAACGTGTCTTCGCCCGAAGCCTTCCACTCGGTGTTGTTGTCCAGGAGGTTGACAAAGAAGTCGTTGCTCAGGACACCAGGACGAGACGTGAAGACACCAAGGGCAGAGCCGTCATAGTTGGTGTTCAGGGCGCGCAGACCACCGACGAGCACCGTTAGCTCAGGGGCCGAGAGAGTGAGCAGGTTGGCACGGTCGACCAGCAGGTGTTCCTGTTTGACAGCGCCGTGAGACTTTGCGTAATTGCGGAAACCATCGGCCAGGGGCTCAAGGTACCCAACAGACTCCACGTCGGTCTGCTCCTGGGTAGCATCGTTGCGGCCGGGCACGAAGGGCACCGTGACGTTGACACCAGCGTCGCGCGCCGCCTTCTCGACGCCGGCGGCACCAGCCAATACGATCACGTCTGCAAGAGAGACGATCTTGCCTGACTGGTTGAATCGCTTCTGGATGTCCTCCAAGGCACCCAGAACCTGGGATAGCTGAGCGGGGTTGTTGACCTTCCAGTCCTTCTGGGGCGAGAGACGGATGCGGGCACCGTTGGCACCGCCGCGCTTATCGCTGCCGCGGAAGGTGGAGGCAGAAGCCCAGGCAGTAGAGACAAGCTTGGAAGCGTCGATGCCAGTCTTGAGGATCTCCTCCTTGATGGCGGCAGCATCCTTGTCATCAATCAAGGCGTGGTTGACAGGAGGAATGGGATCCTGCCAGATGAGGTCCTCAGTGGGAACCTCGGGTCCGACGTAGCGAGACTTGGGGCCCATGTCACGGTGGGTGAGCTTGAACCAGGCGCGGGCAAAGGCATCGGCGAACTCATGGGGGTTCTCGAGGAAGCGGCGAGAAATCTTCTCGTACTCGGGGTCGAAGCGCAAAGCCAAGTCAGTGGTCAACATTCTGGGCTTGTGCTTCTTGTTGGCATCGAAGGCATCGGGAATAATCTCGTCGTTTGTCTTGGCAACCCACTGGTTGGCGCCAGCAGGGCTCTTGGTAAGCTCCCAGTCGTATTTGAAGAGGTACTCGAGGTAGTTGTGGCTCCACTGGACGGGCGTCTTGGTCCAGATGACCTCGAGGCCGCTGGTGATGGTGTCGGGGCCCTTGCCAGTGCCGTAGGTGCTCTTCCAGCCGAGACCCTGCTGCTCAATGGGGGCACCATCGGGCTCCTTGCCAATGTTGGTGGCAGGGCCGGCACCGTGAGTCTTGCCAAAGGAGTGGCCTCCGGCAATCAGAGCCACCGTCTCCTCGTCGTTCATGGCCATTCGACCAAAGGTGGTGCGGATGTCGCGAGCAGAAGCAACAGGGTCGGGGTTTCCGTCGGGGCCCTCAGGGTTGACATAAATGAGACCCATGTGGGCGGCGGCCAGAGGAGACTCGAGATCACGCTGCTTGACGTCCTTGTTGCCGTGATAACGGGCATCGTTGCCCAACCAGGTGGTCTCGCCACCCCAGAAGACGGACTCATCAGCTTCCCAAGCATCGACACGACCCCCAGCGAAGCCGTACGTCTTGAAACCCATGGACTCGAGGGCAACGTTGCCGGCGAGGATGAGGAGATCAGCCCATGAGATCTTGTTGCCGTACTTTTGCTTGATGGGCCAGAGGAGACGCCTGGCCTTGTCGACGCTGACATTGTCGGGCCAGCTATTGAGAGGAGCAAATCGTTGCTGGGCCTCGCCACCGCCGCCACGACCGTCGAATACTCGGTAGGTGCCAGCACTGTGCCAGGCCATTCTGATGAAGAGACCACCATAGTGGTTGAAGTCGGCAGGCCACCAGTCCTGCGAGTCTGTCATGAGGGCATGAAGGTCCTTCTTGAGGCCCTCGTAGTCGAGCGTCTTGAAAGCGGCGACATAGTCAAACTCCTCGCCGAGAGGGTTGGTGACTGGTGTCTTCTGGCGGAGAACGTTGAGCTTGACCGACTCGGGCCACCAGTCGCGGTTTCGGGTGCCGCCGCCAGCGACGTTGAGATGGGGACACTTGCTCTCGGCCATTGTGATGGATTGTAGGACGAGTGAGGGATGAGATGTGGTGGAGTGAATGGGATGAAGTGTGGAAGGGAGAAGGAGGAGGAGAGAAACTGAGCAGAGAGAGAAGGAGCAGGATGGCGGGGTATATAAAAAAAATGCAAAACGGCAGAGAAGGCGGAAAGCAGGGCCGTCACTAGCTCCTGGGTACCTGCCCAGGTAGCCAGAATTGCCACGGGGATCGGCCGAGGGAATTCAAGATGACTGGAGCATGGCGAGATGGCATGGCAACATGGCTTGAGAATGGCCAACCATGATGGGCCAGTCACTGCCAGGAATTTTGAAGTTGGCCAGGACCCTGCGCATGGCCTCGGTGATCCAGCGCCCGTGTCGATTATTGCTCGATTGAAACGCCGATTGGTACGTTTTGCACGGTTCTGACCAATGGCCGGCTTCTCGTTGGTCGCCCTGGGGTCACGAGTCTGCGACGGCGATACCTCGATGCCTTGGACCTGCACGCACATGCATTGGCCTTGGTCTTTGGCCGCCAGGTGCAAATATGGGTCAATTGACGACTGTTCATCCTTGACACCTTGCCTGCATAAGATGTTGACGCCTTGAAAAGCGTCTCGAAGGAGGTACTGGGTTATCGGGGTCTGTTTTCTAGTACCTGAAGACGTCCTGTACCTGGGTGCCTGGGTACCGTCACGACAATGTACTCGGCAACTTAAGTACGTTGCTTACTTAAGTACTTGCATCATGCAAGTCTACCCCGCACTGCCGCTGCCCCTCCGTGCCTCAACGTCCGACGTTGCTCCTCAAAAGACCCTTGCTCTGCCGAAGCTGTCTCTGCACTCTCTGTGCGGAGTACGGAGCGCTCGCATCGCAAGCTCAAATGCCTTGCTTCGAAACATCAAGACGCCTCGAACACGCCGTCAATTGACATTGTCGACAGCTGAGCCGATAGCTGCACAGCTGTCAGTACGCGCCCTGTTGTGGGGAAGTTCTCCTCCTCGGGCAATTCGGACTGTCATAGCGTCCTTCAAACACCGCGGTGATTGACTGTAGCGCCTGTCGCCACGACCTGCAGCCACCTGTGGGCCACATCGTTCCACATCGCTCTTGGTTCGAGATCCAGGTTCAGAAAGGCTTTTCGAAATGGCACGCACTTGAGAGGATCGAAGCACGACGATGACCCTTGACCATTGACAACCTCGCCCGCCACCGCTCAGTCAGACGCGACCTGGGTTGCTTGGCATGCATCGTATTGACGCGAAGGAGGGGTCGTATCACCATATGTGCTCGTCCTCACGTGACTCTTCTCCAGCAAGCCCCTCCATGGGCGCGGCATCCGGCAACCGGCATGTCCAGCCGGGCAGCCGAGGAAGCGGGGGTCTCCACGACCAAATTGGCTCGACTTACCCTAAGTACTTAACAGGACCTTTACATCGACGACTCATCGTCTTGCCACTTACTGGCAGAGAGAATTTTAGACTCGGACCGGGCATTCTTCTCGGAGCACGCTCTGGTCGTTACTCTGTGAGCGAAGATCGACCAATCACATACTACGGTGCACCCTTCCAGAGATGAGGCTCTCTGGTTGTTGAAGTGGCAAAAGGTAAAGTTTCAGTAGTTGTTGATCCCTCAACCCAGGACACTCTGGCTGGGGGATATTCTCAGTATAAATCCATTTTCGGCTCTTGTGTAGTTCTCCACAACTTTATCCACTTGTACTCCGTAGTTACTTGCTTATTCCAACACTGGTAACGTGGTCTGTCTAGTTTGACCCACGGTCAATCGGGATAACCTGTGGTCCCGTTCGAATGCTGCTCCACGAGGTAGGTCACGGCTGCTGGGACGCCGGCCAAGATTGGCATGACGCTTGGGAAACAGGAAAAACAAGTACTTGTACAAGACGAAAACATCTAGGCATGTTTCCAAGTTCTTGTCAACTCCAAAGGTAATGAGTCCGGGCATGGCCGCCGTTCGGGCGGAATCGCTCAAACTCAACCTCTAAAACCGGAGTCATAACAGCGCTCAGCACACAAGAAGTAAAGACCAAACTTGGATAGCAACACATTACCCCATAGACTGTGGGGAACCCCATATATACAGACAAGGGGAAACGTTATAGATGTGGCGTTGTTGTCCCGCAGCCGCCGCAGGCACGGCCGACTACAACGGTTCCAGCCAGCTTATAACTACGTGGGATCGTCTCATGCCGCCGCAACAAGGAAACTTGAAACTTGACAAAGAACAAACTCCCCGCGCAGCAATCTCTCCCATCATACCAACATCGTCACTGGGCTGAAACCGAGAACCGCGCCGTCCACAATGTCCAAGGCCCCCAACCCAAAGGACTCCATGAAGTCGACGTGGCGTACCGCCGACAGAGACACCTGGAAGTTGAGCCACTGGATCTTCGAGTACCTTGACGGCTACCCTATCTATCTGGACAAGGCTGTCCCGGAACACGCAAAGACAGAAAAGGTCCCATATCTCTCGCAATGGTCGCAGCACGTCTGGGTGCTGGTGCACGCAGTCACACCGTTACTCCTCCACCAGGCCATCCTGACGCTTACCGGGACGCAGAGTCTACACCCTGCAGCCGTCTTCTTTTTCTACTTCAACGCCTTCAACATCATCCTCATCCGCGAGTTGCACACGCTCCGGGAGATGGGCCACAGGTGGGGGTTCCTCGACGGGGACGTCCACGACCGCGATGGCGTTCCCGACGCCGGCGTGACAAAGGTCCTACTGTCGGCTCTCAAGGGCACCGGCGGCAGGGTCGCCCTCACCATCTACTTCGCCTACGACCGACCCGTGCAGCCAGTCGACGCCCTCTCCGACTGGAAGTGGTGGGCGTGGCTGGCTCTCGAAATCGGCCTCTATAGTGTCATTCTCGACTTTTGGTTCTACTGGTACCATCGCTTGATGCATGACGTCTCCTTCCTGTGGAAGTACCACCGCACTCACCACCTTACCAAGCACCCTAACCCGCTCATGACGGCCTTTGCAGACGAGGAGCAGGAGTTTTTCGATCTCGTGGGCATCCCATTCTTGACCTACATGAGCCTCCGGGCCCTCAGTCTGCCGCTGGGCTTCTACGAATGGTGGCTCTGCCATCAGTACATTGCCTTTATCGAGGTTGCTGGCCATAGTGGACTGCGGCTACACGCAGCCGGGCTGTCGACCTTCCACCCTATTCTTCGGTATTTTAATGCAGAGATTGTCATTGAGGATCATGACCTGCATCACCGTAAGGGCTGGCGAAAGAGCCACAACTACGGCAAACAGACTAGGCTTTGGGACCGTGTGTTTGGCACGTGCATCGATCGGGTTGAGTCCGCACCAGACAACGTCGACTATGTCAACCAGGCGCACGTTCCGCTCTTCTAGGATGCCGTGGTAGAGGGTGCTAGACTCGTCAGCACAGCCACGGGCACGGACGGCATTATGGACGATAAACAGGAGATCCGGTTGGGAGGGGAGAGCTTGCGATGGTGATGACGAGTAGACGTGACGCATAGAACACGATTGATACCTTTTGAATAGACGCAAATTTTATTTTACGTGTCATGTTGGTAGTTACGTGTGTATGTACTGCGTACTGCGGACTGCGGATTGTACGTTGTCAAGGTATCGTATCGTATAGTACTAGATCATCACGCTCGAGAGAAGAAAAAGAGAAGAGCAAAAAAGGGTTTTTTTCACTCCAGGCCCAAGTAGCCTCCAGACGTGTCGATCAAGGCGTACAAGGAGATCAAGTCGTCCTGAGACTCCAGGTTCACAATATCCGAGTCTCCCAGGATGTTGCTGCCGTCCAAAATACTTATCGACTCCATGTCCGCTGTGGCACATGTGTCGTCATCCTGCTTGGGCATCGTGGCGTTTGTGGAGCTCGGAGACAGTGGCTGCACGGACCGGATTGCGCTGGATGTGGTCGTCTTGACGGCAGCTTCGCCCGCGGCCGGCGAAACGCTGCCATCCCACGCAGTGTCTGCTGCTGCTGAATCCGTGGACGCAAAGGCCTTGTCAATCAGACTTGTGTTGTCGGCACCGGCCGAGCCCGCGCCGCCTGTTGCTTGGTAGGCTTGCAGTGACGTGTTGGGTATTTGCTGGTTCCCGCGAGGCGTGTAGTGAAGCTGGCCAAAGAAATTGCTGATGAGCTGGCCCTCGATGTCCATGGAGGCGGCATGTCGCTTCTCCGAGTAGGCCTGGCAGGCCTCGTGGAGCAGCTGAATGATGGTGCAGTTCCGAAAGGCGATGGCGTCGCTGGAGAATCGCTGCAACAGACTGCGGGCCGTGTACATGAACTTGTCGAGCGGGAAGATTTGATGCATGTCGCCAAAGTGGGCGAGGCCGATGACGAGGGCCGAGTGGACGACGCAGCTCACGCAAAAGGGAAGCCGCGTGGGAGTGTCCCAGGCGTCAATTAGAGGCTCGAGAAGGGCGAGGGTCCGAATGGCGGAATTCACACACGCGTGTGCCAGCACTCGCGATGACTCTGCGGGAGTCCACGACGGCGAGGCGGTGGCGCCCTGGATGCCGGACGCCGCCTGTCGGGCGTGCCACGCGACTCGCTCTGACAAGAAGGGCCTGGTTAGGAGCATGACTGTCCAGTGGAAGACAATCTTGAGGTGCGTCAGGCCCATGTTGGGAACGTTGCCCCCTTCCATCTGGTCTCCCAGCTCGATGTTGTCCGCGGCCAGGCCGCGGGTGAAGATGGCGGCCCATTCGCGTTGGCGGGACGCCACGCGGTTCAGAGTCACGGCCGCGATCTGCCTCTGCTCGTAGACGTCGGTCAAGACGTCCTCCATGATGGAGAGCAAATCGTTGCACGCCGAGTAGTCCTCGGGAGACGTGGTGTTGCGCGTTTCCTTGGTCGAGGGCGGCCGGCCGAGCAAGGCGCTCGAGAGGATGTCCATGCTTCGAAGGGACTTCCAGACGCGCTCTCTGTGCTTGAATTCCTCCGTCGTGAAGCGCATCGACACGGACTTGAGGTGCAGCCCAAGAGCGTACGCGGCCCGCACGGCGAAGCCAAGATGCATGAAGGCGGCGTTGCGACGCGACGAGGCCAAGAGGTACATGGTGACGAGAATGTAGGCCTCGACCGTCAGCGTGCTGGGATCGTCCATGAGGTACTTGGCCGACAGGTAGCGACCATAGTTGAAGCACGATTCGGCCACCTCGCCCAAGTCCTTTGGCGACGACTGGGCGCCGATGGCGAGGGCGAGATAGACGAGCGGCTTTGCCAGCGGGAGAGCGACGGCGTCTTGCGCGAGGGCCTGGGGGACCTGGTCCACGAGCACAGACTTGTCGAACAGGTCGAGGATGCCATTTGTGCACAGGTAATACTGCCTGGCAAAGTGTCTGGCCTCATGCTCGGTAAAGGCGGGCGGCGATTTCGGGTCAGAGCCGGCCTCGAGCCAGGCGGGAGGGCCCTCGGGCGACGCCTCCACCATGGCCGGTCGCAACGGATCGTCTACAAAGGGACTTCTGCCCTGAGTCTCGGCCACCAGCCGCCGGATCGACTGCAAAAGGGAGGGGTTCGCCGAGTCGCCCAGATACATGAAGCGCCCCTTCTTGTCGAGGATCAAGCGCGACTGATCTAGGGGCGGCGCCGCAGGAGATGAGTTTGCTATGTCGATGGCGACGGGCGGCGGGTCGACTGGGGCGCGGCCTCTCGAACTTGAAGCTGAGCCCCCTCTTTGCCTGGCGGGATGAAGTTTGGAAGCTCTTCCGCCGTGCTCCGTCTCATAACGGCATTCGTTGTGAACGCGGCGCTCGGTGCATCGGCCGCATGGTTGCCGTCCGTCGCATCGCTCTTTGCGCCTCTTGCACCTACAAGGAAGTAGTGTGAGCTTTTACAACTGGAAGAAAACGGGCCATCTCGCCATGTGGCGGCGCAGAGAATCGGATTTACATGTCGCACGCCCTGCTGCATCTCTTTCGCGCGGCGATTTGGTCAAGGCGGTGGTGGGATTTCATGTCTGTTCTGTATGCTGAGGATGGTGTTGAAGCGCACACAGTTTCTCAACCTAATCCGAAAGAGGGAGACCAAAAAAAAAAGGAAAAGCAAAGAAAACCCAAGAGGAAACCCCGCGGTGGACTTGAAAATGTATCATGTACGGAGCCGCTGGAAAATGGGTGCTTGCCGTCTGGCGCCGTTGAATCTCATGCTGGGGGAAGGAAAGAGACAGCCGCGCGGCACGTCGAATCGTGAAACAGGCGCGGGCCAAAGCAAAGAACAGGCGGCCGTGAGCGCTCCCGGTTCGTTTGGTCAATGCGGGTGGTGGTTTGAGTCGAGTCGTGATGCTGATGCGATGTGATGTTGGGGAATACGCGGGGTCGTTGGAGGACACGGTGAGTTTCAAGGTCAACGTCGCTTGAACTGGAACTGTTCAACCAGACATGCACACTTGCCGGGGTCGGCGGCGGCCCACTCGGACAGGGTTGGACGCGGGCCTGAGCTTCGTTGATCAGCAATCGGCGTGAATCCGAGCGCCTTGCAGTGATTGGCTGGGTTGGGTTAGTTCCACCTTCCACCTTGTGCACACCTGGGCTGACAAAGCCCGGACTCGGTACTCTTCCCTTCCACTGCCCTACAGCAACTTTGTCGCGCGGCAGTTGCCCGTGGTTGCAGACTTCACGCTCGCCAGATGCCACAGGCCATCTCAATATCGCCCTAGGCCATGGCCCTCGAAGCAGCCTCGTTCCTTTCTGACCGCCAGTCTTGCCACCGCAGCACTTTGTCCAGGTACAACGACACCGCGCATCCGAAAGCTGCCGACGCAGCTTCCAACGAGTGACCGGACTTGGACTTGGACAGGGAAACAGCGACCAGGGGTCCAAGACGCAAGACACGGGGCAGGAGCGCAAGAGCGCGCGCTAAGCCTCAACGCAATCACCAGCGCTTCTTTCACCACCATCAGGTCCAGATTTTCAGGGCCGGCGTCTCGCCATTCAAAAATGCCACGAGCTGGGCACGGCAGTTGGCTCTCAGCCGCAAATACAAGCACGTGATAATACCACTACGGATGCTGTTGATGTTTACAACTCCCATAATGTCCCTCCCTACGTGGAAACGGAAACACTAGCCAGCCCGTCCCATGTTTCACCCCCTCTTAGTGCCAAACATGTCTGACGGACCTCGTCAATACTCTGGTTTGCGATGCCGCTCAATCGGGCATCTCTGTCTGACCTTGTGTGTGGTTGGAGGTTGGAGCCGGGTGGTCTCGAAGTCCTCTCAGACCAATCGATGCAACTATTCCTTCCACACTAGTACTGCCTTCAGGGCTGTTCCTCGCTTTGTGTCATCAATTGCCTGCTGAAAATCGCCAAAGTCATAGAACGTGACCAACTTGTCCACGGGGTAGTTTCCCTTGGAGTATTCCTCCATCAAGTAGGGGATGATCTGGCTCGGTCAGAAAATGCACAAACACACCGCCGTCGCATACAGCGTCGACTTGCCTTGCTGGGGACCGAGTCGCCCTCGCAACATCCCGAATACCGCCTGCCGTGGACGACGTGGGCGAAAATGTCGACCCCCGTCTTCTTTCCGGGCTACCAGACGAGTCCATCAGCAACGACGGCCTGCTCCACGACCACGGTTGGGAACAAACTCACAGTCGGTGCTCCCACAGACGCTGCGTGGCCACGGCTTCCGAGAGCCTCAATCATGGTCTCGATCACGGCGGGAACCCCGGTGCAGTCCACGGCATAGTCGACGCCGTTGGGAGGGGCGAGTTGTCTGATCTGAGCCAGTATGTCGGGCGCGTTTCCGAGGACGGTGTGCGTGGCACCAAGTTGGGATGCCAGATCTAGTCGGGACTGTTGAAGATCAATGGCGATAATCACGCCGGCCCGTCGCATCTTGGCAGCCATGATGGCGCTCATCCCGACCGATCCCGCGCCAAATACCGCAACACTGCTGCCGGCTTGGACGTCGAGAGTGTTCAAGACGGCCCCGGCACCCGTTTGCAGTCCGCACCCAAGCGGCGCGAATAGTGCCAAGTCCGTGTCGCTTGGGACCTTGACCAGGCTGGACATGGACACGACGGCGTGTCTGGAGAAGGAGCTCTGTCCAAAGAACCGGCTGAAGAATGGGTGTCCGCCTTTGTCGTCTTGTTTGTGCATGACACTGGATCCGTCGGGTCTCTTGCCGCCAAAGTTCAGCGATTTGAACAGGTGGCAATTGGCTGGATGGCCGGCCTTGCACGGTCTACAGTCCCGGCAGTGAGAGAAGGATAGGAGAACCTTGTCGCCCACGGCAACATTCTCGACTTGCGAGCCGAGCCTCAAGACAATACCAGCACCTGGAACCCCGGTTACTACAGCGAGCTATGAGAAGGGGGGAGGGGGACACGCCGACATTGCATGACTACCTTCGTGTCCGAGGACGGCCGGGGCAAAGGCGGGAAGAGTACCGTCGGCGCATGCCAGGTCGGTATGGCAGATGCCGCTGGCGTGTATCTCTACCAGCGCCTCGTCCGGACGCAACGTGTCTAGTTTCACCGTCTCGAAACTGAATGGGCCGTTGAGTTGGTTGAGGACGAGCGCCGTAGTCGTCGTCATTGTTCAGGCGGGCGAGAATAAACCACGGGGGGGTTGGTTGACAAGGCGATGGTGAATGGGTGAAATGCAATCTCAGCTGACGGCTCAACCGTGCACTTCATGTGTAATTCCACTCTTGCTTAAATAATCTTGGCGAGTCTGGCAAGCGTACTTTGAGCCAAGCGTAGTTTCCACGCCGCTTATGCCGCTGATCGTCGTCGCCTCTGCGTTTGAAACTGACACCGAAGCTAACAAGTTGCTCAGTCGCCGACCCCGCGCCGTGCGCGTCTTGTGCGCGTCTTGTGCCGGCTAACCCTACTAGTGATTTATAATGGATGAATTACTAACAGGCTCCGGCGTGAGTGGGATAAACAAGTCGCAAAGCGGAAACAAACTCGATCCGTCGCCGTTCTCCTCCGGGGAGCCCATGTTTGCCATGAGGAAATGTCGAAGCTTTTGTCGCCTTTCTCAGGATGGCGGCAAGAGCAGATTGTCGAGGAAAAGACGGTGACATTTCCGAATGGGCGAGGTCCCAGGGGCGATGAGAGGGGCCGAAGCCTGGACTTGCAGACTGTGTAATTTGATCTACATGGAGGACGGGCGCCGCGGACCTGCATGAGTGAGTCACATCGTAACTCGTTGCCGGCATGCGCCGCTTTCAAGTACACGAGGAACTGACCAGGCCGACATGTGCTGTCCCGCAGCTTGGCCCCTTCCCGTCAGACAATGAATGCCGCTGAGCCGCGCCTTGAACGGGCACAGAGCGCAGCATCGCCGTGCTATCCGCAGCAGTCGGTCATGTGTGGCGTCTAGGATTGCGGCCGGTGACCGGATCAGGGCTTCGGTCTCCCGCCACCGGCGTTGCGGCAGACGTTGCCGGGATTCCGCGGGTATATCGTATTAGGCGGAGCTCCGCGGCCCTCCGCGGCCCTTTGCAAGTCGCCTTCTTCCTCGTATCACCCTGCCAGCCTGCTCCAAGTCTCTGCTCAACCTGGGCACAGGAGCGCTCCGAGTCTGGAACATGTGTCGCGCCGCTCTACGGAAGCCCAAACATGTCGAAGCTGACTCGAGCTGTATGAGCCAGATGGTCTCGTGGCGACGCCGCCTCTTGGCTGCACGAGCTCAACGCCCGCGGCACCGGTCACGCATTTAAATACAAGGTTTCAGATGCTCTACCTTGCCAGGAGCACCCGGGACGCCGTGCTTTTTGGAAACGCCATGCATCGAGATATAGCCGCCAAAGGGCCCGGAGAAGTTGAGAGCAAACCCCCCATCTGCTCAAGAAGAGTACCAAGTAGCCAGTCGACGAGCCGATGCCGTCATCTTGAGCAATGTTCTTCTACGGTACGCGCAACATGTCTCGCCGCCAGCCCCCGATGCCGGCCGAGGTGTGGCCTACAACGCCAAAGCCAAATACTTATCGACTCCGTTTCGACCTAGAGCAGCACTTCAACGCCAGGATTTACACGTCAGGCTCACCGGTCAAAGGCCAGGTTGTTCTTCATGACCTGGCGTTTGGCCATTTCGAGATTCGTCTTGTCGGAGTCAGCACAACGCAGAATTTTCTGCAGCACGAGGGAGGATTCACGGCTTTCCCCTTTATGAAACTGGTCATGCCCGTGCGCCGCAACAGTCTGCCCACAAACAAGATATTTGTGGCCGGCCAAGAGTACACGCTCCAGTTCCATTTCGTCTTGCCGTCCCGTCTCGCCATCGGCAGTTGCAGGCACAAATGCTCCTCGCCCGCCGCCAACCATGGGCTTCTGGGAAGGCGATGACCAGTCCCCCCAAATGACGCAGATCAAATACTTGATAACCGTGCTGGCGACGAGAGCCTCTGCGACCCGACTCTCCCCATGCCGCGTGGTTGCGGAATCTTGCATGGTCAAAGTCTTGCCTGCGTTTCCGGAAGATGCGCTGCTGGACATTGCCGCTGTGGATGACGGCTACGCCCTTTCTAGAAGCAAGACGATACGCAAGAACTTTGTGGGCAGCAGGCTTGGACGACTCGCCGCCACCGCTGCTCAGCCAAAGGCCGTCATGCTGTCGCCAGACGGCCACGCAGCCGCTGGGATGTCGTGTCGTCTGACCCTCGTCCTTGACCCCAGCGGCACCGGCGCCCCTTCGTTGCCCAAGCTCAACTCTGTGTCGGGAAAGCTCACCTCAAGTCCGTATTTTGACACGTCCTCCATGAACCGCCTGCCGAATCTTGGCAAGCAGACGCCCTTTGAAACCGGGTCGACTTATCAGCACGCGACCTCAAACAAGCCGTTCAACCTCCCCATTGGTGACTTATATTGGAGAGAGGAGCCGCACAACGACGCTTTTTGGGCGGAGCTCACGTTTCCACGCCCTCGGGAGTCCTCCATGCTCGCACAAGAGATCAAACAAGCAACGTTGTCACGCGATCCCGCGCGACCCCTCGGTGCTGCGACGTGTCCCGACGTGTCATGGATGACGGCCTCTAAGCCAAGACGAAGACGGTATGTGTCCGAGCTAGACGTTCAGTTCACGGTCCGCGACGAGGAGAAAACGTTTCTGCCCACCGTCCACTCGTGTCGCATATCGCGAACGTATACTCTAGACCTCGTCCTCTCTGTTGGCCAAACCATTTCCACCTTGTCTCTTGCCGTAGCGCTGCAGATCGGGGTGGAATCGAATCATGGGACGCCGCAGGAAATCCAGGCGGGTTCTGTATGGGCCTCCGTGCGAGACCACGAGCAAGGAGGATGGGGTAGCTATCCAGGGCGGTCGGGACTTGTGCTGGAATCAAGTGACTGTGAGCTGCCGTCGTATTTCTGATGTACTACGCAAAGTTGGTTCGAGGCAATACACTGGTTTGAGCTCGTCCGTGTGAGCCCCTAATCCCATCACCAGCTTCGCCTGGCATGACTGATATTACCCCCATGGTCTTGAGTCGTGCCCCTCGGCATCCAGGGAGTCTGAGCCACATGTCCCAGGTCGAACCAAGACCATCCATGCCTTTGTCCATGGCATAACGTGATGCCGAATGAGCGCAGCCCAAATTACACTACCCTGCTTTGTGTACAGAACACAGAATTTCACCGCTCGGCACCGAGAACCACGCGTCGTCTTCGCGCCCCCAGCGCCGCCACGTGTCGGCAACCTGCGCAAGCTGCTCTCTGGTAGCCAAGCCAGACTCGACGGCGGAGTCGGCAAACGACGAGGCCACCGTCCGCTCTGCCCACAGCCCACTCCACCACGATACCTGCTCGCTCGTGCTGTAGCACCACGAGCTCACCGAGGACGTGACGCAGTCGGCAGCAAAGCCCGCCCGCTTCGCCCACGCGTGCACCATCCTGCCCGCGTCCGGCTGCCCGCCATTCCGAGCAGCCAGCTTCCTGTACAGCGCCTGCCACTCCTCCATCCCCGCCACCTCGGGGTACCACGAGAAGGCGCCGTAGTCGGACTCGCGGGCCGCCACCAGGCCGCCGGGCTTCGTGACGCGCCGCATCTCCCGCAGCACTCCGACCGGATCCTTGACGTGCTGCAGGACCTGGTGGCAGAAGACAATGTCGAACGTGTCGTCGGGGTAGCGCAGCGCGTTGGCGTCGCCCTCTTCAAACTCGACATTGCCGACTCCCCTGTCTGCCGCCAGGGCGCGCGCCTGTTCCAGGACCGCGGCGGCGCGCTCCAAGCCAACGACGCGGCCGTGCGGCACGTGGCTGGCCAGGTCGACGGTGATTGTTCCCGGGCCACAGCCAACGTCGAGTATGGCCATGTCGGGCCGGACGTGAGGCAGCAGAAAGGCCGCCGAGTTGCGGGCCGTACGCCACGTGTGCGATCGCAGCACGGAGGAGTGGTGGCCATGCGTGTACGTGGCCTGCTCGGTTTGTTCTTGCATTCCTTCTTCTTCCCTTCTTGCGAGATGCATCAAGATGTAGATGGAAGTGGTCGGTGCTCGACGATAGATCCGTCGCGTCTGGGACTTGGTTGATCTTAAATGCCCTCCCTACTTGGGGGTTGCGTGGCGGACTCACTTGTGGCGCGGGCTCGTCAGCTCCGGTGTCGGACAAGCACTACGCTTGACCTGGGATCCGACGTTGGGAATAACAAATAACACCAACACCAAGAGCGCGGTCGTACGCCGGAACAGTACGGAGCAGAGGACTGACTGGGAACACGTGGACTTGGTCGCAGACGCCATTCCCAATGCCATTGGGCAGTGGCTCCTGTGCCTCGTTGTCGTTTTGTTGTTGACTGCTGCACCATACGAGATACAAGGGTCATGGGGGTCACGCAATGCAATGCGACATTATTTCATGGCGTTGCACTCGTTTATTCCTTGGCCACGCGTCGAACGGCACAACTTGATGTTTTCCGGCTACTCCGTACAGCAGCAGAGACGCGGATTCACACAAGACAAGGTAGTTAGTTACACGCCAACGCACACGGCGTAGCCCAGCCACAGTTGCGCGCAGTCCTGGCCGACGCCCGGATTCCATTTATAAAAGTCGTCCAGCAAGATGCCATTGGCCTGGGCAAGGTCGTAGCACCCGTCTCCGCTCTGGACGACGTGCCACTTGTTGCAGTCCTCGGCCGCGCCCGACTGCGTCTCTGCCGGCGGGGGGGAGGTTGCGGGAGTGGTTGGTGTTGCTGCGGCCGTGGAAGTGTAGACCGACAAGGGATCTAGGAGAGGACAAGGGATGTGGTTCAGCATCTTCTTCTTCTCATGTGAAAGCACAAGGACACACGTGTCAACATGCTTACCGTTCATGTCGTCTTCTTTGAGGAGACAATAGCTGTGCTGCGAGGACACAAAACAGTCGTCGTCACGTCTGTCCTTGAGGCTGGGGTTCCATCGTTTCAGCTGCGCCAAGGTAATGTCGGCGAAGCTAGCCCAGACACGACAGCTGTTGAGGTCGGCGTCGCTGGCGGCAAGGCTGTCCGGGTACGCATTCATGTAGAGCTGGCATCCGTCAATGGTGTCGGGGGCCCGTGGCAGGAGAGCAGGAGGGTCCAAGGACGGGATGGGGACGGGCGTCTCGGGCGGCGGCTTCGCAAAGGTCGTCGAGGGGACGGAGACGGGGTAGCCGGCGTAGGTCTCGATGTCGCCGACCGGCTTGACGCAGTACGAGTAGCCGAGCCAGAGGTTGTTGCAGGTCGCCTTGTCCACGCCGGAGTTGAGAAAGTGAAAGTCGTCGAGAGAGAGGGCAAAGGCCAGCGAGATGGACGCGCACGTGTCCCCCGAGCGGATGCTGTACCACTGCGCGCAGCGGGCAGTGGAGCCTGGCTGGGTGGCGGTCGGGAGGGGCGCCTCAGTGGTTGCGGCGTGGCCCTGGTGGACCTGCACGGTGCCGACGGGGGAGCTCAGGCAGATGTACCTGCCGGCCCAGGCCGTCAGCGTGGTGCACCCAGGACTGATGACGGGATTCCACGCCAGCAGCTGGCCGATGGTGATGTTGGCAGCTGCCGCGATGTCGGCGCAGCTGTCGTCAGGCTGCACCTGGTAGATGCTGCAGCTGGCGGGCAGGCAAAGCGACGCGCCGACGGCCGGCATCGAGTTGCAGTCCACGTCGAGGCCGTTGACGCTGATGAGAGCCTCGGTGGACACGTTTTGCGCACCGGCAATTGCGTTGCAGCCGTCGTCGTCCTTCTTGATCACGTATGTGCGGCCGCTCGCGCAGCTCGGTGCCGGCCAAGGGCCTCCGGTGGTGCCGTTGAGCGCGTACGCGGTTGGGGTGGCATAGCCGTACGAGTTTGCCGCACAGCTCGACGTGGTCACGGCAAAGTCGGAGGCTGCGGCCGAGTTGTAGCCAAAGGGCGACGCAAGCTGCTTGGCCTGCGCTGCGAGGGCGCACTCTGAACAGTTCTGCGCCTGGTTCAGCCGCGTCGCGGCAATCGAGTCGCAATACTGGCCTCTGGCCCTGCGGAAACGCGTCAGCGGGAACCCGATACACGATGCTGGCCGCGAGTACCTACGAGTCCTTGAGACACGACATTCCCGCCGCAAACAGCAGTCGATCGATGATGAATGTCGCTGTCGTGCAGTGAGCCGGTCATTCGTGTCTTGGTTAGCAGCCCGACTTGTTCAAAGCTGCGCAACACACCACTTCGCTTGGACCTCGTACGCACCTGGATACGCAACGTCGCCTGGCGGGACCATGACGTCCTGAGATGCCGTGCACGTGGTTGATATCAAGTCTCTCAGCCGGGACAGGTCCTTCTGACATGTACTTTCGCAAAGCGTCTGGAGACTTGCCGCGTCCAAAAGTTGGAAGCTGGACGACTCCCTGGTAGCGCGCCCAAGACTATATCAGAAATGCCGCCTCTGCTTCTGCTTCTGCTTCCGCTTCCCCATCCGCCCTTCAGGGACAGGTTGTCAACTTACAGCCCCGTATTCTCAGCCAGCCAGCCCGGGCAGGAAGCGACCGTGGTGTTGACCGCGCCGAAGCACGCTGCGCTCAACCCCAGACTCTCATGGGGAAAGACGTAGTCCGTGAACTGTTGGCCAAGGACTCCCGTCAAAGCCCAAACAAGAGCCGCCAAGTTGCGTGACGCAAACATGCTGATATGCCGTCCGTTATGGCGGAATGAAGAGTGTGATTCAAGCTGACTTGGGCGGCAAACAGAAAAAAAAAAAAGGCCACGCCGTACAAGACAGCCGGGGGTTTAGTGGTCAAAGCTGGACGACAATGGATAAGTATGTACACGCAAGTACGGATATGGATTGAGGCTGTTTGCGAAAGCCCGCACAAGATGGGGAAGCAAGCAAGTAAGCCCGTCGTTTGCCGTGCAAGTCGACGCCGCGATGATGAAAGAAACCGGACTGAGAAACAACTGCCAGCTTGAATCAGCTCCGTACCATGGAAACCGAATGTATATCTTCTCTTCACTCCTTTCTTCAGCAATGCAACGGCCGTATCGACGGCAACTAGGCGGCGATTGGACAGCCCTGTGGACAATCACAGCCCAATAATGGCCAAGTTTTCCTCCCAAACTTCCCGGAATCCAAGGATATGCCATACTTTCAGCCCCATGGTTCCCTGTACACATGTGCATACAGAGTACATAATGCTCATGCTACCAAGTCCGCTTCCTACCGTAAGAAGGCCCCGGTTCCCCTGCATACGACCAGTGATGGAGTGGGATGCGGCCCGGTTCGGGTGTCCAAGCGCCGGTAGAAGCTCCGTCTCTGCAGTGGCTTTGGCTCGGAGCTATTCTGGAAATAATCATGGACCGACAGGGCCCAGCCCATGACGGAAGGACTGGACCTCGTTCAGGGATGAGTTCCCTCGGCCGGAGGTCAGTCCATGGTTTCAATTTCCAGCGTATCCAACACGAGCACAACAGTTGATCGAGTTTGTGACAACACACGGCTTTGCTTGGCGACTCGTGAGGCACCAAGTCGTATACATATGGCACGCCATCACCCCCCTCTTCACTTCCGTAGAAGAGTTCTGCCTGCGCAATTGGATCCTTGACGGCACCTGAGCTTGCAAACATGAGACTTTCTCTGGCCTTGTTGACTGGGCTTGCCAGTCTTGCCGGCCTTGGACTTGCAAGCCAGGATCACGGTCCTCACCACGGCCCTCGCAAGCGATTCTCTGCCTTGGAAGGACGCTCTCGATACTTGCAGGAATCCCAACTGGTCAGGCGCGAGGATTACACCTGTGGTCCGGGACGTAAGCGGCAACCTTGAGTCATGTCTCGTGTGGTGAAGGCCGCTGCTAATATCCCCTCTAGGGCCTTGCAATAACGGCGCATGTTGCGGCGGTACGTTCACTCCTAGTCCTGGCTATGATTATGACGCCCATCAAGGATACTGACCAAGATGTAGAATCCGGCAACTGTGGCTACGGTCCGACATATTGCGGCAACGGATGCACCAGCAACTGCAATGCTCACGCCGAGTGTGGACAGTACTCTGATCCCCCGGACGTAAAGTGTCCGCTGAACACTTGCTGCTCCGAGTTTGGATTCTGCGGCACGACCAAAGGTTGCCCTGCCCAGCATCATACCACACGTCCTGGCATGGACCCGTCAGACTGATACTCGTATGCTCAGAATTCTGTACTGGCAAATGCCAGTCAAACTGTGTCGAGCACCCAAAACCTCCCGCTGGATCGGGTAGCCCGCTCTCCAAAGGTAAGCCCGGAGCCGTGGCCCGGATACGCGAGGCCGTCTTCTTTTCTCACGTGGTGTCGTACAGTGATAGGTTACTACGAAGCCTGGAATGACCGGTCTAAATGTCACCAAACATCCGCAAAGGATCTGCCCGGTATGTGTTTGACAGTGGTGCCGGTGCTTCACCGCACGGGTTGTTGCTAATCCGATTCAGTGGACGCCCTGACACATTTGAACTATGCCTTTGCATATATCGACCCCGGCAGCTTTGAGATTACCACCATGGACTCGGCCACGCCTGAGCGTATCTTCCAAGACGTGGCCGACTTGAAAAAAACCAACCCCAGCCTGCAAATCTACGTCAGTCTCGGCGGGTGGACATTCTCCGACAACGGCACCGAGACCCAGCCCGTGTTTGGAAACATTGCCCGCAGCGCCGCCAACCGTCAGACGTTTGCCATCAATGTGCTCAAGTTTCTCAACACGTACGGGTACGACGGTGTCGACGTCGACTGGGAGTACCCGGGGGCCCCGGACCGAGGCGGCCACGCGGACGAGGTTGCCACTTTCCCGCTGCTCCTCCAGACGCTGAGGCAGACCTTTGACGCCGCCGGGCAGGAGCTCGGCATCACCTTCACGGCGCCCTCGTCGTACTGGTACCTGCGGTGGTTCGATCTTCCCAAGCTGGCCAGGTGGGCCGACTGGATCAACCTGGTGAGTCCTGGTCCTGGTCCTGGTCCTGATGACGAGCTTCCGACCCCAGGCCAAGACCCCCCTCCCCCTTTTTATTTTTATTTTTATTTTTTCATTTTTCTTTCTGGTTTTAGAGGTACGCAAGCGGCTGGACTGACACGACGAGGGTGTGCTGTAGATGTCGTACGATCTGCACGGCGTCTGGGACAGCACCAATCCTATCGGGTCCATAGTCCAGGGCCACACGAACTTGACAGAGATCCAGCTGGCCGCCGAGCTGTTCTGGAGAGTAGGCATCCCGCCGTCCAAGCTCGCTCTAGGGTTTGGCTTCTACGGCAGGGCCTTTACGCTGGCAGACAGCTCTTGCACGAGGCCTGGCTGCGCGTTCAGCGGCGGCGCCAAGCCGGGCGTGTGCACGGGGACCAGCGGCTGTACGTCTTGATCCTGATGCCGGGTCGTTTCCCGGCCCTGCCTGGCCCGCGCGCGCGTACTCACGAGTCACTTGACAGATCTTGCGTATTACGAGGTTCGAGACATCCTGGACAAGAACAAGGGGCTCGAGCCGGTGTACGACAAGGACGCCGCGGTCAAGTACATGACGTTTGACAGGGACCAGTGGATCTCGTACGACGACGCAGACACCTTTGCGGACAAGATGAGCTGGGCGAGGACGGTTGGGTTTTCGGGCTCGCTCATCTGGGCGTCTGATTTGGGCAAGTCGTGTTTCTCCGCTCTCTCTCTCTCTAGCACACACACACACACACACACACACACACATGTATACGCACACCCCTCGGCGGCCGCGTTACTGACCTGCCTGCTCTCCTGGTAGACGACTACGACTTCACAGCCCACAGGGCCCTGACGGGGAAAAAGACGGTCGGGTCTCTGCAAAGCAAGCAGTCCGCGGTCAAGGCGGCCGAGGTGGCAGCCACGTTCGGCGACAAGTGCTACGTGGAGGAAAACGAGCACAGGCAAATGTGCGAGGCGGGCTACGTGCAGATGGGCCGAGACGCCGCGGGCAAGTGCTCCGACAGCAAGGACACGCAGTGCGGCTACATCGTCTGCTGCCCCAAGTCGTCGGGCCTGGGCCACTGCACGTGGCGCGGCAGCGGCGGCGACTGCAACGGCCAGTGCCACGGCGGCGAGGTCAAGCTGGCCGGGTCGAGCTGGGGCGGCTGGCCGGGCGAGTCGAGCGGGGCTAAGCGCTGCAGCCGCGGCGGCAAGGCGTTTTGCTGCAGGGCCGACAGATTCGACCGGCTGCTGGAGGGGTGCCGCTGGACCGAGTTCCGGGGGACGTGCCGCCCGGACGAGCAGAAGGTCGCGCATGCCTTTTCCGACGAGGACGGGCGGGGCCAGCAGTACTGCTGCCGGGCCACCGGCAGCGGCCGACCGGCGCCCGTGTCCAACTGCCACTGGGTCGGCCAGGGCGACTGCGCCGACAACACGTGCGCCAGGACGGAAATCACCGTCGCCACCTCGTCGACGGGCGGCAGCTTCAACAGCTGCAACTGGTGGCGCAAGAAGTCGCTGTGCTGCACGCCCGACGGCGACGCCCTTGTCGACGAGTACAAGTGCGGCGGCGACCCGTGCGGCGAGGACGGCTACTGCGAGGACGACCTGGGGCCCGTGGCGGGCGGGTGGGGCCGGCGCTCCGTCGCCGTCGCCGTCGGCGGCGAGCTCCACGGGCGCCAGGCCGGAGGCGCCAGGCCCGGTCTGCCCCGGACGCAGCGACTGCAGATGGTGGCCAAGACGCTCGTGTGGAACTCGGCGCCGTACCCGCCCGGAGACCAGCGGCAGTGGCTGCTCCGTCTCGGAGGAGGCCTGGCCGAGATGGCCCTCAAGGGGGCCTTCATGAAGGACAGCCTCCGGTGCCAGAGCGTGGTCCTCTCCTTCCACAAAATCGCCGACCTCGCCTCCAAGGGGCTGCAGGCCGAGCACTTCTTCGAGATCCAGATGATCAAGCAGTTTCTCAAAACCGCCATCACCGGCGTCCTCCCCAACGTGCCCCTGAGCGCCGTCAGCGTCACGCCGCTGCTGTCGGCGGCCAGGCTCCTGGAAGACAACCTGTACGATGGCTGGCACAAGCTCTACCCGTCCTCCGCCAACCTGCCGCCCATTGTCGCCAACGTCCAGGGCTTGACCGGCGTCCCCTCGCAGTGGGCGCCGCCCCCCAACACGCCCGCCGGCCGCATAATGAGTGCCGTTGGCGACTGGGGCAACATGAAGAACCTGCTCCTGGTCCAAGGCCACATCAACTGGGTCAAGGGCCAGCTGTTCAGCCTCCAGAATCCCATCGCGCCGGCCACGCTGCAAAAGAGCATCAAGAAAGCACTCGGCGGCGCCGTCGCCCAGGCGCAGCACATTTCCACCACGTTGCAGAGTGTGAGTGTTTTTGCCGCCAACCCCGACCCCCGGGACTCGCTGGACTAATTCCGTTCGTCCCAACCACCACCGAGCACACAGGTCTTTGCCGTCTTCAGCTACATGAATGACGCCTACGCCGAAATCACCGAGCGCGAAGCCCTGCAGCAGCTCACCGACGAGATCACCCACATGGATCGCCACATCCCCGAGCTCCAGGGCATCAGGGACATTTGGCTCGAGTTCGTGCCCGCCATGCGGACCGCCGTCGCCAACAAGGCCGTCTCCTTTGTGCGAATGGTCCACACGACCGTCTCTGCCCAGGTCCCTGCCGCGGTGGCCGCCGGCGTGCCCCATCTCGAGGAACTGCGCAGCGACGTGGATTTCTTCCTGAAGAACATCGACAAGTTGACGTGGCAGGCGGGCAACAACCGCGACTGACAAGTCTTCCGTGTTGCGGTTGATTTTCTCGTTGAATTCACTGCCTCTCCCCCCCCTCTTGCTTGGCCTTGGGACCATTTCCCCCATTGTGAGATTATTTGCCCTGGGACGTGATGCTCGTCCTCGGCCGGCCGACCCCGTAGTGCCGCTGACCCTACCCCTAAGCATCCTCCCTGCTTTGTAATTGCGCTATAGTAGCGACTGTTGGCTTTGAGAGGTGTCGGCTTGTAGACACGGGTGTCCAGCACATGTATAGTGAGACGGTCCCCCGGGACGAGGACTAGGCAAATACAACCAGCTAGCTGCTCAAGTGCATTCACATCTCGCCGTCACGTTTGCACACTCACGTCATCAAGTCAGTACTGTCTGGCTCTGCGGCCAGCACGCAGCCTGGAAGCTGGGACCAGAGACTTATTCGCGTTTCGCTCGGCTGGACGCGGCTGCGAGTGGAGTCCACAGCAATGCCTTATTTTAGACAATCCCGAAGCCGACAGGTCGGTCTGGCACTTTAAATAGCAGTCATCCCCCGCCAAAACGTGCTGGAGCCTCAAGTTGTCCTCTCACGGCCTCCTCCAAAGGCATCGCACCCAACAACGGGCGCGGTCCATGCCACCTTGTGTCCTATGCGACAGCACAAGCGCAGCCTCTCGTCTCGCCCATCTTGCAGGTCGCCCTGGACACTCAAAGCTTCCTCGGAGAACACGCCACGGTTCTCGGCACTCCAACCACCCCAGCTCCCCCGGGCCAGACACGACGTCTCGTTCCCTTTCCTCTTCAGACATGCCCAGGAGAGGCCTCACTGCCGAGGAGCGCCAGCGCGTAGACGCCTTCAGCAGAGCCCTAGAGACGGCTCTGAGCCAGGTCGACAGCAAAGACGCCGACGGCCGGCTCCGCGCCCAAGCGCGAGTGGAGGACGCATACCCTCTGAGCCAAGAGGTCCGCGAGGCGTGGTCGCTCGAGGAGACGGCCCGGTTCGCCGACCCGCTGCGGCAAGTGGCCGAGGCCGTCGACGCGGCCCAGTTCAAGCCAGACGCTCCCTGGGGGCTGGTGGTCTATCGAACGGCGTACGGCGACGACGCCGCCTGGGCCCGGATGCTGGACGAGCTCCGCGGTCCCGTCGAGGCGCTGCCGTACGAGCCCGCCCCCAACCCGGAGCTGTATCCCAGGCACCGCTTCCAGGTCATGAGCGACCGGGGCCTGTATGAGGGCGCCACCATCGACGCCCTGCGCGAGAGCTTCTCCGCGTGGGTGGTGCACGAGTACCGCGCCAACTGTAGGCCGGAGCGGCGTCCCTCGGTGGACGAGTTCAACGCCGACGCGGCGGGCCGAGACGGTGGCTACGCCGGCGGGGCTCGCTACAACTTCTTCCTGGTCGTCGATCAGGTCTGTCTCGAGTCCCTGGATCAGGAGTGCGGCGCCGTGGTCAAGCTCGTGCAGAGAGCTGCGCACGGCGCCGCAGGCGATGGCTACTCGGCCGAGGAGGTGGAGCAGATGGGCCCCCGGGGTCGAGATTCACGGTGGGAGGGCGGCCTGACGGAGAGCGAGTTTGAGAATGTCGGCTGGATGTACATGGAGGCGACTGACTACGTCGCCTTTCAGGAGAGACTGGCGGATGCTGGGAACTGGGAGGACCAGTACCTGAGACCGCCGCAGCTGAGATCTCTGGACGGATTCGAAGATGCGCCGGGCTCCTGGAGGCGGCGAAGCACAGACTAGGCAGAGTCGAGGGGCTGCTGCGCATCTTGTCATCCACATAGGGAAGCGCATGATGTCCGCCTTGGTCTTGCAAATTAATAAGCGTTGGCTGTTGCAGCAGCAAAGGGGAACCCTCCGCAATTGTCCCTGCGATTGGAACCGAACAATGCGCACAATTAAGGCGCCGTATTTTTCTGTTGACGGGGGGGGGATTTGGGACCATCAGCCAAGCAACGGCCAACGGGCGGGGCCGGAGTGCTGCCCTTCGGGAAGCGGCCCCGGCTTGTGAGGCCGAGTAATTGGCCGTCCGCGGGTCCGGACTCCGGAGCATTACCCGTCACGGCATAGCGCCGGAGAGGTCGCTTCCCCCCGGGGGCTGGCCGCCGTGCTCTCGCAGGAGCGGCAAGGCCCGAGACACTCACATGAAAGTAGTACGCACGCACGTAGCTGAAGCGCTGAACCACTGGGCCACCATCCATCAGGGGATTCACGGCAATTGGGCGTCAATTCCTGCCGAGTAATTCTCTAGGCGACTTGGTACGACCGGGGCAGCTCGTGTAGCCCGTCTCTCGATGGATTGCATTAGTTCCCCTGAGCTCACCAGCGGCCCCACAAACAATGACACCCGTCGACAAGTTTGCGGGTGAAGCGCAAGGAGCCTCAGCCTCTTTTGGCCTCTTCTCTCGCCGAGCCGCGTCAAGCAACTCGAATACCGCGTGACCGCTCAGGCCTTGCTTGCTTTCCATCCCAAGTCGCCAACCATCACCACCACCACCACCACCACCACCAACACCACCACAACAGCAACAACAACAAGCATTGCCGGGCTCGTGGGCCACATGCTCTCCTGATGGACAAATCGGGGCTGGTGCCATCTTTCCGGACTCGGCTGTCTCCCCAGTTGAGAAGCATGGCGCTGCCAAAGAGGATTCGAAAATGTCTTCCCATATACGTCGGCTGCGTCTGCCTCGTCGTGCTCCTGCTCAACTTGGACCTCCTCCTTCTGCTGCCGAGCCCGTTGGGCATGACGGCATCATCACCCGAGCCGCCGCGCGTCAAGCTGCCGGGGAGCACGTTCCCCCAAAAGATATGGCAGACGTGGAAAATCGACCCCCTCCTCTTCGGCATCACGGAGACGGCAAGGGCCATGACGTGGGTCAAACAAAACCCCCAGATGCGCTACGAGGTCATCACCGACGCCAGCGACCTGACCTACGTCGAGCAGCACTTCGGGCCCGACGGCCTCGACCGCCCGGACATTGTCGACTTCTACCGGCGCGTCAACCTGCGCATCGTCAAGGCCGACCTGCTGCGGTACATGATTCTGTACGCCGAGGGCGGCATCTACGCCGACATTGACGTCGAGGCCATCAAGCCCTTCCACCGCTTCATCCCGGAGCGCTACAACGAGCGGGACTACGACCTCATCGTGGGCGTCGAGGTGGACATGCCGAGGTTCCGCGACCACCGCATCCTGGGCCCAAAGTCGCAATCCTTCTGCCAGTGGACCGTGGTCTCGCGGGCGCGGCATCCAGTCATGCTCCGTCTCATCGAGAGCATCATGAGGTGGTTCAAGGCCGAGGCGAGGAGGCAGCGCGTGCCCATCGACAAGGTCGAGCTGGACTTTGACCAGGTCATCACGGGGACAGGCCCGTCCGCCTTCACCGCCGCGGTGCTCGCGGAGATGAACAAGGCGACCAAGGGGCCGCGCGTCACGTGGGACGACTTCCACGACATGGACGAGTCCAAGGTCGTGGGCCGCGTGCTGGTCTTGACCGTCGAGGCCTTTTGCGCCGGCCAGGGCCACTCCGACTCGGGCAACCACGGGTCTCGCGGCGCCCTGGTCAAGCATCACTACCACGCGTCGAACTGGCCGAGCAGGCACCGGCGCTACACGCATCCCGCCTACGGGCAGGTGGAGGAGTGCAACTGGGACGCCGAGTGCGTCGGGCAGTGGGACAAGGACGTCGCCGCCTTTGAGAAGCTGTCCGAGGCGGACAGGAAGAAGATTGTCGTGGATCGGCTCAAGCTGCTGCAAGAGCTGCAGCCGCAGCCGCAACCGCAACCGGAGCCAGAGCCAGAGCAGTAGCAGGGGGGCGACGATTTCTCACGGTCGACATGTACATGATGGGCCAGCATTGCGCAGCAGCCGCGTGCCATGGTTACGCAGGGCCGGCGACTTCGATTTCAAACAGGGTCGTTGAGGAGCCCGTGGGCCGGCTTTGGCACTTGGGTTTTATTAGAGTCCTGGTAACATGAGCATTCTCGATACAAATCTAAGCTTTGACACGCGCCGCATGGCCAGCCGAGTCGATGCCATCAAGGGGCGAACACGGCCGGTGCAGATGAGGCTTTTCCCAGCTCTGCTGCTGTGAAGAAAAAAAAAAGGGGGTAAAAATCCTCCCGAATCCGCAGCCACTTCAGCAAAGGGCCCCGTCAAATCTTGGATTTGGGGTCGCACGTCCTGCAGCAAGGCAATCCATCCTACGGGCCCGAAGCTCACCTCACCTCACCCATCGTCCCGAGTTCCAACCCCGTCATGACCTTGGCAACTGGCGGGCAGGGCTCGACACAGCCCACACAATAGATAATTCGACGGGCATCTGTTTCGGGGTTACACCGTTACACCTTGGCCCCGGGGCAAAGCTGCACATGCCAGTGACCGACCACATTGTCATCCTTTGTCTTCGGCCGATAAACCAGCCATGACGTCCCACCGGACATGGTCTTGGACAAGGACAAAGATGATGCCGACCACTCGGCGTCCAGGGAAAGCGTGTACATGCTATCGAGGGATCTGATACGCCCAACCGCCCGTTTCTTCCATTGGCTGCCGCGATACCGCCACCGCCATCATCGGACAAGGGTCGCCGACATGGTCAGGGGCACGCTGTCGAACGGGTTGGTCGTCCGAACCAAGTCGGCCCAATCAATCCCTCGTCAGCCCTGGCAAAGGATCCATCGCCGCAGCTGGGCTTGTCAAATGGCGCCATGGAGGATTGGCCCGATTTGGAAGTTGAGCCACTCGCCTGGGCAGCAGCCAGCCCCATGTACGAAGCTGACGTGACATGGCTTGTGCGCGATGCTACGCAGAGAATGTTGGCGAGCTGCAATTTCGGCAGCGTCCTCGACGCTCACCATGACCCGAGGGCAAGAAACAGGCCGGGAGCAGTAACTCTCCCGATAACGAACGTTGGTGGCGGCTGCTCTGTCAAGACGGTCGAGTAGAATCGGCCCGTGGGCCCTCTGAACCTGTGCCAAGCAGTTTGTTTGCAAATGGGGTACATGGTCATGGACTCACGGTACATGGCGAGGCGCATCCTGCTGGCTCAGGTGTGAATGAAGCAATAATATAAGTGGTCGCGTAATTACAGTGCCAAGCCCCCCGTCCAAGAAATACAATCAAGAATGCGATGCCCAGAGAAGAGAAGTGAAAAAGAAGACCCAGCTGTTGGCCAATTCTCACCTGCCGACATGGTGCTCCCGACCAAAGAGGGAACCAAAGGACCTGCCTGGTCTCGGAGCAAACAACCAGTCGGCGCAAATGGGACTGCACATGTCGGGCACTTTGATGTACGTAGTTCAGGAACAAGTCCACGTGTCTTGGGTCCAGTGTGCCCGGCTCGTGGCCATGCCGGAAGCTTTCTCGGAGTGTTCAAAGCCGCCTGCCTGCCAGCTGACGTTGCGTCCTCGGTCGACCTGTGGACTCGACATCACAGAGCAAGAGCCGCGGCTGCTGCCAACATGGCCAATCCTCCCACAGGCACAAGGACAGCCGCCCCAGCGGTGACGACAGGAGGAGCGGTTGGCGCACCGGTCGACGAGGGCTCTGCCGTCATGGCGGGAGGAGGCACGGTGGCGACAGACGCACTTTGACCTGGGCGTTTCGTCGGCGTTGGTCTAGACTTGCCGGCACTGCTGCTGCTGCTGCCGCCAGCCTGGGCACAAAGCTTCTCGGTGTCGGGAAGAACTTGGTCTAGATGGCAATGGTCAGTCCGAGACGCACGCGGCGTGTCAGTCGCGAGCTGCGTGAGACTGGTCGGTCAACGTACTCAGCGCGATGTCCTGGCCACAAGCCTGCAGGATACAACCGGCAGCAGCGCCCTGGATGGCGTCGAATTGGTCGCAGACGCAGGCCAGATCAGTTGCCGAGCACGCGGTGCCCTGCCTCACGGCCTCGTTGATACAGGGGAGCGAGCAGTCGGGGAGATCTGCGAGGCTCTGGCCCGCGGCCAGCGAGGCCAAGGCCAGAGAGGCAGCGGCGACGAGTCTCATGGCGAGACTCTGGGCTCCGGAGTCTGGACGGGGCGTTTCGTGAGCTGCGAGTAGAGATTGGCGTCGACAGTGCCCAGCGGCGGGACGCGATGAATCCAGTTGTAGTCGGGCAAGAGGTTGGGAGCAGGCGTCGAGTCGGATGGGTAATTTGGCCGACGTTTGCGTTTTGTAACGACCGAGTACAGACGGCAACACGGAAGATGGAATCGCATCAAATGATACGTACCTGGGTAGGTACCGGGTACGTACCTGGATGTCGGGTATCCGCACATCAGATGCGGGTGCGGCCCCACGGATGATCTTATTATTGTGCTTCTTCGACCCACCCGTCGGACAAAAAGCCGGTCTTATTAGCCGACTCCACCGGCGCGCCGCGATGAGCCCCAGCGGAATCGTGACCACGACCCCAACAGCTTCGGACTCGCCCGGCCGCTTTGGCTCTCGGGACGACTTGGTATTCAAAGGACCTTGGCTCTTCTAGCCATCATATATCTAGTGTCACGATGCGGCGCCGCAACATCATCAGCGCTGATACCGACCCCGGCTCTAATCTTGTGTGACACAACGCGTCTCTGCTCACGCTGGCTGCTCCCCGCAGTTCGTTGTCGGATAGGTTCGTCGCTCTATATTTCCACAGCACTCTGTGCCTGGTGAATAAAGGGCTCGCTCATGCCAATGGAACATGTCGCAAGCCAAAACCGCTCGACCGAGTTGTGCACCTTCAACGGAATAAGCGAGTAATTTCGAGTGGATAACATTGTGGAGACTATTCACAACCAGATTCATCAACGAAGACGAAATGATGGGATTTGAAGTCGTGGGGCTGCAAGCGCACCGGTGCTTGAATGTGGTTGAACATGGCTTTGCACGCTGCGTTGATGCTTATGTCCCCTCAACATGGTGAAGATGCATTTGGGTGCAGATTTTGAGATGCAATGTCGCTCCAGATGTCGTTGACGCCACAGCCATTGTTCTGTTCACTCAACACAGGGGTATCTCCTTTGACATGTGGCTGCGACGCTGCAACAAGTGTCGGTGCCTGACAGGTCCACATTCCTAGAGGTCAGCCACCGTGGCTTCCACCACGTCGGGAACTTCCCAGCCGGCTGTGGCCGTGGTGGCTCATCACCCAGAGCGACCGTGAGTTCTTCCTGAAGTGTCTTTCCGGCAGGTCGTGACGAAGCCCCTTCTCACAACAAGGAACCACCAAAAGCAAAGCTCTTGGATATCATCGACCAACATTGAACGGATGTAGTTAAAACGAATCCCATCGGAAATGGTCTAGAGAATTTCCGCTCCTCGTTTCATGCACAGTACAAGCTGTCATCCAAAGCATTAGATCGGCTTGAGCAAGAAGGTACCTCACACTGTCTTGCAACATGCTGCTACTGATCTGACTGTGAACAAAGAACTGCAGAATCTGTCTGTAGATCTGCTCTTGGCACTCCAAACTACTCGAGCTTGCCGCCTGCTGCGTTCCAGCGGCGACGGGAAGAGCCTCCTCAGTGACCTACTCAGGCTCAATTCCGCGGTCAACTATGGCGACTTCAATATCGGACGTATCAAGCCACTCCTCGAAGCTGCCATCGCTGACAGCCTTGATGATGCGCTTGTCTGGAGTCATGTGTACGATCTCGTAACCAAATCTACTCCCCTTCTCCGACCGATTTCTTCCTTCATCGAACAGACCCTGTAGTCAAAACACGAGCAGCTTCGTCAACTCATCAGAACTTCAGACCGATGTGGACAAGTTTTTGAAGCAGGAACTTAGACCCCTACACATCAGGGTTCCTAATCTCCATGACACCGTCTTTGAAGGCATTCTAGGTTTAGGTTTTGCGTCTAAGACAGCCTTCAGCAAGTGTATTAAGGGCGACAATCCGCTCTTTAATGAAGGCTGGGCTGGTTGGCCCACAAGCGCAAAGCAGAGCGATGTGGTTGCCTGGCTTGGCCACCTTATCCCTAAATTGGAGGTATTTGCAGGCGGTCTCGATTTAACGCTACTGCACCGACAAAAGATGTTGTCGCAGCCCAGCACCCTATTACTAGGCTCTACAGGCAAACGTAGCTTAGATATTAGCTTTATTAATAATGACATTACATATAAGCCTGACGCTAAGGATGTAAGATATCAACAGTCGCAGGTTCTTGTGGCTAGCGAGTTAAAATACAACCTGAAAGCTGACACAGCATCAATTGCGTGGATTGACCTTGCCAGATACGCCAGGGAGGTTCTGGCCGCTTAAGACACTTGACGTTTTGTCTTGGGATTTACTCTTTGTAGGTCACTGATGAGGGTTTGGGAATTTGATCGGTTAGGGGGTACCGCCTCAGAACAGTTCGATATTAACAAGAACGGACAAATATTTGTAATAACAGTTCTTAGATTTCTGTGGATAAATAAAGAGAAACTTAGGTTTAACCCTACAATTGTAGTATCTAGCAGCAAGCGGTATATTAGGATTAAACGAAACGGTAAGAAGGAGCGTCTTATTGTCAATATTATAAAGCGCGTACTGTGTTTTGCAGGCTAAGCGACGACCTGTCAGAGAGCTCATCGGAAAGACAACCTAAAGCAGCCACTTGTTATTAAAGACTTGTGGCAATATACTAAGTAGGATGAAGAGGGTGTACTGCTCCACAAAGCCACTAATAAGGATGTAGTAAATATAGCCTAATACTACCACTATAAGACTGTTTAAGTTTGCGGCATAGATCATAATGTTCTAGGTAATATTTGAAGGGGAACTAGACGTTACTAAAGCTGCGAATTATCAACCTACTGGATTAAATCTGCCACTAGCCACTAGCAGATCTAGTATTTCGCGCATAGGTCGAAGCAGTAGCGTTAGCCCCAAGGGGCCATCAAGCGAAACTAACGCCGCCATGCCACTAAGCAAGCAATCCTGCTCAAGGTCTCCTACAAAACACAGCGTTGTATCACCAGCGAACCGAGTTCACAGGCGGACTATTGTTTGTGACTATAGAAAGTCAATTTATAAGGCTACCTCACAAGCGTCTCTGCTTGCCTGCTTGCCTGCTTGGCAGGTTGCCTTGAAGGGCATAAGTCTCTACATAACGCAGGCCTACTACACTAAGATGTTTCTATCAACGACCTTATAATCCATGAAGAAGAAGAGAATCCCTTATATCTAGCTTTTTTAATCGATCTTGATCTCGCTATCAGAGAGCAACGAGTAGCCGCCTTAGGAGCAAAAGGTATAACAGGGACAAGAGCGCTCATAATCATTAGTACCTTGCTTGGTGAATGGCATTCTTTCATGCACAATGTGGAGTCTTTCTTCTGGGTACTGTTCTGGAAAAGCATTCATTTTGACGGTCAAACCAAAAGAGCAGTTGAGCGTTTTAAGAGGTGAAATTATGCTGCACTGGGAGCTGGCAAGTTCACAAAAGGGAGTCATAAGTGACGAAGAGGATTTTCTCCAAATTGCGCAGAAAATCTTCACTCCATACTTCAAACCGTTTACTGCAATGGTCAATACATTGCGGCGAGAGGTAATTCCTAAGGGAGAGAGGTGGAAGAGGCCGAACATGATCTCTCCGGCCGGATGAAAAGCATCCTTATTGAAGCTCAGAAAAATCACGCATAGAAAGTCATACCAAAACAGGCTGGCGATAGAGCGAACGTTGTACTATCGAAACTTGAGGTCATGGTGACATGACTTGAAGGAAATGCTGAGAGACTTGGGTTGGGAATGTGTGTTGAGAGCTCATGCGCAGCGAGGCCTCCCACCTTCCCATCTGGCTCCACGGTCGCGCCCGGGACCCTCAGCAGCTTCCTACTTGCGGTGGGATTGTTGAAGGAAATGCATTGAAGGCTGGCATGGATGGTTACTGCAGGTTGATCGCCCCGCCCCCGACAGCCTTCAGTTTGCAGTGTAGGACATGTTTTGATCGTTAACATGGCATCAGACTAGGCACAAATAAAGTACGACCACTAGCCAAGCCCCAAGGCCGCCCATAAATAGCGTCGTGCATGTCCAGCCGACTACTGTGTCAGCAAGCCATTGCTGAGCTTGTCTGCTGGTGATTTAAAACCTTCAAACATGATGCAAAGATCGATTTATCGTGGATTGGAATGTGTTGAAGACAATGCAGACGCTACTGAGCCACCGATATTTCAGGATTGAGTTGCGAAGCCGAAGCTTTAAAGATCATGACGAACCGTTCCAGGGCAAACAGTCGATGTTGATGTTGATGGTGCTCCCAAAAAATGACGTCGACTTATAAAAGTAGTTTAGCGTCAGGACCCGCATGTGCCTCCAAGTCGTTACCAAAGGACGCAATTGCCCTTTCGCAGACACGCTACAATCCTTACGAATCAGTACAAAGTCCCATCACCGCCATCTTCTTTCTTCCAGGGTGCCATGGTCAACTAAAAGCTACCAAGTGAATAGTACCGACATGTGCACGCACCCCGAATCGCACCTCCGAGCCGACAAGTGACGCCGACGATACGGACGATGACGATGCCCAAGCTAAGCCTGTACAAGGGAGTCGAGGGAGCTCAGTGTGAGGCTGGTCAAAATCGCGTAACCCAACTTTCCGTGGAGATGAAGACGCCATACGAAAGATAGGTACACGTTAGGTATTGGTTCGTGGGTGCCACGGTACCCATTCGAGCAGTCAAATCGGGTCGGAAGGACTAGAAGATTTTGATGCCATCTGCCTACGTGTACATATGTGGTGATGAGACTTCCCGAAGTCTCATGAAGACATCCTTTCGGGCGTGGTTCGTGGTGGCGTTCTCATCTGCTTGCAGGGAGGCTGTCGCCGAGCTTGACCAGCTGACTGAGGCATCAAGGGGTTCCTTTGTTGGGCTTTGTGCCCAGACGCCCGGGCGCGCGTGCGGCCAATGAGGGCATCGTGATGGCTGCAACCTTTGTGCATTGCAGCAAGCCCTGTGATCTCGGACCGCAGGTTTCGCGTAACAGTGCCAGGCCTGTGAACCTGCTGTCTCGGCTCCCAGAAACGTGGAGACTTCAGATTCATCACATCGAGGCATTCATACCATGTGGTGACAAGACATCATGCGACAACGGCAGTGATAGCCGGGCTTGGAACGGCTTCACTCTGTTCAAGCTCATAATAGTTACGCCTTGGGACATGGAAGCGCTCAGATTCTACGCCCCAAGGCCTCTACATGCAGTGTACCCTTGTATCCTGACGCACCCACGATGCCTCGTACAAAGCTCCTTTGCCGGGCCGCGAGCCCGGGCGCCTATCGTGGCCTCGTGATCAAGCCGTGTAACCCATGTTGGCCGGTTGAGGCGGTCAATAAGTGCAACTGATCAGGAGACTCGCCATCAAAACCAGGTGCCATGCTCCAATGAACATCCATGCGCCAAGATTGCAGGCCACTTCAACTTCTGCGAGTTTCGTCAGGAAGATGGTGGCTTCTCACTTGTTTCGGTGAAAGGCAGCCTCATCTCCATTTTTGCCAAGTTCGGCCTCTCAGATGCCCCTTGACGCGAGCCGCTTGACCGACGTGTACTCCGTAACTTGGGTGACTATTGCACCCGGGGATCTGAACCAGGGATGGCTAGGTCTACAGCTTACTGCCGCCATCAAGGTATGATCCCCCAATCCTCAGCATATCAGAGGCTTCCTGGACGAGCTCGCGAACGATTTCACCTGCTGGTTGGATGCTTCGAATTGATCCCGCGACCTGACCCATAAAGTGCGGCACGTCGATGTCCTCTGCGCCGTTTTCGAGGTCATGCTGAACCGGGACAATACCTCGATCGCAGAGGCTTTGTATCTCTTGGGGATTCTTGTTCCAGCGCTTGATGTAGTCGTTGGGCTTCATCCTCAGGGGCCTCCCGGACAAGACAAGGGTCCGCTCCGTGTCTGTAAAGTCGCAGTCCAAGATGGCCTGCTTGTGCTCGTTGCTGCTATTCGCCTCGACCGAGGCCACGAAGCGAGTTCCAACCCAGACAGCAGAGGCGCCCTGCATCAGAGCCGCGGCGACGCCCCGGCCGTTGCTGATGCCACCGGCGGCAAGGACCAAGGCAGTAGAGCCCTTGAGCATGGGCGGCTTGTAACGCCTTGCCACATCAACGACGGCGGGTACCAGAACCGAGCTTGCAATCTCGCCGGTGTGACCGCCGGCCTCGGTGCCCTGGGCGCAAACCATGTCGACGCCGAGGTCGAGGGCTTTGACGGCGTGTTTGGGGTGACCCACCATGTTCATGACGAAGATGCCATTCTTGTGCAGTTTCTCGATGATGTGCTTGGGCGGGACGCCGATTGCACACACAAAAAGCCTCGCACCGCTCTCAATGGTAAGGTCAATGAGCTCGTCTAGCTTTCCGTGCGTGTAGTCGTGGTTTGTCTTTCGTGCGTTGCCGCCGACCTGGGGGAGGGCAAGGTCGATGCCGAATGGCAAATCGGGCTGCTTGAAACTGGCCTTCATTTCCGCGATGATGTCGCGAAGCTGGTCTGGCGAATACTGCAAACCACCAATGACTCCTAGCCCGCCAGCGTTTGAGACAGCGGCGGACAGCTCGCCGCCCGAGGTATGCGCCATGCCCGCCAGAACAACTGGGTGCTGGATGCCCATGAGTTGCGTGAAGGGCGTCGTGATGGGTCCTTTTGGAGCCATGATGGTTGCTCCTTCTCAGGGGGTCGCCAGCGAAGGGGTCTTGTCGATGTTTGGGTGTTGATAGTAGACTGTCCCGCGAGTTTGTCTCGACGGGGTGATTGACGATGTGCGAGCAGACGTCTTGGAAGCGATGCAGGACCACGGGTCGCGCCTGATATCCATTGCAGTCGGCAACTGGCCACAGCCGACAGCCGACAGCCGAGATGAATGGGTGTTGTTGCAGTGTGGGGCGCCAAGCACCAGACACATGAAGCGGGCGGGGTGAGTGAGGGGAGTCTGAGGATGCCGAGGCAAGGCAACGGACGGCGGCGACGAGGTGCGGCGGAGGCGACGCTGCCCGAGCAGCTGCCCGCGACCACGGTAATTCCAACGGGCCTCTTTTGCTGTCACTTTCGGCATCACAACGCCCCGGGACATTGACGGCTGGACCTAGTCCCCGAACTCTGTCCAAAACGCATCAGCTTCTTGGATAAAGAACTGACACGGGCGGCCACGATTGTTGTCCAGTGGCGGACCTACGCTGCCAAAACGAGGGATAGATGATAGATTTCGTCAACACTCACGACTCACGAGGCTTAGATGGAGCAAAAGGAGGGTTGCAGTTGACAGATGTCCCGAGCCATCCCAGATGAAGCTGAAACTCGGGTCGCCCCGTCCAGCGCGAATCCGGCGTGCTGGCTACGGCGACAAGTTGGCCGGTTGAAACGATGTGTCGCGCCACGTTTGCCAATCAACAGAAATAGGACAATGCTGTCAAAGAAACAGGAAGACTCGGCCGACGTAACGTTGACACGGCAATGCGGGGGAACGCGCAGCGCCAACCATTGCAGATATTGATTGGAGGCGGCCTGCGCCGTCGAAGCCATGGCCGTGTGGGCGGCAAAGGCATCAGGAGTCAGGAGAGGCTGTGAATAAATCATCAATTGGACGGGACCGTGGCTGCTTTGTAGCCCTGGCCGCGCGTCTTTGACTGGCCGGCCGCGCGCGGTTCGCTGACGGTCAAGTCCATTCATGTTTCCGGAATGCCCAAGAAAGAAAGAGCGTTCGCATCGACGCATCAACATCCGGGCGGCACTACGCTGCATGGAGCTAAGGCCCCCACCCGCCCCACCCCAAACATTTGCTCCGTACACACACACCCACATTGCTGAGGTTGCATGTCAAAAAAAAACTCATTGATGTTTAATTTAAAATCTTTTGTTTAACGTTACTCGCTAGCTTTGGATCGTGCAAGTCTGGGCGGAGCCTCAGTCGCTTCGAAACGCATGTTTTCAGTAAATGTATACACATTTACATACTGCCAATTATTCCGCTTAGTGCCGCGCAAATATCGGATTCTCCGCCGCGCGAATGGCACAACCCGGGTCGACCCAGCCTCCTCCTGTCACCTGTGGCATCGCCGCCCAGCCCAGCCCGGAGGAGGGGAAACAACTCGACAAATGTCAAGTAACTATCGACTCGGTTGCACCGCATTTCCGCCCCTCTCCAGTCTTGTCATCGTGGCTGGGTTGGTGGTGGTGGTCACTGGCGGTGTTGCGTGGAGCCCATCTCGTGAGGCGCCAAAGTCGTGTTCATCTATCCCATGCATCTGCATTCATTGCAGTTGCGCAGGACCCATCGATCCAGACCGTGTCTCAACCGTCTCTTCGCGTCAAGTCGTCGGCTGGTCCATGTCGCCTCTTTCCGGACGACATGAAGGGGAGGCTAGCCCCGTGCAGTCACGACTCACTAATCGTGCCCGCCCCACTTTATGTGGTTCGGCTAGCAAAAGCCCTCACCACCAAAGGTGGTGCTCGACAGCAAGGCGGGCCGGACACCAAGGCGGGCCAATTTTCAACCTAATAACGCTATTAACCTCTTCGCCTATAATGTACACCCTTCTCGTCCCAAATTTCTAGTAGATCTAGTACAGAATCCAGACGCCATTTACGTGCCTTTTTAGCTGCTTCAAAAAACGTCCTCTTGGCGTGGTTGTGGCGCCTTTTGTCGGCTGCCTCAACAACCCGACGAGCAGTATCAAGGCGGTCATTCTCGTTTTGCTTGACCATCTCACGCGCGTTATCCACAGAAAGAACGCCACCAGTTTGTAGGGCGTGATATTTATGAGCTCTACGTCGCTGTGATAGTAATTGAGCTGCTTTTGTACGCCCAAGGTCTCTCTTCGTCTGTATAAGCTCAGTAGCTGCAATAAGAGAGCCGCGGATAAAACGACTGATATTGCGTGCAAACTCAGGCTCAAGGGATGTATCGTCTTCTAATACCTCCCCTAGCTTGTTGGCAACCTTATTTATCTGCCTGAGTGTTGTGGGCGTCTCAAAGTCGGAAGAGTTGTTGTGATATAACGGCGGCGGCGATGGTGTTGATGTGTAAATTGCAGCTCGTTGTTCAAGGGCCTCAATTACAGGCTGTGGATTGTAGGGTGAAATTCCAGTTTTTCGAAAGGCTGTGAGAATAGTAGTAGTCTTGAAAGCTTGTTTTCGTACAGCTTGAATGCAAGCAAGGAATTCAATCTTTGTAATATTCAACACGCCGTCTCGAACAATGATATCCAACGCCTTTGCATGATAATGCTTTAGTGGCTGAAATATCACAACATCAAGAGGTTGAAGGATGTGTGTAAGGTGCGAGGGCAACGCAAAGGGAATTATATCGTGCTGTTCGCAGTATTCAACGAATTCAATTGTATGAGCTCTTCTTCGCTTTGCAACAACTAAATGGTCCTTTCCCATTCCAATACGAAAGCCAGTCTCATCCATATTCCAGATATCTTCAGGAGGGACTCCGTACTGCTGAATAGCCTCTTTAAGCTTGTTGTAATAAGAAAGAGCTCTTGTCACATCTTCTGAAGCTTTTCGACTTGAATCAATCTTTTTTTGAAGACCTTAAAAAGCTAGATATTGCTAGAGCTAGCTATTAAATTTAGCTCTAGCTATATCTAGCCTAAAGGCGCCACAACCACGCCAAGAGGACGTTTTTTGAAGCAGCTAAAAAGGCACGTAAATGGCGTCTGGATTCTGTACTAGATCTACTAGAAATTTGGGACGAGAAGGGTGTACATTATAGGCGAAGAGGTTAATAGCGTTATTAGGTTGAAAATTGGCCCGCCTTGGTGTCCGGCCCGCCTTGCTGTCGAGCACCACCTTTGGTGGTGAGGGCTTTTGCTAGCCGAACCACATAAAGTGGGGCGGGCACGATTAGTGTCACTGTGTAGTCGCGTGGTTTGCCGACCGCCGCAATTCCTTGCTGTCGTTTGGCTTTTTGGCGTGCATAGCCACCTTCGTTCGCCTTTATATTCTTCAATGTCTCTCCGACAAGTCGTGTCGAGACTCTAAGCTGGCTGGCCCCTCCCCATCGTCGATCCTTTGACGCAAGCTTGGTTCGAGCACGTCTCCTCCGGCTCGTGATCAACTTGTTTGTGCCCTTTGTTCGGCGCCTCGATTGTGTACGGGAGTAAGGGGGTTTTGCCAGTCCGCAAAACACTACATTATCGACCGTTGCCACTCACGCTGTGCTGGGTTGGATGCGATCCGCTGCAAAAAAGTCGCTTCAACCAGAATGCTCTTCCTCACCCCCGCCCTTGTCATCGCCTCGGCGGCGGTCGGGCTCGGCTCTGCCGTCAAGGTGAACCCGCTTCCTGCGCCGCAGAACGTGACCTGGGGCAACTCTGGCCCCAAACGTGTCGGCCAGCTGTGTCTGCGGATCAATTCGAACGCGAACCGCTCCCAGGAGACCAACAACTCTCGCATCGTCGTCGACGCCTGGAACCGTGCCTACGGCGCCATCAGCCTCAAATGGGTGCCGCAGGCCATCGAGCAGCCGCCTCCCCAGTTCGAGCCTTTCCCCACCGCCGTCGCCAACAGCACCAAGTCGAAGCGAGACAATGACGGCGACGAGAAGCGGCTCAGTGAGGTCAAGGTACAGGTCGCCGACTGGTCCGCCGACCTGAAGCACGGCGTCGACGAGAGCTACACGCTGACCGTGTCCGCCTCGTCGTCGACGGTCGAGATCGCGGCAAAGACAGTCTGGGGCGCCCTGCACGCCTTCACCACGTTCCAGCAGCTCGTCATCTCCGACGGCGAGGGGGGCCTGGTTGTCGAGCAGCCCGTCACCATCAAGGACCACCCCAACTACCCCTACCGCGGCGTCATGATCGACACGGGCCGAAACTTCATCTCGGTAGCCAAGATGAGGGAGCAGATCGACGGGCTGGCCCTGTCCAAGATGAACATCCTCCACTGGCACATCACCGACACCCAGTCTTGGCCCATCAAGCTGGCGACGTATCCTCAGGTCACCCGGGACGCCTACTCGGAGCGCGAGAGCTACTCGGAACAGCACGTCCAGGACATCATCTCGTACGCGCGCGCGCGGGGCGTCCGCATCATCCCCGAAGTCGACATGCCCGGCCACTCGGCCTCGGGATGGAGGCAGATTGACAAGGACATTGTGACGTGCGACAACAGCTGGTGGTCCAACGACAACTGGCCGCTGCACACGGCCGTGCAGCCCAACCCGGGCGCGCTGGACGTCATCAACCCCAAGACGTACGAGGTCGTGGCCAAGGTCTACGCGGAGCTCTCGCGCAAGTTCCCCGACGACTTCTTCCACGTCGGAGGCGACGAGCTCATGATCAACTGCTTCAACTTCAGCAAGGGCATCCGGGACTGGTTCGCCGCCGACCCCAAGCGCACCTACTTCGACCTCAACCAGCACTGGATCGACACGGCGTACCCGCTCTTCATGTCGGAGGACAAGACCGGCAACAAGGACCGCCGCCTCATCATGTGGGAGGACGTGGTGCTCTCGCCCGACGCCCGCGCCAAAAACGTGTCCAAGACGGTCATCATGCAGTCGTGGAACAACGGCGTCGAGAACATCGCCAAGCTCGCGAGCGCCGGCTACGACGTCATCGTGTCCAGCGCCGACTTTATGTACCTCGACTGCGGCTTCGGCGGCTACGTGACCAACGACCCTCGCTACAACGCCCCCCAGTCCAACCCGGACCCCAAGAACGGCACCTTCTCCTTCAACTACGGCGGCCCCGGCGGCTCGTGGTGCGCGCCGTACAAGACGTGGCAGCGCATCTACGACTACGACTTCACGGCCAACCTGTCGTCGGCGCAGGCCAAGCACATTGTCGGCGCCGCCGCGCCGCTCTGGGGCGAACAAGTCGACGACACCACCATCAGCTCCAAGATGTGGCCGCGCGCAGCTGCGCTCGCCGAGCTCGTCTGGTCCGGCAACAGGGATCCCGCGACGGGCGCGAAGCGAACGACGTATCTGACCCAGCGCATCTTCAACTTTAGAGAGTACCTTGTTGCCAATGGAATCATGGCCGCTCCCCTGGCGCCCAAGTACTGCCTGCAACATGCTCACGCGTGCGACTTGTACCTCGACCAGGGCGCTGTGAAGTGAGCGGCAGATGCACGCGGGCTGGCCTGGGACGCGGGGGGTGCCGATGAGACGTCGACGCGCACACGAAGTATTTTTCTTTGTAGCAGATATTTTGATATTTTGTCTGTAGCACTAGGTTTCTTGAAGACGTGCACCAATTGCTCTCGCCGCCGTGACCGTTGCAAGCACGCTGTGGTCCAGACTGCCAACCCTCCGACTCCCAACCGGGGGGAACTCGGAAGCATGTTGTCGTATGATGAATGAAGTGCGGCTGGTGATGCAGTACGTGCGATGTTTCTTCACGGCGGGTCTTGGCCACCGGAAACGGAGGCGATGGCGGCGTGGCGTCCGCAAAGGCGCAAGCCTCGTCCAAGCCGTCTAAGCCGGGCCATGTCCGGACAAAGTCAATTGCGTCCCCATCGGATCCCCGCATTTTCCCCATGACGTCGAGGGCGGGGTTGAGCGTCGTCGTCGAGTCCACGTCCCCAGCTGGTGCACACTGCAAAGCAGCTTGTCGGCTGGCTGGCTGGCTGGCCGCCAGTCAGCTCGGTTCACTTGGCGGGTCCACACCGCAGGTACCCGGCCTCGAGTGAACGAGTGTCTCCTTCCCTCCCCCTGTCGGCTTCCCAGATTGTGGAGCAACAGCCGTCGTCTCGAGAGTCGAGAGTCGAGACCACCGGACAAGCATCGAGGGCGAGCACAAACCGACGGCCTTCCCCGCCCGCCGCCGACGCATCAACGCATCTGTCGATGGCTCCAGAGCATACACGATGTGTGATGTGTACTTGCTTACGGCCAGCTTTGTGGGGCGAGCTGCGTGAGCCGCATCGAGCTCAGTGCCCCGGGCTGGGTAAGCCCAAGGCTTATTCCAGCCACGAGATGTCAGTCGGGCCGTTGGACGTGAGGAGGCATCGAATATAAGACCAGACCGTCACAGCTCTCCGGGTGGCATCTGCGCCTTGTCTGCTCGTCTCATGGCTCCGGTTTGAAGCGAAGCGAGGCGAAGCAGAGTGCACCACTGCCACGATTCCGACTCGCAACATGCGCGCGACTGTGAGTCCCCCCCCCTCGGAACACGTGACAGATGCCCCGGGCGTGCCATGACATCTGACACGGCTCGACAGCCCTCCAAGGCGGCCGTCGTCGTCGCCGCGACGCTGAGTCTTGGTCGCGTGGCCCAGGCCGTCGCGAATCCGGACCGCGTCGCCCGCTGTCTGGCGCGGTACAAGTACAGCGGGCTGGACGGCGGCCGTCACCGCACGTGGGCGTACGAGTACGAGACCGACTTCCCAGGCGTCACGTGGGACGACGCCGACTGGCTGCTCAGCACCACGACGCTGGAACAGGGCCGCTTCCAGTCCAGGGGCTCCGTCGCCAACGGCTACCTTGGCATCAGCGTCGCCAGCGTCGGCCCCTTCTTCGAGCTCGACTCCGACGACAAGGGCGGCGATGTCATCAACGGCTGGCCGCTCTTCTCCAGGCGCCAGTCCTTTGCCACCGTCGCCGGTTTCTGGAACGCCCAGCCCGACACCAACGGCACCAACTTCGGCTGGCTGCTGCAGTACGGACATGAGAGCGTCATCAGCGGCCTGCCGCACTGGAGCGGCCTCGTGCTCGATCTCGGCGGCGGCGTCTACCTCGACTCGACCGTCGATGGCACCACCATCACCAACTTCCGCTCCACCTACGACTTCAAGGCCGGCGTGCTCAGCTGGTCGTACACGTGGTCTCCGTCGGGCGGCAACCGCGGCTCCTACGACATCCGCTACCTCATGTTCGCGCACAAGCTGCACATCAACCAGGCTGTCGTGGACCTCGAGATCGTCCCGTCGGTCGACGCCAACGCAACCGTCGTGAACGTGCTCGACGGCTATTCCGCCGTCCGCACCGACTTTGTCCAGTCTGGCGAGGACGCCGGCGCCATCTACTCGGCGGTTCGCCCCACCGGCATCGCCAACGTCACGGCCTACATCTACGCCAACCTGACGGGCTCCGACCACGTCGGCCTGGGCGGCAAGACCCTCGTGGCGGACAAGCCGTACGTGCGCAGCAACGACTCCTCCATCGCCCAGGCCGTGCCCGTCCGCTTCTCCGCCGGCAAGGCCGTGAGGGTGACCAAGTACGTCGGCGCAGCGTCCGGCGACGCCTTTGACGACCCCCGCGACGTCGCCAGGAGGGCGGCGTCGTCGGCCTCGTCGCGGGGCTTCGACAAGTCTCTGCGCTCCCACGTCGAGGAGTGGAACGACGTCATGCCCGACGATTCCGTCGACAGCTACGCCGACCCCGGCAACGGCACCCTGCCCCGCGACAGCTACATCATCGACTCGGCCATCGTCTCGGTTGCCAACACGTACTATCTGCTGCAGAGCACCGTCGGCCCAAACGCCCAGGACCTGGTCGGCGACGCCCCCGTCAACGTCGACAGCATTCCCGTCGGAGGCCTGGTCTCGGACTCGTACGCCGGGCTCATCTTCTGGGATGCCGACCTGTTTATGCAGCCCGGGCTCGTCGCGTCGCACCCCCGGTCGGCCGAGCGCATCACCAACTACCGCGTCAGCAAGTACGGCCAGGCCAAGGCGAACGCCCAGACGAGCCACGCCGGCTCCCAGAACAAGACCGTCTTCTCCAAAGACGCCGCCGCCTTTCCTTGGACCAGCGGCCGTTTCGGCAACTGCACCGCCACCGGCCCGTGCTGGGATTACCAGTATCACCTCAACGGAGACGTGGGCATATCCTTTGTCAACCAACTCGTCGCCACGGGCGACACTGCCTACTTCAAAAACACCTTGTTTCCCGTCTACGATTCCATCGCAACCTTCTTTTCGAACCTCCTTGCTCCGAATGGCACGTCTTGGACTGTCAAGAACATGACGGACCCCGTGCGTGATACTCGAGTTTCCCCGCTTGTCTTCCTGCCCGCTTACAGTGACTGACAGGACGAATACGCAAACCACGTCGACGCGGGCGGCTACACGATGCCCCTGATTGCCGAAACGCTGCAGACGGCCAACACGTTTCGCGCGCAATTCGGCCAGGAGAGAAACGCAACCTGGGATTCCATGGCTGCAAACGTGCTGTTCCTCCGCGAAAACGACGTCACCCTCGAGTTCACCACGATGAACGGAAGCGCCGTGGTGAAGCAGGCCGACGTCATATTGGACACGTTCCCGCTGTCCTACACGGCCAACTACACCGCCCAAGAATCGCTGAGCGACCTGGACTATGTAAGTAATCAAGCACGCCCGTCTGCCCATGGATCGATCCATGGGCCGTCCCCGTCCTCGGCGCTCACAGCCCGCCCCGTTAGTACGCAAACAAACAGTCGCCAGACGGGCCCGCCATGACGTGGGCATTCTTCTCCATCATCGCCAACGACATCTCGCCCTCGGGCTGCTCGGCCTACACCTACTCGCAGTACTCGTACAAGCCGTATGCTCGCGCACCCTTCTACCAGCTCTCGGAGCAGCTGATTGACAATGCCACCACCAACGGCGGAACCCATCCGGCCTTCCCCTTCCTCACCGGTCACGGCGGCGCAAACCAGGTCGGCATATTTGGCTATCTCGGCTTGCGCCTGCTGCCCGACGACGCCCTTCACATCAACCCCAACCTGCCTCCGCAGATCTCGCACCTCACCTACCGGACCTTTTACTGGCGCGGCTGGCCACTCAGCGCCTCATCCAACGCAACACACACGACGGTACGGCGAGCCCGGCACGTCCGGCCGCTGGCCTCGGCGGACCCGCGCTTCGCCAACAAGACCATTGCCGTCCACGTCGGCGCCGAGGGCAGCGCGAGCACGCACGACCTGCCCCCGGACGGCACGGCCGTCGTGCCAAACCGAAACATCGGCCGAGTAAACACCACCCCCGGCAACCTCCTCCAGTGCAAATCCGCCGCGTCGCCCGACAGATACCGGCCCGGCCAGTTCCCGATCGCGGCCAACGACGGCGCCACGTCTACAAAGTGGCAGCCCTGGTACGCCGCCAACCTCAGCTCCGTCACCGTCATGCTCGCGCCGGACGACGTCGGCGCCATGGTGTCGCGGCTGCACTTCAACTGGGCCCAGGCGCCGCCCGTAAACGCCACCGTCGTCTTTCACAACTCTACCCTCGGCAGCCTCGAGGGCGTCGACCCGGCGGCTGCGACCACCGAGTCCACCGCCAACTACACAGTCGTGGCGCACCTGGCAGGCGTCGAGCTGTCCAAGCCGTACAGCGCCCAGTCCACCAACCTGGACGTCATTGCCATTCCGGTCGGCAACACCACCAACGTCACCCTCAGCGAGCCCGTCCCGGCCGCCCGGTACGCGACGCTGCTGATCACCGGAAACCAAGCCCTCGGCCGGGTCGACATTGACGCCAAGAATGGAACCGGCGCCACCGTGGCAGAATGGGCCGTCATTGTCGACGCTGGACAATCTGGCCCAGCGAAGCCGCCGAGCGGCCTTGGCTGGCGCCGAGGAGCCATGCTCAGAGGCAAACGCTTCTGACTGGGACGACCAGGTTGAGCACGGCAGCCCGCAGCACGGCAGCATAAAACGTAGGCCGGGCCGTTGATGAATATAGAGTTGCACCTTTCAGACTAGACTGCCCGGACCTGTAATTCCCGCATTCACGATCCGAGGCAATGCGGCGACCTTTGAGGCCCCTTTTCCGGCAGAAGTTGCCAATCTATATAGCGTTGAATCTACGAGTTGGTCTTTTTCGCGTGTCGGGGTGTGTAGACGTGACGCGCCAATGTCCTGGGACCTCTGTATTGCATCGACGGACGTAGTAGGAGACTGGGGTCTTGCGGAACTTGCGCCCAAACACAAAGCCTCGACCACATGATTTGCCGCACCGCAGAGGTTGCAGCCACCGGTCGGCTGCGCACACGGGCAGACATCTTTTTGTGCATGCAGCCCCTTGTGGTCGGGTCCTGGATGTGGAGGAACGAGGGACCTCAGGGCCATACGACACTATGTGCATTGAGTCTCTGCTCCAAGCTCCAATCTCTAACCAGCCCTTGTTACATTGGTCGGGTCCTTTGGATGAGGAATCAACGACCTCGGGATCAGACGATACCATGTGAATCGAGTCATCTGCCCAGCTCTGATGTCTGCGACTAGCCCTCGTTACAAGTACAACCGACGTGTCGTGTCCAACCAGCTGCCACATTTCATCCAATCCACTCGCTCAAGTGTGTCGTCAAGACCGACAGTAATCCAGGGACGGCGGAGGGATGAGACGACGAGTCATCTGCTTCGCATCACGTCGGGACTAGGGCCAGCGGCGGTCCATGAGGGACGGCACAGACTACGACTCGTGCGTTCTGTGGCCTTGTCTCCAAGCGACATGCGCCAAGATATCCGTCAGAAACACGTGGACGGACCGCTTGCGTAGGATGGCAAGCACAAGTTGTACAGGGACACATTGTACGTCGCCGCACTCGGACCCCGTGTTGAAGCCATGCCGGGGCCTCTTCCTCTCCGGATGCCCACCAGGTGGAAGTAGAAGCTTGTAGCGCAGTCTGACATGATCCATTGCTGCAACTTCACCGGTCAGTCCGTGTACATGCCAAAACACCAAAGTTGCAAGTGTTGTAGAGGTTTACAACAGGGCGTTTTGATTGATCTCCTCTAGGGGCCGGCTGCCGGGCGGCATCAACAGGACTCTTCGCCGGCCACCAATTTCATCCCGCTTTGCCTAGTTGCCCGAGCCGCGCCCCTCCGTCTTGTCAGCACATCCGGGGGACTCCCTCGGGGGTATTTTTGGATCGAGGAGTGCATGTGCTGAGTTTTGTAAGCACGCATTCGCACCGACGCGGTGGACAACTCCACTTGGCCCCGATATGAATCATTCATCTTATGCTCCGCGGTTGACCCTCAGACTCCCACGCTTACCCTTGTTGCATTATCCACAATCGCCCCAAGATGGAAGTAGTTTCCGACGAAATGAGAGGATATCCCAGGCGCCAAAAAAAGCGGAATCAGGGACAACTCTGACAAGCAGCAAGGGCTGCCATGTATATCGAGCGCTTCGTCACGACGAATGACTAATGCCCCGGGAAACAGGACCAAGGACGGCTTATCTGGACGGACCCCACGGCTGCTGAATTGGGTCTTGTGTGATGCTAAATGAGGCAACGTGCCGTGGGACCCACAAAATAGAGTGCGTCCAAACCGTCGGGATTTTTGTTATTAATTAGCGTGGAGCGGTCTTTTATCCCGATGCCTGTCTTGTGAATGCCGACATACAAGATGGACGTATTTTTGTCGAAACAACCAACAACCTGCCCAGCCTGTTGAGGCGGCGTAGTGACGTCTATTAAAGACCATGTAGAGTAACTAGCTGCTTAGGCATCAAAACGGACTACTCGGATGACGGACTAACTGTAGATTTCGTTTTTCGCACCGAATAGCTCTTGATTTGAACGACTTTGACTTCATCAAGCATAAGCAAGGGACGACCAGCGCAGCTGCTTCTACTTCTTCCTGTTCCCGTAACTGTACCGACTCTACGTGTGCTGGGCACCGCCTCTGCATTAACTACCCCTCCACTCTCGTGTCAGGAAGCATGAGGTCAAACGTCTCAGTAGAAATTCTGACTCGTGACTCGCACGAGCCGTGCGTGGCCCCGAGGACGGCGAAGACGGCAGAGTGAAGCTGTGCTTGCAAAGAACTATAAGACGTCGAAGCCATCCTCCGTGGACGGTGGCTGCTGCTCCGAATTATGCTTCCAGCTTTCCCTCTACCAAGCACCACACAGGCCACTCTATGCCTTACTCCACGTTCTGAAAGGCCCTCCCTACACCATGACTCCTTTTGAGACCTTGCTGGTCCTGCTGGCGTCCACGGCGCTGGCGTCCACGGCAGACAGCCGAGAACAAGCCATTCCCAAGCCCGTGGTGAAAAATGGCGTGCTTCAGCTGCCCCTTGTGACGATCCATCCCGAGCCGGACACGGCTGACGGCAACCTAACGAGGCGTCAAGTCGCAGCGGACTTTGACATGCGCGACTATACCGGGCCAAGGGCAGTCGCGGCACTCGGCATTCCCCTTCAGGTCGGAACACCGCCGCAGACGGTCTTCGTGGAACCAGATACGGGGTCCTCTCCGTTCTGGGTTCCCAATCTCCCGCCGGGCCTGAGCCGTGAAGGACCGCTGCCTGTGTATTTTGACCTGGCAGCCAGCAAGACTAGTCGGGATCTACACAGGCCGGAGAAGATGAGCTATGCGGGTGAAAAGGCTTATACGCAGCTCTTCATGGATGAGGTTGCTATTGCAGGTAGGTCGTCAACGGTACAGCGCAAGACGCCAGCCACGCTTCCATCTTGACGCTGATGTTCGCGTCCCCAGGCCGCTCACTGGGCATGTTCCGAATGGGGGTGGCCAACGTCAGCCAGTCCAATCTGGGCCGTATCGTTGGCACGCTGGGCCTCCTCCCCCCAAGTGCTCCGGAATGGGCCGACTCCTTCATTCTCAAAAGGCTCGTCGACCGGAAAATCACCCAGAGCCAGGCGTTCGGTGCCGGCATCCGCAACAGGGGCCGGGGCTCGCTCACCCTCGGCGGCTACGACACGGCAAAGTTCTCCGGCCGACTCGAAAAGTTCCCCATTGTCCCGAACAAAAACGACAAGTAAGAGAGTGAAAACCTGCCAAGGCCACGCCGCCGGACGCACGTGTGATGCAGACACTGACCTGTCCCGGCCAGCTACGTCATGAAGATGCAGACCGTCACTCTCTCGACCGGTGGCGGGAAGCAGACGACCGTGCTGGACACGAGCCTCACCGACGGGAAGCCGGTGACCATTGGGCTGGATACCGGGGCCCCCGTCGTCGTGTTCGCCTACGAGATTTTCAAGGCGGTCGCCCAGAACCTGGGTGCCGGGCTGGAAAAGGGTCTCGTGACGCTGCCTTGCGACCTGGTCGACTCCAAGGGCTCGCTGGACTTGAGGATGAGCGACAGCACCACCATCTCCCTTCCTCTGGCTGACCTGCTGGTGGGACGGCTCGACGACGGCAAGCGGTGCATGATGGCTATTCAGCCATACCTCAACTCAAGACTCCCTTCCCGTACGGCAACCCCTCTCCGTGTGAGCTGACGTTGGAGAGACTGACCTGTTTTTCTTACACGTGTGCAGATGTGTGGCTGGGCACTCACTTCCTCCGGAGATCCTTTGTCGTCTACGACCCCATCGACAGGAACATCTACATTGCCGCTGCTGCCGACTGCGGCTCTAACCTTGTTGCCATCAACGGTGCCATGCCGGACGATGTCACGGGAGATTGTGCCCCCGAAGCTCAAGAGATTGACCCGCCGACGGACAAGGTCCAAAGCGAGCTCCTTGGGCTCACAGAGGAAGAGATCGCGGCGTATCTTGATCCTCGGATTGACGATGCGGCGGACGGAAAAGCTTGATTTCGTGCCAGCGCCCATGTACGATTGGTGCCGTGTCCTCCCGGGCATACAGTTGTTGTTCTGCAACGGATGCAGGGTCAGCCAAGTACTAGGCTAGAACCGTGTGTTGTGTCTCGCTCCTCGCGACAAGAATAGACAGTTCTGTCAAGCCGGTTCCCGTTGACGCCCTTGGTCGCCATTGTAGCCTCTGGCTGTGCTCGTTCGTTGTAACTTTTTGTGCTTGCCCAAGCGTGTGAGTGTGACGATGCCTGTCAGTTCCATCGTGTCTTTGGCAAATCCTGCCGCAGACCAGGCAAGCTCTCGCGGTGGAGAGCGGCTGAAGAGCAGTGGACGGCTGGCTTCATGTAAGTTATTCAGCAGCAATCGCAGGCTTGGCCCCGGAAGCTGTAAAGATTGTAACTTTGCCTCAAGAACAGCAACGTTTTATGATGCGAACAATACTCCGTACCCTGGGCCAAATATCCACCGTCTGGCCGCATGCGATTGGAGGCTGCGCTGTCTTGTATCTGATATTCCGTCTCATCTTCTTATTAGCTGGAGGCCGAATGCTGCCAACGCAACGTGACCAAGTTGTCAGTAGTATCGGGCCACCCATCATTTCACGGAGCCAAGGCGCACCGCACCTCATCTCCTTGTCTTCGGCGTCTCCATATCCATCTCAGTCATATGTGTCGAACCACTGTGCTTCCGTATTTTCGCCTCACGCCCAACCTCTGAAGCGCAGCTAGTCGGAGATACTGGCGGTGCATTTTCCGAACATCCTCTTTTCCTTGGTCTGAAGCTCTGTCAAAGTCTTCCACTTGACCGTCTAGCATCTTGTACATGCCAGTATTCGAATGACGTTTGAATTCCTTCATCACACACGTCGTTTCCTGGTACACGGAAAAGCCTCAACTACATCACATGACTAGCTGCAATGCACAAAGGTTGCAGCTATCACGATGCCCTCATGGGCCACTGGTGGGCTCAGGCACCAAGGCATCAAGGCAATAAGCCACAAAGGGCATCACCTCTTTGTTGCCTACTCAGGTTACACACACAAGCACTCGTTGGTTGGGTCCATCAGGCTGAGGAACCAAGGACCTTTAGGACCCTACAATGTTACATGCGAATACGAGTCATTTGCTCCAAGCCCTGATCTTCAAGACCAGCCCCCGTTACATTTCCACAGCTCCACAAAGTACCACGGTACTATGGCTTGGCCCGACTGATGTGAATCATGATGACTCGCAAAGTTGAGTTTCACAACGACTATTCAATCCTAGTTGCACCTAGCCGTCTCCGCTGACAAACTGGAAGTCGAGCATGCTCGCCTTCTCGGAGAAGAAAGCAGACGACGCTCATCTGCCTGCGATATGCCTGCTGGCAAGAGTTTGAAGACGGGTTGCCGAATGAATGACTGCATCGTCCCCGCCCAGCGGAGTAAAGGTCTATAAATGGATGTTGTCGAATCCAACGCTGAACTCTAATTCCTTGCCGATATCTCGTCAACAATAAGTCGTGGGGAGAAATTTGGGCAATCAATGAGGGGCCTATACATAGTCTTCCGCAACTCGCCATTTGATTTCTTTGATACGATTTAAAGTCTCAGATCAGGAGTATACGCTGCTGAGAACAGAGACACCGAGCCCGATTTGCGAAACGCGGGATGGCTCTCTTCGAGACATGTTCGGACGGGAAGCTGATACGTTTCCGCCAAGATGTCGCAGTGGTAGTCCCCGAATCGCTTTACAGATGTGAAAACCTCGGGCCGCAAGGACCTCGCGCTTCGCTGTTTCTTTCAAACTCGTTCGTAGTCAACAGGAACGTCTTCGTATGAGATTGCCGCCCGGAGATTAGGCTGTTGATCACGCAGGGCGTTTTAGCAGCTTGTATGACCTCACTGTGGATGCCGTAGGCGAGGACACGAGTTACAGGAATCGTTGTGTGGTCCTTGATGCACGTACGTAGCTCAGTCAGTTATCCCGTAGTTGAAGGCGCAGATTTGAAAGGTTTTGCTCACTGTAGCGTAGCAACTTTATAGAGAACTAACTTTTTGCTAAGCGTCTAGAACTACTAGTATAATTAGACTTCTTATAATTAGTATTTTATCTATATTATTAAAGTAGTAAAGAACTAAATATTAAAGCTACTATTATTTATAGTTATTATTTTATATAGGCCCCTGCTATTATATTAAGACGCTAAATCGCAGACGGCATTTGTGTTCGCACGAGTCGAAGCAGCGCGTCCTTATTTACCCTTCTGTCGACAAGTGGGGAGCTAATACTCCGTAGACGCTGCTGGAAATGTGTACATTATAGAGTCGTGCTATTCGCGCTAATCGTGTAGGCCCTGCTTTAGATAGTTCGGCTAGCAAAGCTCTCACTACTTTAAATTATCTAAAATAGGGCGGGCACAATTACCGTGAATTGCTTAGCGGGCTTACCTATTTTGCTCGGCGGGCTCACTGCTCTACTATGCCCTGATTTTAGTCTAGCAGCTCTACTGCTATACTCTATAGTATATTCTTAGTATATGTCAAGGACTGGCCTTACAGGCGACTGCGTGTACGCGTTACTAGTATTAACTATAAACTTAAGGAGAGAGAAGAAGAAAAGAGGAAGCTCTCTATCCCCTCTTTTCTACTTATTATATATATATATAAGTTTAATATATATTTAAAAAGTATTTAATAAGGCACTAACACAGTGCCTTGTACTCACTTGAGCCTACAGCTTAAGTCTATTACAGTATAAATATATAGTAGTAAAATACTCTTAATTAATTAAAAAGATATATATATAATTTATATAAATTTCTTAATAGCACTATATTAGTAAGCTTTAAATTACTTAAAATATAATTTCTAGTATTTTTACTTAATATATATACTATTAAGCTAAATTTTAAAGTTATTCTAGCTATTTATTATTTATCTAGTTATATTAATTAGCTATAACAATAGTAATAGTATTAAGAGAATAAATTACTTAATCTTTAGAGAGCTCTATCTTAATTAGTTCTCTTTACTTATTACTTATATTTTAATTTAATTAATATAATAATAGCAGCAGCTGCTACTGGCAGCATTAATTCCTTATAGTAGTTTAAATCTTAGCCTATATACACTCTCTTTAAATACTTAGTGCTAGAGGCATTATAGAGGTTATTAAAGCTGCTATAGCCTAGTAAGGGCGGCAAATTCAGAGGCAGATTTAAGAGGTTATAAGGGCTTTTATTAGGCATTATAATATTATTAAAGAAGGAAAAAAGCTGCTGCTTATTAACAATTTATATAGCTATAGCGCTATTAAAAAATCTATTAATTTTTAATAAAGCTTTTTAGTGTTAAGTAAAGCTGCTATATATCTATACTGAGAATGTACTATAGGGCATGGCAGCAGGGCTGACCGCAGAAAAATTAGGGCGTGGTGGAGCAGTGAGCCCGCCGAGCAATTCACCTGACCTATAGCCCGAAGGTTCGCGGCCTCAACTGAAAAGCTTGGACCCCACCACGAAAAGCCTAACATCGTCATCCGGTAATAGCTACGAATTTGCAGTTTCTCCCCCTTAGATCCGATTCCATGGAAAGCTGGCTAAAAGAATCCGGAGCGGTGGGCTTGGACAACCTGGAGCTTGCCGATTTCCCAACCACCGGGCGTGGTGTCAGAACACTGAAGTGTTTCAAGGAAGGAGAAAATATTCTCACCATTCCAAGTGGCATTCTCTGGACGGTCGAGCATGCATATGCTGATTCCATTCTTGGGCCAGTCCTTCGCTCAACAAGTCTACCCCTGTCTGTTGAAGACACGTTAGCTATTTATATTCTCTTTGTCCGATCGCGCAAATCGGGATACGATGGCCCTCGAAACCACGTGGCGGCGTTACCTGCGACCTACTCTTCAAGCATCTTCTTTATGGAGGACCAGTTAGAAGTTTGCGCTGGGACTTCACTGTACACCATCACAAAGCAGCTGGAGCAACGTATCGAGGATGATTACAGGGGTTTAGTCGTGCGAATGCTCGGACACTATCCAGATCTTTTTCCACTGGACAAATTTACCATCGAAGATGTAAGTAATTTGCGCATGTGATAGGTATGACTCATCAACTACTAACGCTTCTTTCCCTGCTTTTTAGTACAAGTGGGCTCTTTGCACCGTATGGAGCCGTGCGATGGATTTTGTGCTGCCTGATGGAAAGTCGATTCGACTTTTGGCGCCCTTCGCGGATATGTTGAATCACTCGTCCGAGGCTAAGCCATGTCATGTCTACGATGCCTCGTCTGGAAACTTATCCGTCCTTGCCGGAAAAGACTACGAAGCCGGGGATCAGGTATGTCTGTCTTGTTGTCTGAGGGTACCAACCTATGTGCTTACTTGGGACTATTCTTTCAGGTTTTTATTAAGGGAATTGCTACACGGGCATGACACTTTGGCTACACGGGCATGACTCTTACACGGGCATGACTTTTACCACTTCTGATTGGTCGCATACTTTCTTGGCCCCACAGATACTTCCTCGGAAAGGCGGTGTAGCCAACTTCACTAACAAGCTCCTACATCACCATGAATTGCAGTCACTTATCGTTGTGGGCGCGATTGGTCTTCTGCTATCTTGCAAGCCTGCATTTCGGATTAAACTACCGTCCTTGTACTGTTAGCCAGTAACTGTCAAATACTGGCAAAAGACGTGATGTGGTCTACTTAATTTATTGCCTCACAACGATACAATCTGGATCTTCGTCATCACTCTTAGCCAGTTCCCATTGACTCCTTGTCCTGCGAATGTTTCGTTGCGTCCTCCGTCCACTGTACCGCACGCCTGTCGTATTCCCAGCATTTAGGACTTTAGAAGGTCTACCTGGCCCTTGCTGGGCTGAGATGCCAATTTGGCCACCAGTTTGTGTGATGGTTTCTCGAGTAGCTTTATGCACTCTCCTAGCAAGAGTTGGCTTATTGAGACTTCCTGGCGGTCGACCTCGTCGCCCACTTGGTTGATTATCAGATCGGCTACTTGATGTAATAGCTAGGCTTTCTGGGATAACCTGCGCTGTATTCTTTGGCCTTCCACGTAGTGCAGTGGCAACTTTCGGGTCAAGAATTCGTCGGTATGGATCTTGAGATGCCGATTCCCGTAGTCGCCAGCGTGGGTGGACCTCCCATTTAGTGAAACGTGTGTCAGAATCTAGCTTTGCGTAGACTTTATGATAGCATGGGATTCCCAGCTCAATAGAGACCGTACAGTCGTCGTCGCAAAGTCCAATAGAGTCGGGGAAGGGATTCTTCCCCGTCGGCAGAAATTTGCGAGCAATACAGTATTGCTTGTTGATTAACCCAAGTCCTTTCGATGACATGGTTGTTCGTAGTTCACCAAGATAGTTTCCCATCGAACCTAGGTATTGTGGAGCAGTCAGGACATCATCCTGTCCACAGGCATCCTTAAAGGCACGTTCTTGGTCATGTATCATATCCTGCATTGCCTCGACGAGTCGGTAGAGGTGGCTCATGCCATTTAATAGATAGCTTTTGATATTATTGTTGCTTGCTTCTGTGCCGGACGTAACTCGGATTCCGAAGTTACGATAACGACGGATAAAGCAACGTGCCCATTGAGCACTAACAGGCATATAAGTCGAGTAGAGGTATTGTAAGATCGCTCGTTGGTCGTCGAACTCTTTACAAAGATCTCTCCATGCCTGCTCAAACGCTTCCTCAGTCTCGGCATAGAGAACCTTTTTCCACATTAAAACAACGCCTTGGTAAGTATGAGGAATCTTATCACTACTCGACCGATCTTCGATCAGATGCTTATCTGTAGTGCTCAACCCGCCATCCGCCTGTGAGGGAATGTCTTCACTGTCACTAGCGCTAGGGCTAGTAGTACTGTCCTCACGTTGGCCCGTCCACCTAGTCTTCGATTTAAGCAAAACGTTTGAAAGGATATGATGAATACAAAGCTGTTGCTGTGCATTTGGAAACTGATCATTAACGGCAGCTTTCATAGCCTTGTCGAAGTCTGTGATGATGACATCTGGTTCCCTGAGTGAGTGTTTTGTAATGAGCTTGCGAACACTCTCTGCAAGGAATTGGAACCCCTCCCTCCTCTCGTTATCTATTAAGCCAAATGCAGCATTGAACACAGTTCCAAGACAGGTTTGGCCAGTAGCCTGGAATAAAGGAAGCTTGAAGCGATTAGTGTTATATGTGTTATCAAAGCTAATAACCTCGGGGAAGCGCTTCCACATCTGTAGACAGTACGGAAAGGTCCAGACAAGACCAAGCAGTCTATCTGGATCATCATCGGCCCATTTCGCGATGTATGGGATCTTCTTCTCATCAAAGAGTTTGATCAATGCCGCAGTAGGTGTATAGCCATTTAGCTTCTCTCGGTTAATGAACGAACGGGCATTATAGATATCCTTCCGCAGGAGTGTTGTATCGGGGAATTGCTCCTCAACCATAGCAGCTACATCACTGGCTCGAATACCCGCGCGACGGCTTGCTGACTCGATGGTTGCTTTAACTGGTGTAGTAAGGCGGCGGTGGGAAACATGCGCAGATGGCGTAATACTCCGTTCATGGTTATGCTGGTGATGTTTCGGGTCTCTATGTTGTCGAAGAAGCCACTTGCCTTCCTCTAGGGCTTCAGCAATTATCATCCATTTGCAATCACACTTCCGAGACCTTCGGGTTCGAAGACCAGAACCCCCCGAGGCCCGAGATTGTCCAAACCGGTCGCATTGAATGGAGTACCTAATCAACCGTCCCTTATAGGAATATTTATTCCGCCGAATAATACCAAATCCGTTCTCCTTTGCAAATGCGTTGGTTGTTTTAAAAAGAACTTCGGCCGAGGGCGCTGGGTCGCCAGGGATTATTGGGTTCGGAATTGGCTCCGGGGCGGGAGATAGAGACTGTCGCATAGGCGAGGAACTAATATTTTCGGGCGTCGGTGATATTCGAGGAGGTTGTGTGGGTGACCTACGAGGTGGAGAGTACGGTGGAGGAGAGTCATATGCTTCGAAACTTAATGGTGACCATCCCCATCTCTCTCGCCAAGCTTGTACACGTTCGTATGATCGAGCAAGGTCTACAGTTAGCCTTCGACCTTCGCCGGTAACCTCTCGTACTATGCGCATTGCGGACTCGAACTCGGCTCTTGTCCTTGTTGGGAGATGCTGGGCGGATGGGGGTGATTCGGGAGGTTCAGAGGCGAATGGATCAAATTCTGGGCCTGGTATAAGCGCTCTGACTCGCTGGCTCCATCTTTTTCCACGGAAGAAGTCATTTTGAAGATATATCTCATAGTCAGATCGAAGGCCCCATGCAGGCTCATGGCGGCCCTGTGAACCATGGGGGTGTGGGAGACTTGAAAGTGTTTGCGGGAAAGAGGCGAACAGGTTATCGAGTGCATTTTCGTCCCCGAGGCCGTAGAACTGACCGATACTCGTAGCAGAGCTACTCGCGGATTGTGGTCGGTCTTCAACTGTGGAAGGACTAGATCTGCGTCGCCGACTGGATTTGTGTCGCTTTCCTCTTTGTGATTGATCACTGGGACTAGGGCTCCGCGACCTGCGAGGAGGTGTGCGAGGCAAAGACATTGACGTCTTGAGAAGAGAACAAGATTGTAGTGAAAGAATTGGTCGCTATCTCTACAGCATAGGGTGCCGTATTATGGTTTATTAAAAGCTACGAAAATGAAGAAAGCAAGCTCGAGGGGGTCGCCCCGACTGCGCGACCACTGGGTTGCTGCGTAGTAGCTTAGCCGAAATGAAGTAATTTACACAGAAGCAAGGTTAAAATGGCCCAGGTACTTGCGGCTGAGGTGGCAGAATCCAGCGTCGTTAACAGAGACAATGCGACCAATCAGAAGTGGTAAAAGTCATGCCCGTGTAAGAGTCATGCCCGTGTAGCCAAAGTGTCATGCCCGTGTAGCAATTCCCTTTATTAATTATGGGCCTATGCCAAATAATCGGCTTTTACGTCTCTATGGCTTTGTCGCACCCGGTAACCCCAATGATAGCTATGATCTCGTTCTTGCAACGCATCCTATGGCTCCTTTCTTTAAGCAAAAGCAGAAGCTTTGGGCCTCGGCTGGACTCGATTCTACCACTACCATCACCCTCACTTTCACCGATCCGCTACCGAAAGATGTCCTTCGATACCTCCGTGTTCAGCGATTGGACGAATCAGACGTCGCTGTCTTAGCACTTCAGCAAGCTAGTACTACGGATGCCAAAATCAGCGATTCGAACGAGGTGGAAGTCCTGCGGGTTTTGGTGGAATCGACAGGTGGTCTTCTGAACAATTTCGGAACTCACGTGGAAAAGCTAGAAGAACAGCTCAAGGAGGGCGTCTATTCTTCGGGAGGAAACGCATGGGCGGCGGCACACGTTAGCTTGGGCGAACAGCGGGTGTTGAGATTGGCGAGAAAGAAGGCGGAGGATTTGTTAGCGGCAGTGGAGAGCAGTAATAGGAATGGCAGGGTTTCGCTATCGGCACAGGGGCGGTGCGCGAATTGCGAAAAGATTTCTGTGCAGTTGATGTTGTGCGGGAGGTGCAAATCGGTTATGTATTGCGGGCGGACGTGTCAAGTTGCTCACTACAGAGAGCACAAGGCAATATGTCGGGCAACAGCTTCCAAGAATGGCTATTAACTAAAAAGCATATGTGTTGCGTTGGTCACAAATATATCCATTAGCTAGTATCTATATAAAGACTAGCCTAAACTGAGCTGTAACTAAGTACGTACTGTCTGCGCCACACCTATAACTTATTTTTGGCACCACAATGCAAAAGTCGGCAAAGCGTCATCAAGCACGACTTCCCAAGGAGGCGCGCACAAGTCTAAAGACAATCCACGGCACGCCGGTACCCAACTACTCACTTAAGTACTTTAGTAGTAGTCACATGGCTCAGCATGGTTTAAAGTCTGCTGTCGCGACGCGTTCTTGAGAGGATTTAAAATCTCTACAAAAACCCAACTCCCGCGCATGCTTTCTCATCCCACAATAACCTCCCCCCCCCAACTTTCAGACCAAATTATGGGCCAACTTGACTCGAAAGAACCGCCAGAGCGGTCGGGTGAAAAGCCCAAGGCCTGGCGCCAGCTTGATGAAGAAGAAGCAGTCGCTCGAAACCTTCGAGAAAATCCCGTCGAAGAATACAGAGAGCTTCCTCCCGCTCAGCAGCCCGTGTCTGATGACGAGCTCCCCCTGCAATCGCTGCACCACCTGTTGTGGTCACATCCTCGCTATTCAGGAATTTTTGAAGCCGCAAATACAATGCCCTTCGAGATTCCCGTCGAGCCGGTGGCTGAATCGCTCAAGTTGGTGAACACAGTTCCATTCATCATCGAGGCACCGCTAAACTCAGTAGAAATATTTGAAGCCATCCTGAAGCCGTCGCATCCCTTTAAGATCCACACTGCGCGTCACGTCCAGCGTCGCTTCAATCGAAGAGGCGGACCTGGTTGGAGGAGCCTGTACTCCGAATACATTCGGCTACAGGGCCAGCTGGAGCGGCATCGCGAGATATTATATATTCGCGTCCCCGAGGATGCCTTGTGGACTCTCCGCAAGAGACTCATGGGAACCTTCATGCCCGTTTTGCTGAAGTACATATCGATCCCATGGTCGACAGGCTATCCCCTCGGCTTCCCTTACCTGTCCTTACAAAGCCCATGGGCCTTGGTGTTTCAACATAAGACGTATCCAGGGCTGCATTCGTACCATCTCTGTCTGCCTAAACTGCGTCGAGAATTGGGATTGTCGAATAGTTATGTCAATATAGAGCGCAGCTTTACGGTCGCACATTAGCTTGCATCTGCAAACGCTGCTACTACAATTTTCCTAATTTACATTCTGCTGATTTGCTGTAGCGCTATATATATCTTTATAATTATAGTTAATTGCTATATATATCTTTATAATTATTATTAACTTTAATATTATATAAAATACTTACTTAAATCGGCCGTTGAGCGCCGTCGAGTTTGCCTTTGGGCCAGACGCACCTCCGCAATCTGTGGGTGGCCATCACTCGCTGGCGGGCCAGTCGACCGGCGTGCTCGACGTGACGCAGAGCTTCGAGATACTAGTGGGCGGTTTCGACATCTGGGCCCAGGTAATGACCTTCATCTTCAACGACGGACGCCGGGCACCGGGCATGTGCGCACCCCAGAACTGCCCCTGGGTCCCGGCGTCGCCCTGGTCACAATCCCGAAGCCAGCTCGAGGCCTGGAGGGCAGGCCAGCATCGGAAGCTCCATTACCCCAGCAACTCGGTGGCCGTCCACATGACGCTCGGCTTCGGCGAGACGTTCGTCTACCTCAATCTCCTGTACTACGTGAGGTAAGAATCCCCTTCCCACAGCGGTAGCGGTCGACGGGGCTCCCAACTTGCCGCCGCCGCCCCTGCTTACGCCTTGTCAGCACCCTCATGCTTCACCGCGAGTACTTCCCCTTCCTGCCGACCCCGGAGTCGGAGCCACGGGGTCCAGTCGACCAGCCCATGCTGGGGGCGCCCGCCCCCGAGGGCTGGTGGGACGACAGCTCCCGACTCCTCTTCGGCGCGGCAGAGCACATCGCCGCCATTCTACACGAGGCCTCCGAGTGTGGCGTGCATCTCATGACGCCCTTTGCCGGGTTCTGCGCATTCTCAGCCGGCTACCTCAACCTCTACGTGGCGAAATACCCCCGAATGAACCTGGGCCGCAGCCCGCGAGCAAGCGACTGTCTCAAAATGTGTCTCGACTACCTGGAAAAGTTTCGACTTGTCTGGAAAATCGCCGACGGATGGGTAAGCCGCCCGCAAGCATGACACGACCGTGGCCACCGTTGCGCTAACATTGAGAGGGCGGCACGCGCAAGATCAAAACGATACACCATGCATCCGTGCTCTACGAGCGAGCAACCGAGGACCGGACACGATACCAGGGGCGCACACGAGCAGACTTTGATACTCTACACCAGTCTGTCCACGAGTTCCGTGTCGTGGATAGATCCGACGCGCATACTCGGGAGATTCGGGGCGCGGAGCGGCCCTCGGCGCAGGCGACTTGGCCGGTTCAAGGGCACGAGCACGAGCACGAGCACGAGCACGAGCTCGACACTAATACCTTGTTGAACCAGCTTTTCGCGGAAGTCAGCAATAACCTCGACGAGCAGGGGGCCTGGTCTCAATGGTGGCCGGCGATTGATCAGGTGGATCTTTAATGAGCTGCGTAATTACATCCGGGGTTTTTTTTTTCGTTGAAGCTTCCAATGAATGAGTGACGACCTTTGATTTTTTTGATTTTTTTTTTAAAAAGGGCTGTAATATCTGGTTTTCTATACATGTCCTATTTTTATTTCCCGGTCTAGAAAAACAGTCAACAGATAATGCACCTCTTCATATGGCTCCCCTCCCGTCACCGCCAACAAATGCATACCTGTCGCGTCAACCATTCGCCGTTTCTCCTTCCAATCACGCCTTTGCAAAGACCTTTCTCGAGTTCATCAGGCGAACAGCAAGCATAAAGAGCATGCCGACAAAAGGCGCCACAACCACGCCAAGAGGACGTTTTTTGAAGCAGCTAAAAAGGCACGTAAATGGCGTCTGGATTCTGTACTAGATCTACTAGAAATTTGGGACGAGAAGGGTGTACATTATAGGCGAAGAGGTTAATAGCGTTATTAGGTTGAAAATTGGCCCGCCTTGGTGTCCGGCCCGCCTTGCTGTCGAGCACCACCTTTGGTGGTGAGGGCTTTTGCTAGCCGAACCACATAAAGTGGGGCGGGCACGATTACAATTTTCCTAATTTGCATTCTGCTGATTTGCTGCAGCGCTACGCACGTCTTTGTAATTATAGTTAATTACTACGCACGTCTTTACAATTGTTATTAACTTTAATATTATATAAAATACTTACTTAAACTTATATATTTACTTGCACTCTCTATAAATATATATATTATTTTGCAATTTTATCTTATAATATATAAATTAATATAAAAGTAAATACCTAGCTACTATATTTTTATTATCTAAGTAAGACTTATCTTTCTTAACTTTTATATCTCTTTTTTTCCTTCTATAAACTTAAACTACTTTTATTATCTTATTAAATTATTTCTAAACTATTTATACTGCCTAAAAAAAAATATTTTATAGATATAAGTTATTACTATAATACTAGTAATACTTAAACTTAAAGAAGCAACTTGCTAATAAGCTTATCTTTAAGTTAAAATTTAATGCTATAAGTCTTCTTAAGAAGATAATAAAAGTAATAATTAAAACTAACTTAGAAATAATTCTAAGATAGCTAGCTAATTTTATTCCCTAGAGAATTATTCTGCTATTTTAAAGTAAATAGTATGCTATATAATTAAGTATAATACTAACTAGATATATATATAAATTAATTCTTATTTATTTCTTATAAATATAGCAATATATAATTAAGTTATTACTTTAAAACTATTATATTTAATTTTATAAAATTAACCTAGAGAAGTACTACTTTAAAGATAATAAAAAGCAATTAAATAATAACTTAACTTATAAGTTACTATAGAAAATAGTTTAAAACTAGTTATATAATAATTAATATTTATTTTATATAGAATAGTATCTAGACTATATTAATAGCTAAGCGCTATTATAAATACTATATAAGCCTATATCAAGCTTATATAGTAAGGCATAATGCCTTCTAAGGCAATTCTTATTTCTACTCTTATACTGCTAACTACTACTGCTATTACTACTACTAATACTATAGTTTAAACTATATATAATAAAGCTGCTGCTGCTAATACTAAAGCAGCAGCTACTATATACTGCTAACTAAGAATAGTATATATACTGCTTAAACTACTTATAAAGTAATTAGAAAAGAGATTAAGACTAATTTTAATAGAATACTGCTAAGCTGCCTGCCTAGTTGCTCTTGCTCTTGCTCTCGCTCTTGCCCCCGCTCTTGCTCTTGCTGTTGTTGTTATTATTATTATTGCTTTTACTACTGCTGCCGCCGCTATTATTGTTATTATTATTATTATTATTACTATTGCCCCTGCCCCTGCCTCTAAGCTTCTCCCCCTCTCTCTCTCTTTCTAAGGACAAGAAGGATAAGGATAAAGACATAGAAATAGTATAAACTACTTACTAAATAATTATAAACTAGTTAAGAACTAATTCTAGCTAATAGAATTTACTTAGTATATTACTAAATAATATACTCTTTATTATGCAGCTATTATACTATAAAGACAGCCTTTTTATAATTGCTAAGATGCACTATATAGTTAGTTTCTAGAGGCTTAATATAGCTTATAATATTTATATATTTATTTTATATAGTAAGTTAGTTAAGATTAAAATTAAATTAAAAATAATTTATACTAATAGCTATAGAATACCCCCCTCTTACTTTAACTAGTCTTATAAAGTTTAAGAACGTTTTTATTAGTTTAATTAGTTTAGTTAGTTTGTTTTTTATTTCTTGTTTTTCTTTTGTTTTTTGTTTTTCTTTTATTTCTTTTGTTTTTTTTGTTTTTTTTTCCTTTATTTTTTTTCCTTTATATAATAGACCAGCCCTATTAAGCTATAGCAAGTGCTAGCCGCAGTTATCCCAGTAGTTTGCCGGACCTCTTAACTGACTGTTAAGTTAAAAGAGTACGTATTAAATAAGCTGTCTACAGCTTGCTTAATCTAGCACTATATAGGTCCTGCACAGGCTTGTCCCTCTATCGCGCATTATAGTGCAGTGCATTTATTGCTGCACATCTATTAAGGTCAAGCATAGCTCAGACTATAATATAGCCCCCTTCTGTGCCTCCTATACCTCGCACCCCCTAAGGGTGGCGGTGGCCCTTGTAAGCCCAGGTTGAGTATCCCTTGCACTCTCTCTTTTTTGTGCGGCTCGAACCTGCGACCCTAGAAAGCTTGTTTAAATGTAATAGACTAGCCCTATTGAGCTATAGCGGGTGCCAGCCGCAGTCATCCTGGTAGTTTGCCGGACCCCTTAACCGACTGTTAAGTCAAAAGAGTACGTATTAAACAAGCTGTCTACAGCTTGCTTAATCTAGCACTATATAGGTCCTGCATAGGCTTGTCCCTCTATTGCGCATTGTAGTGCAGTGCATCTATTGCTGCGCATCTATTAAGGTCGAGTATAGCTTAGACTATAACACTTTGCTTTTTTTACTTTACTTTTTTTAACTTTACTTTTTTTAACTTTACTTTTTTACTTAGCTTTTGTATTTTATTTCTTTAGATTAATTGCTTAAGTTATTTTATAAATAAATTAAAGATATATTTCTCTAAGATATATCTAGTAAAGAAATTATAAATTATTTATTATTTTAGCTTAATTTAGTCTTAAAATAGTTTAGAAGTAATTTATATATATTTATTATAGTAATATCTAGTAGTTATATTTAATATATTTATTACTCTAAATAGCTATAAAGCTATATAACTAGTACTTAAGCTAGCTACTTTATAGAGGCTGCTTATTTCTATATATATATAGTTATTACTAGCCTTACTAGCTGTAGTTAAATTCTATAGTATATAGTTAAAGATATATATATAAGCACTAAGCTTTAACTACCTTTTAGTACTAGCATTTAATATATTTATTACTTTAAATAGCTATAAAGCTATATATTAGCGGCAGATACTGCTTACTATAAAAAACACCTATAAAAAACAAGGGAAACAACTGCAGCACACAAATTGCCTACAAGGAACGTTTGCATGTATTTTACATGCAAGGATTTAATATACTTTACGCTTATATTTCTTTGCATATATAATTAAGGTTAAGAGAGAAATGC